TGTATAATTATCATCTTGATAAATATAATTCAGATGTCGTTTCTTCCTTCCTTTTATTTATGGGGTAAACTTCGTGACTGTAACATTTGATATATGAAACTTTAATCATTTTAAATATGGTTTGGTTGAATTAAATATTGTTTATACAGGTACACTATAGTGTTGAAATCTTTAAAATTGGCTTATGGTACGGCTTCCTGAGACGTCCAGTGTATTTTTCTTTAGTTAGGCCCTTGAAAATAAGTTGATTCTTTGCTTTTAAATACCTTTTTAAATTGTTATTTCGACAACATTTGAATACCTGCCTGGTGGAGGGATCCTAATTTAGACTTTTTGTAGGCACCTATCGCCATTGATCATAAAGCATCAGTAAGGGACCTTTTTCGTGCCAACATCTACATGTGTACTGCGACACTGCATGGACCTACGTTTTTTACGGTCTCATTCGACAGACCAGTCTCCATGTCCCACGTCGGGACCTGTGACTTGCAATAAGCTCCTGAATTACGTCAAGAATCCAAACGAATCACTAGAATTACTGCGCCACGCGAGGCCCCTGACATTTTGTCTGTGTAAGCACTCGAAGATGATAGTAGGTTTGAAAAAAATATACTCGGATGGCCGATGGTTCAGTATTTGCGAATCGTCTTTTTGTAAAAATTCGATTTCAATCAATTTACGCTGGCCTGAGTTATTTCACAAGTTCAAATGAATAATATTTGTGAATTAATTTACCATACATGTTGCTTTTAAATTTCATTTGTATGATATTCGGTTTAAAAATCGGTTTATTTTGTTCTTTCTTTTTTATAAAGATTTTCAATTTTCAGAATGTATTTTCATAACTGCTGTCAGAAAAAAAAAATAATTTACCTATCTACCTACCCAACTTGAAATTTTAGGGTCGGGTTAGGGGAAACAAAGATATTTTTAATGATGGCCTAATGTATCTTCTTTTCCACGAGTGACGTGTTTCATTCATCATTTTTTTATTTGCATAATTATATATATATATATATATATATATATATATATATATATATATATATATATATATATATATATATATATATATATATATATATATATATATATATATATATATAATTCAAAAGTAGTTCTTTTTTCCACTTTTCAAGTATATATATATATATATATATATATATAAAGCACTAAAAACCAACAACACTGTATATCCTAAGTGTCGGATCTACTAAGTAGATACAAGGTCACGGATGGAAATTTATATAAAGCGCTAAAAATGACCAACGACACGAACAATAATAATTGTCAAATTTTCGGGACGACCTGTCCCTTCCTCAGGACAAAGAAAAAAGTTAAGAAGTCATAAAAACAAAGGAAATAGAGAAGCAAAAACAACTAGCACTACTACTAAACTACCAAACACTATATATTTACAATGTTACATGTTTAATTTGGAGTTTATAAACAGTTGTGAACAAAGAAATCCGGAGCGCTATGAATTGCGTCCGGTCTATTGGGTGTACTCTGGTGAAGTGTGATTTACATAATTGAACGAATTAATTATCGCTAATTAATTACGACCAACAGTAAATCGTACATTGTCTTATTCTCTCAAAATAGCGTAACTCTACATGATAAAAAGAAATTAAAGAAAGATAATATGGAAGGACAATTTTGAAATATGAAGTTGGATATATTATAAATTTGGAAATCGGAAAAAAGAAATAAACCAAAATGTAAGCTGTAAATATTTGGGTATATATATATATATATATATATATATATATATATATATATATATATATATATATATATATATATATATATATATATATATATATATATATATATATATATATATATACGTCCCTGGCACAACTTAAATGAATTTGGACGTTTAGAGATTGTCCTTCTACCGTGTTGTATAGTAGGATTTTCCCAGTTATACCACCTTTCCCCTGGAAACTGTACTCTAGCGTTGGATCCCCCCGGTTCACATCAAAGCCAGATTTCCATCATTTTCTTTTCCAGAATAGTATTTTCCCTGCCTTACACGCAAAAGACTAAATTGTCAGATTCTTCATTTACCGATCTTTAACTGTTTAAAACATCTCTTTTTAAGGACCCTCTATACACTAATCAAAATTGTTTTTTGAACATTGATAAAATTATATCATATAAAGGTGTAAATAATGTGTCTATCTATTTCATTTTCAACAGAGGGAACCTGCCATTCACCCTCAGGAAAAATTTTCAAAGACAACATAGTATTGATGAACACAAATCACTGTTGTTTATTTAAATGGAGAAAATACTTGCAAATAAAGTATTCAATTAATTTATCTTGGCCTAATGAAATGCGCACTTTAACAGAATTAATTATCAAGGAAAATATTATAATGAAATAGGTGGGTAGAATTCAACGCAGACGTTTGAGAAAACATTGGATGAAAATTATTGCTCAAAGTTCGTTTTATGCCATTGCAGGCAATATATTTTTTTCCTGAGATGACCAGGAACATATTTTATCGTTTAAACAAAACAAGGAGGAGGGATACTCATGAACTCGATTTTTCATTTTTTCTAGCAAAGAGTTGGAATTTATTACAGGTACTCACAGATCAGATGACTGAAGGCCCATAATTCAATGTCAGATTACTTATTTTATTGCCTTTGAAGGACAGAGTATTTATATTATCGTAAACGGATTGTTCATCTCCAAAAATGCCATCTCCCCTGTCCTTAATTGTCAAATTACCCCTAAGAAAGTCATAAATTTCTTTTTAGAAATTGGATAGAAAAGTCTTATTTGTATTAATTTTATATTAAAATAAAATTAAAATAATATAATTTGTCCATTAAATGAATCATTAACACTTTGCCTAAGAGAATGACCAAGGTGGATTGAAATTCAACAGGAAAGAAAAATTTCAATCCAATGTTTTCTCCGACGTCGGCAATAAACTCAATGCGGACGTCTGAGAAAACATTCAATTCAATTCAATGTTTTCTCGGACGTTCGCGCTTTAATTTGACGCAGACGTCTGCGAAAACATGGGATTGAAATTCTACTTTCAAAAAGCATATCAATCCAGTTTTGAAAACAGATAAATATCTCAAGTTTGGATTTATCAATTTTAAACAAATTATATATTAAGCATGTTGAAAAGAATCTCTATAATTCCCGTAAATTTCATTACAAAATACTGAGAAACATAAAAGTTGAAAAATTGGACTATTTTAAATTCGCTGCCGGTAGCAACCCGAAGTATTGACGACGAATGAAAAGTCACGTCCTGGCTAGTATTTATCACGTTCTGTAATCCCTGAAAGTTTCACATTGATATCTTTTACCGTTCTGGAGATTATCTGCGGACAAAATGTCATTTTAAAATTCAGAAACTGGTCTACAACTTGGCACCGGAAGCGAATTTTCAAATTTCCTCTCGGATAAAATAACTTCAGCTGATAACGCATTGTTCCTGTAAATTTCATCAAAATCCATCCAGTAGTCTTTTAGAAATCGCGTGCACAAAATTAGATGGGCGGAAAAATAAGAAGAAGAAGAAGAAACAGTAGAATCACTATAAGGTCTTCCGTGAAGACGGAAGACCTTAATAATGTAAAAACTGGTTCAAATACATAAATGTGATGCTGAAAGTTCCTAAATAATTGCTTCTTTATAACTATGTTTGAATTGTGAATATCAGGGAAACCATTTCACATCAGAAGTACAGTAAGGAAAATGCCTGAGAAGGAGTTATAGCCCTTGGCAACATTTTTTAAAGATTGAATAATTGATTAAATATAGAAAATATTCAATTTTTAAATTCTTGTACTTTACAATACATGTATTTGTTATTACACCAATTGAAAAGTATATGACATCACAGGATGGTGGAATTTCCTTAATACTAATGTACATCAGAGGCGTAGTCACAAACTTAAAAATGGGGGGGGGGGGCTCAAATCCAAGAAAGATGTAAAACGTGTAATATAAAGAAATTAAAAGGCCCGTAGGAAGCAATTTCACTTTGAGGGCTCACAACCATATAAATTCAGTATCAACTACCAAAATTCCTTGACAAGGGAAAAAAAAAAGAAAAGAAAAGTTCATCAGACGTTATAATTGAGGGGGCACACTCATATAGTAGCTGTGTTTTCTATAGTATTCTATATATCGGCAAAATTATTGGGGGGGGCACTCCCCCCCCCCCCCCCCCCGATTCCTACGGCCATGATTAAGATGTAAAACATGTTATATCAAGCCCCTGTCTAAGTTGAATGAGAGGACTTCAAATAATGCACTTAAAGTTGATTGACATTCGTCACAGGTATACCGTAATCAGAATCTCCAATACTGCAGCTATCTTGTAGAAATAACTAATCTTGATGAGATTCGGATTGGCTAGGATATATTCTACAGTATATTACATTACTATTACTTCAAGATAAATGCTTTCTCAGTTGTTGCTGAAAATAAGATAAATTTGCCATAAAATGAGGTTTAATATAATTTCAACATAGCTGTGGTTTTTTCTACATTAAGTGGGGGGGGGGGGGCGGGGGGGGCACAGACATACTCTTGCCCCCCCCATATCTGAAAGTTGGGGGCTAATGCCCCCGCTCCCCCCCCCCACCCCCTGTGACTACGCCCATGTACATGATTTCAGAAATATTGTTTTTGTTTGCAAATAGGACACTTTAGTTAGTATATCATGTTTATATGTGTCAATCTTAAATTTTCTTGTCCAAAAAAAAAGCAATTATCTTTCTCAAGTGCTATTTCTTTATTATTCGGTATGAAATATAGGCCTAGTGGACTTTTTTCACGGTCATTGGCACAACTTAACTGAATTTATGTATAAACGGGTAGACTGGCCTTGCTTGATATGCGCGATACGATAGAGACAGGCAATACCAGTCTTTAAGCATGTTAAGGGTGATTAAATATCGGGATCGGCATTTTTATTTCTGGTTCCCCTCAAAACAAGGGAACCAGCTAATGTTAAACCGGATGTAGAATTAATGATAACAGACATGGAAGAGAATTTTAATTTTAAATACTTAGGTTTGTAGAACTGATTTCGGAGCAGATGGCCCACAATCCGCCATTAGATTCGGGTATTCTCAGAAGAAACCCCCAAGACGACTTCGAGCTTATTCAACGCGTCGGGAGTGGCACCTATGGAGATGTTTACAAGGTGATGATCCGAACTGTCAAATTTTGACTTCAGTATCTTATTATTTCTACTTGAGATGTCTCTGAATGATGGTTGATATTAGGTCTGCATTTAATATTTCAAGAAAAAGTTAAACCAGTAGATCAGTGAAAAGAGATTAAAATGAATGGCTAATTTAGTAACCGTATAACAGTGGAAGTATGAAATTGAGACTGAAAAATATGCCAAAAATAGAGTCCATGCATGCTTACACACACAGAAAATGTTGGGCTTTCAGCATTTTTTGCTTATATAAGTAGTACAGGTAAACAGTACCACTCCTAATGTCAAAAAATGTTAATTTTCCCCAATTTTAAGACTAAAAATTCCCAGTTCAACTGCCGAGGAACAGACTACGATGACAACATAATTCTTTTCATATGAAATGTTGTATGTTTTAACTAAATATTTAACTTCCTCTTGAATCGAAAGTAGAGATCAATGGTAATATTGCAGGACACATGTTGGTGCGTTCAGAATTCTACCATTGGTGAATTTGAGAACAATCGCTGGTAGCATTTGGTTGCCATCTGTAAACTACGGTAATCATTGGACACCAAGTGATACCATCTGTATTAAATTTTCCCTGTAGAACTATGAACGATTTTTGGTCTAATTCAAACAAATGGCAGCACTTGGTTACAACTAGTAGCCATTTGTAACCAATTAAACCAATGAAACGGGCAAAATTATAATTTTCATAGCCATGATAAGATTTTGCAAAAATGGTCTTTCATGTTAATACCACAAGCTTACTTTCATCAGTTCTTCTAAAAAATGTCATGAGGATACAGAAATATTACCAGTTTGAGCCATTTATATTGCGGTATATGTAAGATGAAATTACATGTATATGCACAAGATGTAACAATTTTTTTATTGACAGAATTCCAGATAAATGCAAATTCCATACATATTGGTCATGATATAACAAAAACTTGTACAATAGTGCACTTTTTCACTTAATTTGCCAAAGCCGCCATGTAAAATTGGTATGGTGACTTCATGCACCAACCTTGCCGATACTAGACTGCTGGTAGATTTGGTGACCTCATTTAAAATTGAAAGTACACCGATGGTGAACTGTGGTAACCAGTTGCTACTATTTGCAACCATTGGCAAATGTTGGTGACCTAACTTGCCACTGGTTACAATCTGATGAACTCTGAACGCACCTCTTGCTGACAGCGTAGTCATGCTAGTGTCTTACATTTTTGACAACTTGAAAGCATGACAACGTGAGAACAAGGGACATTAATATATAAAACAATGAATACTTGTTGATTATTCTTTAAAGCATGAATTAATAGGTATGAAGTTAGAAAAAACACGAAATAAATTTCATTTCTTGACATGATAGAAAATTCCAGTTTGTTTTATTTCGACGCTATTTTTTCCCAATTGAATTGGTACCGGACCCATTCCCAATTGGTAGAAAAAAATTGCTGGTTTTTGGCAAAAATCACAGGTCTACAAAAACTGCTAGTGCAAAGTTTGGGAAAGTATGGCAGTCATGCCAGCACTCTGAGTCTGAAATGCTACATGAAAGTCTTTAGAAGAGATCATATTTGTCAGATTTTACATTCTATTTGCGAAAAAGGAGATATTTACTTTCAAAGCTGACATTAAAAGTCAGATCAATTACAATGAAAATGATACTTTTCAAAAGTAAATATGCATAATAAAAGGGAAATATATGCAAAATGTATTCATATATTGTACCTGTTAAAAACTTGACTGCATTTTACACATAAGTCATAATTTTCGGATTTTGATTGTGTACGACCTCTGAATTGAAAAAAGTTCTCGCAATTGTATTTACCTATCTTTTATCACATATGAAAAGACATATCCATACAAACATATTTTTGACTATAATCTATTAGTTTGAAACCTTAAAAAAATCACTCTTTTAAGAAATAAGGTGTTAATTAAGCCTCTGCTCTGTAGTGAAAAATGTGCATTTTCTATTTAAAATAAATACAATCTGGGTGTCTTCAAAACAAATAAAGGCATCTTTATTGCGGGAATGACATAAAGAACGAGTGCGCTTATGGGCCCCGGTAAAATGTGAAAAAATAAAGAATCAAATTAAGCATAATTTTTCATCTCAGATCATTAATTGATATCTAAACCATAAGATTCAACAAATTTTATCGCCGAAATTCATGAATATACAAAGAGCAAAGCCATACAATGTGGTAGGGGTCAGCCGACATTCGTGATTTTCTATAGTAAATCGAGAACGGTCATTCATTTCAAAGCTCTTGTTTACTTGTTTACTGTCAGGCTAACTTTGTACAAACTTGTGCGAATGACAAAAAGCGCATTATACATTTATAAAACTTGTGTGAAAGTAAGAAATTTGTACAAGATTAGGCTTGTACTTAAAACATTAAAAAATGTGTGAAAAGTTCAATGTTTTTCCAATAGCAAGCGAGAGCTATTTACCTGTATGACCTATGTTGAACCCACCCGTGGAATAAATTATTTAAAATACCGGTTGTCACGTGAGTTCTACCCAGGTAAATATTCCTCGAAGGTGCTCACTGTAAAAGATAGCCACCTTTTGTATCATTATATCGAAGTCGTGCCGCATAGACAAGTATGTGTTTGGTTTTAGGAACACGGAAGGGTTAGGAGAGTTTAGTGTCATTAAAATGTCATCATACATAAAAGCGTCAAACATTTTTAACATTCATGCAAGACAATGGTACTGGTATTGAAAGCCACCTAAATACACTTTTTTCATTTTAAAATTTAAAGGAACTAATGGTAATACTTATTGTATTATTTCAAATGCAAGCATGCAAATTTCTTAGTTTGATATCGATCACTATGGCTACAGTCATCTGTACATTTTCTCAAGTAAAATAGCGCAAGTATCATTCAGCAAACGCGCCCATCAATGATCCACCATCAGATTGTTCAAGTGTCTCCTCCCCTTGATTTAAATAAACGAAACTCAAAACAGGTTCAGTGCGACTTTTCCGGATTTGGGGTAGCTGTAGGCATTCAAAAATCTTCATTTGTTTCAAATCCATGCTGATTTAGGTGATGTTTTAACGTGATTTTGATTAGAAATATCCACTTGTGTTTAACTATTACCAAAAAAGAACAATTTGGTAATATATTCTAAAGTAAAACGGCACTGAAAAAGGGCCCATTAAGCATTGCTTAAGTGCACTTGTCCTTTAGATCAAGCTAGGTGACAAAAAAATAAATTAAGAAAATTATTTATACCAGTAGTACAGAACTCAATGTTGTATATCCACATCAATATTAGGCCAAATAGAAAAATACTTAGTATGTGTTTTTCCAATAACATGCCAAAAAAAAATTTAGGTAGGTAATCAATAATTTTTTTCATACCCCGCCATGAATATGGCCGGGGCATATAGTGTTTATCATGTCTGTCTATCCGTCACGCTTTGCGTTTAGCTCTGTTCAAAGCTCAGTTTCAAAGAAACTATCCAAGATATTTTTATCAAACTTCATATGCTGATAGATATTGATGAGAGCTATGCAACTGCATCAACATTTTTTGACCTTGACCTTTCCTTTGACCTCACTTTTCTTAAATTAGTGTTTAGCTCAGTTTTAAAGATACCACTCAAGGTAGTGTAATCAAACTTCATATGTTCATACATACTGATGTAATCTATTCAACTGCATCAGCATTTTTTGACCTTTCCTTTGACCTTGACCCCACTTTTCTTAAATTAGTGTGTAGCTCAGTTTTAAAGATACCATTCAAGATAGTGTAATCAAACTTCATATTTTGATACATACTGATGTAAGCTATTCAACTGCATCAGCATTTTTTGACCTTGACCATTTCATTGACCTTGAGCTCATTTTTCTTAAATTAGTGTTTAGCTCAGTTTTAATGAAATCTTTCAAGATATTTTTATCAAACTTCATATGCTGATACATACTGATAAAAGCTATTCAACTGCATCAATATTTTTTGACCTTGACATTTCCTTTGACCTTGACCTCACTTTTCTTAAATTAGTGTTTAGCTCAGTTTTAAAGATACCATTCAATACAAGTGTTATCAAACTTCATATGTTGATACATACTGATGTAAGCTATTCAACTGCATCAATATTTTGACCTTGACCTTTCCTTTGACCTTGACCTCACTTTTCTCAATTTGTGTGTAACTCGGTTTTAATGAAAACATTTATAATATATTTATCAAACTTCGTATGATAATACATACTGATGTAACCTATTCAACTGCATCAACATTTTTTGACCTTTCCTTTGACCTTAACTTCATTTATTTTAAATTAGTGTTTAGCTCAGTTTTAAATAAACCATTCAAAATATTTTTATCAAACTTAAATATGCTGATACATATTTGTGAGAAGTATTCAACTGCATCAAAAACATTTGACCTTGAACTTTCCTGTGACCTTGACCTCACTTTTCTTAGATTTGCATTTTGCTTAATTTTAAAGAAACCATTTAAGATATATTTATGTAAGTTTATGCACTTATACATAATTTGGTGAGAATTTATCATCTATATCCAACTTTTTAGATTTCAATTTCAATTTTAAAGGAACTTTTCAAGATATTCTCATCAAATTTCATACACTAATACAAAATTTCATGTTGCATTACTGATATACCCTCGGCAGGGCATTCATGTCCTATGGACATATTTCTAGTTTTTTTTTTACTTTACGTTTTATTTCGAAAGCATCAGTTAAATATTCAATACACTGTTTTTTTTTTCATATATATATACATATACATATGAATAAACGTACACAGCGAACCAAATATACTCCCTTCCTTGTTCCTTATTAACATGGTTTCTTTTTTTCATTCAAATAAAACAATTAAATGAAAAATTGCAGAATACTGACCAAGTAATCAAGAAAATCCCAAGTGAGTGACATAAAATTATCACCATGCTTACTGTAGTCTTAAAATGTATAGAGCTTACTGTGGCATTAATCATTCTCAACAAATACAAAATATTATTTAGTGAGAATATCTGCAAAAAAAAAGAGTTGTTTAAAAAAGGGGGGTTGTGGGTTGCATATTCAAACCATTATATACTGTATATACCGGTATAGTGTATGTACAGAACGTATCCACTGTATGTATGTATTTACACATAGAGAAAGTTATCTGATGGAGAGCCAATCAGAGTAACCAATGAAAGAATGATCTTAATTTATATCAGAATTTGAAAAGTCTTGCATTCTGTACCGAGACCTTTGGGAAAGGTACAAACTGTAGTTTGTGTATGTAAATGCTACGTACAGTACTAACAAAAACTTAATTCAGTTGTTTTTGTGCCATATATTTTCTAATTTTCTTCAAAAATGTTCACAGAATATGAAAAAGAAAAATTCTGGTAATAGTTTTGGTACATGCAGTGTACAAGCTGATTTGATCTATTCTAAAACCAGGAAACACTCAGTTGCATCATTTTGTAAAAATGTGTTTCAGCTGAAATTTCCTGTCATTTTGACTTTTGTACATATTGAAATACTTACAAAGTTATAAATATGCAAGTCTTGAGATTTTAGAAAAGGTATATTACTAGTAGTGTAATCTTTTATGAGAACTATTGTGGTGATAGAGGACAGCACCATTTATTTTAAATCCATTATTCTTAAGGTATTCCTTTGGCAAGCTCCCAGTCTTTAGGGATACAACTTCTTTTCCTTTGTGATAAAACTAGAGTACAAACTTTCTGTGTATTAGTCTTTGAAATGTAAAATTTATGCTAAACTAGGTATCCTTTTTTAAATACATGTACATATTTTCTTTGAGACACAGCGTTAAACATACCAGTCCAATCTGTGAAATGTGTTATAATTTTGTTGTATTCAGATAAATTATTAGAAGCTGATATGTATGTCATTTTGTTAATAGGCAAGAAATTTCAGTACTGGGGAGATGGCAGCCATCAAAGTTATTAAACTGGAGCCAGGTAAACAGAAACAAAGGCAGTGTCAGAGAAGTATACAAGATAGAACAATAACAACATCTTATAGGATTCTGTGTATTATTAGATTTAAGAATTTTGAGAAATGTTGAGTGAGATTTTTTTGTATGAACTATGTAAGATTTCTGGTATTACTCATACCTTTGTATCGTAGGAGATGACTTTGCCATCATACAACAGGAAATTGTCATGATGAAGGACTGCAAACATCCAAATATTGTGGCTTATTTTGGAAGCTACTTGAGGTAGATTTATTTATATGACTGGTGTATTCATCAGTTTTTTTGAAGTGTATATACACAGTAAAATACATGGTATACATTCATGAATTACATCTTTTTTTTTACTATAAAATTTGGATTTTGAACATAAAATAAGTCATGTAGTTATTAGACTAGCAATAATATAGTGATCATTATGTGTAGATCAATTATTTGTGACTAGATATTTTTGACAAGTGTGAAATTTATTCAAAATGAATTATTAAGCAAATGATAATAATACATATATAAGAATGGAGAACCTGTCTATGCTGATAAAATTTAGAAGAACGCTCGGGAACAATGTATTTCAGTTATACAATATTGGGTTGTGTTTTTCTGTACAGAAGAGATAAATTATGGATTGCTATGGAGTACTGTGGAGGTGGCTCTATGCAGGATATTTACCACGGTAAGTTACTACTTTTCCCTATTTACCACAGTAACTACTTTTCCCTATTTACCACAGTAAGTTACTACTTTTCCCTATTTACCACAGTAAGTTACTACTTTTCTCTATTTACCACAATAAGTTGTCTTTTTGCTATTTACCACAGTAAGTTACTACTTTTCCCTATTTACCACAGTAAGTTACTACTTTTCCCTATTTACCACAGTAAGTTACTACTTTTCTCTATTTACCACAATAAGTTGTCTTTTTGCTATTTACCACAGTAAGTTACTACTTTTCCCTATTTACCACAGTAAGTTACTACTTTTCTCTATTTACCACAATAAGTTGTCTTTTTTCTCTTTACCACAGTAAGTTAACTACTTTTCTCTATTTATCACAGTAAGTTACTACTTTACTTTCCTTAGTAAGTTACCATTTTTCTGTATTTCCCACAATGTTACCACTTTTCTGTATTTACAATGGTAAGTTGCCAATTTTCTGTATTTACCATAGTAAGTAACCACTTGTTTTATATTTGCCACAGTAAGTTACTACTTTTCTCTATTAATTACCACAGTGAGTTACTACTTTTCTCTCAGTTGTGGGCTGTTTTTTTAAAGTATGAAAACAATAGTGTGTATCTCCACTTATATATATTTCAGACAAAGACTTTAATAATGAACATTCTGAAATGGTCACGTTGGTTCAATGTTTTCTGTTGCTAAACCATTTCAAAGAGGGGGAGTAAAAGAATTGGTTATTCTTGGTTGTATCCCCTCCTGATAGATGGAAGGAAAATAAAGTCAAACATAATGTTTTGTTTTGTTATGCCCTTAGTACAGAATTTGAAACTTGCACTAGTTGTCACAAAGTGTTCTCCTATATTTATGTATCTACCTACACATACCTTGGGTCACATGGATTATTCTTTTTCAGTAACGGGGCCTTTGGCAGAGCCACAGATAGCTTTCATTTGTCGAGAAACGCTAAAAGGTTTAATGTATCTACACAACAGAGGGAAAATGCATCGTGACATAAAGGTAATGCAGAATAAATTACTCTTAGTGTAATCGGGTCAAGTTACAGGTAAGAGAAGCTTCAATAGGTAATCATGACTTCCTGTTTATAATGTTTGTTGACCAAGAACTTGATAAACTATATTATTCAGAAATAAAATTACATTGAAAGTCACGTACAGCCCTGTTTTAAAGGAATAAATGAAGGAAATACTGATTGAATGTGTTATGCTGGCAAAAAGTTTGAACCAAGTAGATATTCCATTACAATTTTAAATTGTTATGTCTCACATTGTGACCCATTTTAATTCAATACCAGCTATGATGCTTTGAGAACACTGCTGTTTTTCAGTACGTAAAAATAAGTTTTTGAAACTTGCTATTGTTTTGGAAAGCCATATTTTTAGACAATTAAAATGTGCCTGGCATGTTGGAGTTAAACACAAATTGTCTGTCCAAGAACATGAGACAGTTCTTGAGACATTGTTAGCTAAACACAACATACTATGTAGATATGAGTTCTGTATCTTAAATAAGAATAAAATTATTTTGATTTCTGTGGAATAGAAACAGACTGCTAGAATGATTCCTTGTTTCAGCATAATTGGTTACATTTGGGGAGTTAGTGTCACTGTAGATTATTCCCCTTTTATCAGATGACCTAGTCATAACTAGTGTATTCTTTTCAGAATATCTATAAGAATCTTGCTTTGTTTTTAGGGTGCCAATATTTTGTTAACAGATGAAGGGGACATAAAGTTAGGTTTGTATTCCAATTTATTGATTAGATTATGAAGAAACATGAATAAGAAGAGTTATTTAAAGTGACAGTACGGCGCATCTCATCAAAAAACTGACTAGATAAAATTTTCCGACTAGATTTGGTATTTTTTTTACTACTTATAAATGTATAAACTTTCAGAAAATTATAACTTTTACAATTAAATAATTTGGATTATTTCATTAAAATTAAATAGTTATTTATGGGACGTAAATATATACATCGCAACGTGTTCGGGGTTCCACATTCCATGCTATGCACGCATGCATAGTTTTCATAAACAAAACAGCATGGTTAGAGAGGGAAGCCCGGTAGGCCTGCTACATTGACAAAGTCAACCAAAAATAGAAAGAAACTGTCAATATAGAACTTGAAAAAGCAACTTTCCTGACTAAAATTTAGTTTGGGGATTAATGTAATCGCTGGATAAGGAAGAAACGGGAACTCGGCGACACTCACGCAGGGCTCTCGAAGGTTCTATTCGACAGGTTTGTTGATACTTGTTATTACTTCTCATTTTTCCATTGCTTTCAAAGAAAAAAAATAGTGTAAACTCAACATAAAAATACACCTTTGACTTATTAACATTGTTGCCATTTGAAATGCTAATTTTTGTTAACTGTGCAGAAAAATATTTTGTTTGACATTTGCCGCGATAAAGTATGATTAGTTGCTTTTTCCTTCCTCGGACCCCAATACACAAAACGTCAACATTTGTACTTTTAATTCTGTTAAATTCGCCTGAATGTAGACTAAAATCTTTACGATTGTTATTTTAGATTATTTTTATCAGAAAGTTATCACAGGTACTTGTGGACAGGAACCCCCCCCCCCCCCCCCCCCTCCAATATGCCCCACAGGTCAAAAAATATTTTTATGTATTTTTTTCATAAATTATTCTTCTAGTACACATTTACAATGTATTCCATAAGAAAAATCCAAAAAATAACCAGAATTAACGTTTTACTAAAAAATCATACCCGCGGTATTATAAAATAGAGAAGGTAAGTCACTTCCATTTGTTTACACTGGACCCCTCTTGGATATCAGGCCCGAAATATCATTTACCTAATACATGTCACCGAAATGTGTCATGATATCTTGTTTCGGTAGATATTTTTGTCTTTAATCGTGCTATTTAATTCCCCAGGCATCCCATAATAAGCCGAGTATTCATCGTCAAACGTGTAAAATGCTACAAGATTTGGAAATGTCAGAGTAGAAATTACGGAAGTGATGCAAAAACGACACCTAGCGTGTAACTCTCGAGTTCCGAGTGTTATAGAACTAAGGGAAAAGTCAGAGGTCTACGAAAAAGTTCGGGAAAATTTTGATAAAGAAGTCGAAATTGATTCATTAGAATTAAATTCTGCTTAAGATTTTCGAGATGAGCGAGGGTAGTCGTCAATATTCCCTTTAAAGGATGTTATCATTGATACCAAGTAGCGGTTTAAAAATCGCTTAAACATTATAAACTTGACATGTAACCCAACCCCCCCCCCCCCACTCCACCTCGACCGCCTTCCCCATCTGCGTGGACATGGAATTTTCATTAAATTGTGTCTGCGGAAAGGTGGATATCCTTTAAACTAATGTGGTAGTAAATATAATATTTAGAATGATAAACTAGTTTTAAAAATAAGTAAAGACAGAAATGTGATTATTTAAAACTGTACAAAAAAATCTCTTTTTTCCCCATTTGTTATGAATTCGCTACATGTATTTAATAAATATTGATTAATTTTGGGACGGGGGCTGTGCATTACAAGTTACAGTGTTGGAGAAAAACAAATTGACTGGTTGATGAATGGTTGTACAACCCATGCAATATTTAAACGTCAATTGCTACGTAATACAAGTTGCAATTATCTAACTATGACTGTTAGAAAAGACGTACCTAAAGAACTTTTTTAAAAGTCTTTATTTTATAGAAGTTAAGCTTCCGTTTGTTCAATTAAAATAATAGCAGCTTGATATATATGTAATCAAGGCCAGAAATAAACTCAGCAGTGCGACGCGAAAGTAAAGAAGAGCATGAAATTATTTTTTTTTTAAAAAATGGGGTTCTGATTTTCATTCTTAAGAATTAATTTTGAAAAGACTCACATTTAAATTCCTTGGCAAATGATAATCATCGCATAAGAATATTAAAAAATACACATAATTATTAAGCTTAATATTATCGGAATTAATTGCAAGCATGTCCATGTAGAAGGGGAAGGGGGGTTACATGTCTTGTAAGTTGTAAATAAATGTTTAAGCGATTTTTAAACCGCTACTTGGTATCAATGATAACATCCTTTAAAGGGAATATTGACGACTACCCTCGCTCATCTCGAAAATCTTAAGCAGAATTTAATTCTAATGAATCAATTTCGACTTCTTTATCAAAATTTTCCCGAACTTTTTCGTAGACCTCTGACTTTTCCCTTAGTTCTATAACACTCGGAACTCGAGAGTTACACGCTAGGTGTCGTTTTTGCATCACTCCCGTAATTTCTACTCTGACATTTCCAAATCTTGTAGCATTTTTCACATTTGACGATGAATACTCGGCTTATTATGGGATGCCTGGGGAATTAAATAGCACGATTAAAGACAAAAATATCTACCGAAACAAGATATCATGACACATTTCGGTGACATGTATTAGGTAAATGATATTTCGGGCCTGATATCCAAGAGGGGTCCAGTGTAAACAATTGGAAGTGACTTACCTTCTCTATTTTATAGTACCGCGGGTATGATTTTTTAGTAAAACGTTAATTCTGCGTTATTTTTTTGATTTTTCTTATGGAATACATTGTCAATGTGTACTAGAAGAATAATTTATGAAAAAAATACATAAAAATATTTTTTGACCTGTGGGGCATATTGGAGGGGGGGGGGTTCCTGTCCACAAGTACCTGTGAAAGTTATGATAATTTGTATTTGAAAATTGCTTTTACCTAATATTCATTATAATTGTAAACTCTACAGTGTAGGCACGTGCCGTTTTAGAATTCACGTGGTACAAATAAACAGATCTAAGATTGCTCCAGTTCGTACGACCCTTGATTTTCTGGCAAAATCTAATTACGTTAATTTTGTTTGAGTAGAGAATATTTCTGTTTTTCAAACTGCTTACATCAACTTTATACCTTATTTCTTAATGACATATTGGGTAAATTTGAATGAAAAAGCACACATTTTGCAGCCGTACTGTCGCTTTATGTCTGACTTTCAGTAAAAAAAAAAATACTATAATTGACTTGATATATAATAAATTCATTTATGTTTATTTCCTTTGTAGCTGACTTTGGTGTCTCGGCACAAATAACTCAAACAATGTGCAAAAGGAAATCATTTATTGGGACGCCTTACTGGTAAGATTGTTAAGTGATTATAAGGATCATTAAAGGAATCTTTGAGAAATGTATTATTCTGAATGATAAGTAAAGCAAAGCAAAAGTTTATTTGTTAACTGATCAGGGTTGACAAGTGAATTTACTGATGAACTAATTGATTATCCAGGGCATTTGATGCAAAGCTGACTTTAAACTACACTATAGATTATAAAGTGCTCACATAAAAAAGATATCTGGTATTAATAATAAACTCATGTACACATTAGTCTTAGTCAATCCATTGTTTATGTCAAACTAATTGCAACAGAAATTGATTGGTAAAAAATAAATTGTATTACATGTACTCACAAAATAAATGTGGTAAAAAATGTAACAAAGTTAGAAGAGTGGAAAGCACAAGTTTGAGGTACATCAATATCCTATTCAAATTACCTTAGAAACAAAGGGGGATAACTTTTTTTGTTATTACTGTGAATTTTAGGTTATATCTTTTCTAACTTGAAATGAGAGAAAGTAAAATGAACTCTATAGAATGGCATTTTTAGATGTAGTTGAACATTTTCATACATAGCAGAAAGTTTATTACAGATACTTCAGCCCATTTTTCCTTCATAATAATTTTTTTGTTGAGGTTATAATAATTAGAATATATGTCAAGTTTTGTCTTAAAACTCTTAATGTATTTGTTTATCTTTGCATTTAGAATTAAGATACTAAATGGAATTATTTTGCATGCTAAAACATAACCTAAAAGAAGTATATATTTTTTCTTCCCTTAGCTCTGTATTCTTAATGTTAATATTTCCCAACAATTAGGAAACAAATTTATAATTCAATTCAAAACATTCATCTTAGGCCAAAAAAAATTAATAAATAGTTTCTCAGGCACCACCGCATCAGGTCAAAAACGGCCGCATTGATCAATTTTATTGACATTTTGAAAAGGGAAATAACTCAATTTTCTATTTTTCCAAGTTGAAAAAGAAAATTGAGTTATTTCCCTTTTCATAACAATAATAGATAGACGTTTTTATTAGATAAACAATATTCTTCTAGTCTATACAGTCCTTTATTAATTAACTTTAAAAGAAATGTTTAGAATAACATAATTTAAAGTTGAGTACATTATAATTTGTATATTAATAGAACAAAAAAGTGAGAATCAGTTAATATCATCATTTTGTTGAAAGACTGACATTAAAAAAAGATACCTGCTTAAAAAAACTGCCTGCCGCATTGAATTTTGAAATATTTGGCCTGAGAAACTATTAAATAATTTTTATGGCCTTATATTTATCTATGTGAATAAATGATCTGTTAAATACTATCAAACATTTTAAACTAGGTCACACTACTTTGAAAAATAAGCAATTCTAATGATCTCAGGAAAAATTTAAATCATAAAAACAGAGTTATGCTCCCTTTTCTACAGTAAATCATACCAAAATAATGCTATCTCCTCAGTAGATTTTCCTACTGAAGAAGACTCAAAAGGTAATTATCTAGAGGAAATGTGTTACTATTTGCCATACCTATAGAGTCGTGTCTCATTGAATCCATCAGTTAATGAAATAGAGTGAACACATGCAAACTATACATGCTTTAAAATACTGCTTTGTTTTTTAAAAGCAAACTGCAAGTGACTGTACTAGAAAAATCACTAAATGCCTTGGTTTTATCTTACAAAGAATATATAACAAGTTAAATTATTGAGACCTACTATAAATTGTCATATACAAACGTACTGCTCAGTAGGAGCAAGATACATGTATGTGGTACAAGGGTACATGTAATATCTTTACTGGACATTCTACCCAGCACTCAGTTACCTCCTATAGATCCCTGGATCTTATACTGATGATTCCTGGATCTAATACTGATGATCCCTGGATCTAATGCTGATGATCCCTGGATCTTATACTGATAATCCCTGGATCTAATGCTGATGATCCCTGGATCTTATACTGATAATCCCTGGATCTAATACTCATGATCCCTGGATCTTATACTGATGATTCCTGGATCTAATAGATAACTGATGAGGGTATTATTGACAGGATGGCCCCTGAGGTGGCAGCAGTTGAGAGGAAGGGAGGATATAATCAGCAGTGTGATATATGGGCAGTGGGAATCACTGCTATAGAGTTTGCCGAATTACAGCCCCCAATGTTTGATCTTCATCCAATGAGGTAGGATAATCATTTTCTTTGAAGTACAATTCTACTTTTTAGTTCACCTGAGTCACTCAGGTGACCTATTGCTATCCGTTTTTGTCAATCGTCGTGCGTCGTCTGTCGTGTGTTAACTTTTGAACATTTTCAACTTCTTCTCTAGAACCGCTCAACCAATTTCAACCAATTTTGGCATATAGCTTCTTTGGGCGAAGGGGAACACAAATTGTGAATTTAAATGGTCCATGCCCCCTGGGGCCCCAGGGGTGGGGCTAAAACCACTAAAATTGATGCAATCTTTAAAAATCTTCTTCTTTACTCCTGGACATCAAGCAGTCAAACTGTTGGCATGATTGTAATAAGCATTGGGCCCTCCACCTTAATTTTGAAATTCATGGCCCCAGGGTCAGGGGTTCTGGTGCGGGGGGGGGGGGGGGGGGAGGGGGGGGCTCTATTGATTATATAGTGAAAATGCATTAATTATTTGAAAATCTTCTTCTCTGCTCCTGGATATTATATAAACAAACTAAGTGCATGGTTGTGACAAGCAATGATGCCTTTTCGGAAATTGTGAAATTCATGGCCCCTGGGTCAGGGGTTCTGGTGTTGGGGGGGAGGGGGGGGGGGGCTCTATTGATTCTATAGTGGAAATGCATTAATTCTTTGAAAATCTTCTTCTCTGCTCCTGGATATTATTGAAACAAACTAAGTGCATGGTTATGACAAGCATTGATGCCTTTTCCAAGATTGTGAAATTCATGGCCCCTGGATCAGGGGTTCTGGTGTTGGGGGGGGGGGGGGGGCTCTATTGATTCTATAGTGAAAATGCATTAATTCTTTGAAAATCTTCTTCTCTGCTCCTGGATATTATTTAAACAAACTAAGTGCATGGTTATGACAAGCATTGATGCCTTTTCCAAAATTGTGAAATTCATGGCCCCTGGGTCAGGGGTTCTGGTGTTAGGGGAGGGAGGCTCTATTGATTCTATAGTGAAAATGCATTAATTCTTTGAAAATCTTCTTCTCTGCTCCTGGGTATTATTTAAACAAACTAAGTGCATGATAAAGGTGCACAAGGATGCTTTTTCCAAAATTTTGAAAGTCATTGCCCCTGGGTCAGGGGTTCTGGTGTTAGGGTGGGGATCTATTGATTATATAGTGAAAATGCATTAATTCTTTGAAAATCTTCTTCTCTGCTCCTGGATATTATTAAAACAAACTAAGTGCATGGTTATGATGCACAAGGATTCCTTTTTCAAAATTGTGAAATTTATGGCCCCAGGGTTGGGGACGGGGGAGGGGGGGGGGGGCTCTATTGATTATATAGTGAAAAATCATTAATTCTTTGAAAATCTTCTTTTCTGCTCTTGGTTATAAAGTAAACTAAGTGTGTAGTTATGATGAAAAAGAGTGCTTCTTCATGAATCATGACCTCTAAGTCAGATGTTCTGGTGTAAGGATTGGACTCTATTGATAATATAGTGAAAATGCATTAATTCTGTTAAATAATCCTCTCTGCTCCTTAGTGTTGAGCAGATAAATAAAGTGCATAGTTATGATGAACAACTGTACTTCTTACAAAATGTTAAAACTTGTAGTCTTCAGGTTTTGGTGTTTCTCGTGGGGGGGGGGGGGGGGGACCCTGGGACATGGGTTTTAGTGTTAGGGTATGGGGTGTGTTGAATCTGTAGTGAAAGTGCATTATTTCTTTGAAAATCTTCTCTGCTCCTTGGCATATCGAAGGCAAAAAGCATTAAAGTTTTAATAAGCAAGGATATTTTTTACCAGATTTTTGAACATCAGCATCTAGTGTTGTACCGATAATCAGAAAACATCGATTGTTGACTAAAAAATGCTACCGATTATGATGATCGATTATAGTTTTTCATAATCGATCATCGGAAACATACTTCTAATACAATATATTCCGGATTTATCCATTTCTTGTTTAAAATTTATTTCTTCTTAATGAAAGAAAATGGCATCTGCATCTGATACTAGCCAACTAGCACGAAGTAGAAGTGATTAAGAACCGAAAGGTGCATAATATGTAGAAAGTGTAAAAGAAGCAAAAAAAAAAAAAGAAAATAATATATTATATATTTTATATATTCATGTTAAAGAAATAATATGAAATAATTGTAATAGTCTGCTTTTTGTATACAAAACTATGACATCCGATTATAATCGGTAAAATCGCATTGGAAGGAGTAACTGATTCCAACCGATGATCAATAATGAAGATTAACCGATGTCCCATCGCTATCAGCATCAGACCATTTGGTCAAGTTTTCTGGTCCTAGTCATGGCTCTATTAATTTGTATTCAACTGAGAGAAGTTATTTCCTTGGCCATTTACTTTTGATAATTAATCACTGTAAATAATGTATTTGAAAGTTAATAGAATAAGAGAATTATGCAAAAAAATTTATTGAATACTACAAAAAGTACTTTCATAGTTTTAATGATCAGATAGACAAATAATAAATAGATAAAAATGAGACAAAAATAACTTATTAAATGTTCTTCAAAGACCAAGAGAGGCCAATGTGAGAGGTCACAATGTGGGGTTAAAAGTAGTACAGATTAACTATTAGTTTGTTAATAGTCTGCATGGTGATAGTGCTAAATGGGGGATAAATTAGAATTTAATGTATGAGTTGTTACTGAATACTAGACTAATTATTTCATTGATTCTGATCATCATATTTCTCTTGCTTTTGGGCAACAAAGCTTCATCTGTCAGTTTATTTTATACTCTATGGATCTTCTAAATTGTTGTATTATACTCATGTGACCGTTAAGGTCCTTGGGCCTCTTGTCTTTTAAGTACAATGTAATTCTGTCCTACACCAGACTCTTATATAAACATAAAGGCATAAATTAGTAATTAAATTATTAAATGATGAAGACTGTAGATTAATATACATCACATAGGCTGTAAGTAAGATATTGTACATCTGAAAATGACTCCTACTTATGATGTAAATTTTGTAAATAAGGCTAACAATAAAAAATGATTTGTTAGATGTGCTCCGACCCACCTATCAATATTATCCCAACCTGATCATCTTTTTCAGTACTTTTTTTGTGGTGTCTGGGAAAATATAGATTGTCCATAATTATCATTTTTAATGTGAAGGTTTATCATTTCCCTAAGACCCTTTATACCGGTAGATTGAAATTAGCCATACATATTAAATCTGGCTAGTTGTCAGGTGTATAATGAAAATATCAGAAAATTTCCAAGACTGTAATTTTTTATGCCATTAATTTATATGTTGGATAATTTAAAGAAAAATGAAAAAAAAAGAAAAAATACCTACCCATTTTGAAAAATGTAGGTTGGAGTACATCAAACAAAAAATATTTTAATGATGACCTTATGATGCTTTCATGTACCTGTATATGTACATCATTAGATATTCCTACTTGATCACACTGGTCAGCCTTCTCTGTCACCAGTGGATCATTTGTTCTCATGAATATAGAGTCAATCTCATTCACCATTTCAAAAGAGTCTTAACTCATTCCTGACCTGCAATTTTCATGCAGTCAGATAAATGCCTTCAGTTCACTTTTATCCAGAAATTGAAGTTTAACAGAGACAGTGATATGTCTTACATAGATAAACAAGCCAAAACATACAGAAACATAGATGTAGTTTGTCTAAAGCTATAGAGACAAGAAAAAGAAAGGAATTTTGAACACAAAAATGAAATTTGCATGAAAGGAAATGAAAGGAAATGCATATTCATATAAGGACCTTTAATGTCAGGCAGCGATTGTCAGCCTACAAATATTACCTGATTTTGTGAAGGCAGTCATTTGTCTTTATTGTGGAATCACTCCCAAAGTAGAGGAGTTCAGATTCAATAAGCAGTACTTTGATAAGTTAGAATAATTAAGTGAATATTCATGAAAATGAGGGGATGTTTACATATTGATCAATTGGCGATTGAGGTTATATAATCAACTGTGAGTTTCCAACTCTGATACATGAACTCTCTCTCTCTTGCTCTATATATATAGAGAGAGAGAGATCGAGAGATCATAAAAAGATGTAACTTTATTTTGATTTTTTTTTTGTAGGGCTTTATTTTTGATGTCCAAAAGTGGATTCAAGCCACCACAGTTAAAGGACAAAAATAAATGGTACTTAACTTTAAGTATTGCATGTATTTTGAGATTCTAGTAAGAATAATTATCTAGAAGTTAATTGAATATTTTATTTATGATTTTAATTTCAGTGGTGTACTTAAAGAGATTTTGAAATTACCAAACACTGTATAAGCAGAATTTTTATTAAGGACTCAGTTTTGACATTTTTATCGAGACTGTTGAGATTGATTAAATTCAGCTTCTGAGATAGTTATCTTTCTTGACAAACTGATATTGCAACTAAATCTTCTCGCTTAAATTATGTACTGAAGTTTTCTGTATAATTTACAATTTTATAAAATTGTATTATTTTGTGAGCTCGCTCACAATTCCTCTAGTTTATTTTTATGTTGTTCAGAGAAAATTGCATATTGCACAAATTGACAATTACAGAATATTCAAATTGAATATCTTTGTTATTTCATACCGGTAATTTATGTTACCACTAATAAAAATTGAGCGATATATCTTTCAAAGAATTGTGATAATTCAAGCTGAAGATAGTACCTGTGATGTGATAAATTTTTATGAAATTTAGGTCTCAGATATTCCAACATTTTATCAAAGTGGCACTCACAAAAAACCCCAAGAAGAGGCCCACAGCTGATAAACTTTTAGAGGTGAGTACAAAAAAACCAAACCAAAAACTTACATGTATTTCATTAATGAAAGATCATCTTTTTATATAAGTCAAACAATTCATAGAAACAACTAACATAATGTATTTTTTAGCATCCATTTGTACAAAGTGAATTCTTGAGTCGTAATTCAACCCGGGAACTTCTAGACAAGGCTCGCAACCCTTCAGCTGGGGATTTTGATTTCACAGAGGATGACGATGGGGTAATTAACTTTATAAAGAAAACTTATGCATTCATATCTCTTTTTCTCTTTAAAGATGAAATACATTTTCATCAATTTTGTTTTTCATGATTTTACTGAATTTTCAGTTTTCTTCAAAAAAAAAAAAAAAAAGAAGTTCAAATATTTACATATGCAAATGTTTTCCCATATATAGTACTATTTGAACAATGCATATTTAAACATATATTGAAACAGGTTTGTCACATGACCATAAATTCATTTTTAAGTCATAAAAGATCGACATAATTTGCCATTGCAATCATAAGTGGTTAACATGTTTAACACATTCAATCCATACTGTTGAGGTTTGAAAAAAATAAATCATTTCAAGGGTTTGAAACTATTTGATGCAAATATATAAGTTATATTATAACCATTTGCCCGATCGCCCAAGACACAGAAATTTTGTAGCGGATGAACATATTTGCATGTATCAATGCCCAGCTGGAATGTATTAAAATTTTCTACAATTAAAATTCATTTTTGATATATCTCTCTTAAATCAACTTATAGTATCGGTACAGCAAAGTGTAACAAGTCAAGGGGCAGAATTCATCAGTCATTAGAATGGGGATCGAAGTTGTGATGCCCTGGTCCAGTCACATGATCACTAAAAACAAATTTCATGTACTAGTATAGTAGACAATTATTTTCTAAGGCTAGTAGATCTTTTGTCAGGGCTGAGAACTTTTACTCTGCATGTCTAGCATATTTTATGGTGAATTTCAATTATTTTCAAACACTGCTAAAAGGTCAGTTACATTTCCAATAAATCTTTGAAAAATTGTTTATTTCTTAAGATAAGAATCAAATACTAGTAATGTATATTAAACAAGATTTTCAAAACAAATATTTTAAACTTGCAATTTAAATTAAGTGTAAGAAAAAGTTAACTGTAGTACACTTATGCTCTACAGATGGATCTCAAACGAACTGACAACTTGCTCTTTGATCAGATGTTCGAGGTTATTTTATGTAAACTAAGAATACATTCAAGATATGAAGAAACAATGCTTATACATTGATTGATAAAAGCATGTTGATTGAATAGTACTGAAATGAAGCCCATTAAGTTCTTCAGTTGACTTTAAAATGTGGGAGATTTTACATCATTGACCTTTGTTTACTATTGGAGGTGTCAGGTAAATTCAGACCCTTTTAAATTCAGACTTGAATGTTCAGTTCCACAGCAAAAATTGTGACATATTTGTTTCATTATTTAAACTTATTTGTATGTTCATATGCTCAGACTTTAGATAAAATTAAAAAAATTCTCTTATGCGAGATGCCATTGAAGCCCTGCATGCTGTTGATTTTAAAGTCATAAAGAGGATATTTAAAGTTACTTGATCTCATGATTCAAGGAAAGAGATCTGACCAAAATAGGTGTTAAAAGTTTTACAGAAAAATATACAGTACACAGAGAAACAAAATCTTCAAAAAAAATCAGCTTAAAAACAGCAAGGTTACAAATTCATGTACCTTCAGGTAGAGAAGAGCATCATAATTCAGGTTTGTTTTAAGTCATGGCTTAAGGGCTACATGGTTCTCCAGGAGAGATTTACAGAGGATGTGTCACAAAGAAAAAGTTGCTGCATCTGACTCAGATGGCCATTAAGGTCCAGGGGCCATGTGCTGTCAGTGAAAATATTTTGCCTTTCTATTGTGTATATTTTTTAATTAATTTGGTTAATTAATTTTCAGGTTTTACAAAATGCTCCTAGGAGAATTTCATCACAGAACTCATCACAAAGCAGTAATGCACGCAACAGCTTGGAGTTCCAAGGTATGAATCTCATAACAGATTTGTATTGTGATAAATATATTGATATTTATTGTATGCCCTATTGATTTAATTTCACTAAAATTTACATTGATCATTTTACTTGCAGTGAATAACATCCCAACAGATCATGTAAGTTTGTTTTGTTCTGTGAAGCTAAGTAGATTTCTTTTAATATGCAAAGGCATGTAGTAAATAAAAAGTGCCAGAAAAAAACTAATTTTATCTGATGAGTAGCTACTGATGAGATTTACCTTTATGTATTATAGGATGGGGACTTTAAAACAGCCAGCTCCTATCTGGACGATCCTGTATCTGAAATGTATGTCATTCTATTTACAAATCATATATACTTTGTTCAGTATATCAGACAGTGTGCTATCTTGTGAATTTCCATTTAAAATATGTATGTCTCTGTTGTGAATGATATATTGTTGAATGCACATGTGAAAAACAACACAGTCATATTAGTATATACTTGCAGTGATTGGCAATCAATGAAAAATAATAATTTGTATGTAAGCAGACAGAGTTCAGTGATCCATTTTCTGAGTAATTGATTGCAAGTATTTGTAGTATCCTTTAAATTATTTTTTTTTCATTCTAATCCAATGCTGTTATGTCAATAAATGAAAAATACCAACAAAATTGATTTCCTTCTGTGAAATCACTTATTTTTTTTTTTTTTTTGGGGGGGGGGGGGGGGGGTTAAATGTTCGTTGTTTTCATGGTATGAAGAGACCCACAATTTAGTGTCTTCAACAATGTGTTTTAAAAATGTTAAATGTTACTGTAGCATGTTTATGTCAACCACGAAAAAAAAAAGTCCCCAGGAAACATCTTTTCTCAAACCACAAAATTTTAACCCCACAAAAATAAGTGGTTTTACAGTATTTAAAATGCTGAATTTTAATGATAAAGGATAATTGTAAGTTAGACTCTTGACCAAAATGAATTTCATAATTTTTGTTAGTGATCATTTATAGCTATAAAATCAATTCCTTTCACTTAAAAACTTGTTTACTAATAATACATGTAGTTTTTAGCATAACATAATTCTGAGCTGTCTGGAGTTGGCAGCCATGTTGATATTGATATATAAAGTCAGAAACATCAGAAAATGCTGAATTTTTAATTTCAGAATTTTTGGGGTCTTTAAGACAAATTGGTTTCATTTACAATCAGTCATTGACCTATAACTGCTGTAGAAGTTTGATTTGATATTCATAATTTTTGATTTTTAAAGTTTCTACAAGAATATGTTCCAAACATAGTTAATTAAGTAAACATAAGTTGATATGTATTTTGTTTAATTTTCATTTTTTTTTTTTTTTTTTTTTTTTTTTTTTTTTGGTGGGTGGGTTAGGGGGAGGGGGATAAGAATATAGATAAGTTTGAATTCTGTGATGGATGATATGAGTTGCATTAGAAAAAAAAAATAACTGTAGCAATTTGAGTTTAAATTACAACATACATGTAAGTCTTGATGATAAAATTTGCTCCATAACAAGGCACAAGGGATATTATTTATATTCTATAGTTACTGCATTTAATGCAGCTTTATTATTTTTTTTTTGTAAGACACATTTAAGAAGCTTGTATTGAATCTTGGTATTTTTGTCCTTGTCTTCAGATCTTCAGGAAGGAAGTACATGTACAAACCTGGAACTATTTATGTGTAATTTCAGTTTGATTTTTTTTTTAATTTCTGAAAGCTCTTGTCTAACTAAAATTGAAATGCTTCTTCTCATCAAAGAAATAATGACATTAATATACCAAGAATTAAAAAAAGTGTTGATATGCTTTTAATGGGAAGGAGAAGCATGAATTTCATTTTATTCACGCTGTAGATCTGATGTTTATATGGATGCAGAAACTTAATTTCACTAAAATAAATGTGCCTGTCTTAATTATATATTAAAACAAGTAATTTCTCATTTTTTTAAATACAATTTCAGTAAAACTCTTCTTTTTTTCAATATGTAGAATATTTCACAAAGATATTAAGACAGAGATGTTATTAAAACAAGACCTCATACACGTACCTGGTATTTTGCATAAGTTCCAGTTTATTTTAACAGAATTTTATTATCAGGGGAATTTTATAAATTTTTAGATAAGAAAAAAGCATGATTTGTACCAATGTAGGAAAGGTATGGTGAATGCAGTGAATCTGCATTCTGGTCTGCATGACTTCCTACTACAATATGTCTGTCTTCTTTGTGTTAACCAGTAATATCTACACACATGTAAGAGTTTCAATAACTTATTTTAATATTTGTCCCTCCCCTCATAATGATGGTAAGATATGAGATGTTGATGAGCTTGGCTCTGTATTTATTTAGGGGCCTGTTGGATTCTGTGAATGAGGAGCTCATTCAGAGGTAAAACCTTGCCTGATCTAGTTTGTATATGTTTGTATCCTTGTGTTTTATCATTTCATGCAATTTATTCTAACCCTGAAGATTACAACAAACAGATGGGAAGGGAAAATGTCACTAGTTTCATTTTAGAATTTAAAACAAAGAAATTAACATAGTGGAAAGCCAGTGAGAAAAATGGTGGAAGAGATATATTAATCATAGATCATTTAATATGTTTGTGAAGTGTCCATAAGTAATTTTATTGTTGTATGTATAGTATTTTTTAATCTATAGAATTTAGTATTCAGAATTTATCCATACAAATTATATGTAATTTTCCTCATAAATTATTGGCATGAATCTTAGACAATGAGATTTAATTGCTGGCATTTCCCTAGTGTACAGTACGTGGGATTTGCTGGTATTCCCTTAGTGTACAGTGGGATTTGCTGGTATTTCCCTAGTGTACAGTGGGATTTGCTGGTATTTCCTTAGTGTACAGTGGGATTTGCTGGTATTTTCCTAGTGTAGAACATTTATGTAAAGGAAATAAGTTCCAGTTCTATAGTATGTTATTTGGGAATGGGACTTCATTTTAATTGTATCAATCATATAATCAGAGCTTTGTCAATATACACACAAAGGTTTTTCTCCATTTCATAATCAGAAGGCAGTATATATATATGGTGACACAATACCTATGCACCACTGCTTTGCAGCTTTATTTGTCTTCACCAGACTTCATTCTCAGTTCATATATGTACATGTTATCTTACGCCTGTAATTATACAGGAAACAGTGTAAATGTATTATCTCATAGATTTAATAACCATAATTCAAATCTTTGCAGTAGTAAAGCTGTATTGATTTCCCAACTCAAATAATTGTATGGAATGAATTCTAAATTTCTTTAGTGAATCTTTGTACATTTCAGTAAAATGTAGTCCAGTGTTTAAGTGAATATGTTCAATGTAGGAATAGACCATGAAGGGTATATGATATTAATCCAGTCATAATTTCATTGTCCACAACTTAAGCTAAGTTTTTAGGCTTTTATGTCCACTAAAAGCAAGTTTGTTGTTGTTAGGGGAGATGCACAGTACCCATCTTAGTACATTTGCACAAAAGGAGGAATGCCAATCTCCCCTGTTTATTTTTTATCCAGGACCTTTGGATTGACTCATAGAGATTTTTATGCCTCTCAAAAGTTTTAGCATGTTTTCTGATATATAAGAGAAGGAAATTTCCTGAATGGTGCATGATGGGATAGGCCAACTTGCTGGAGTTTGTGTTAAGAATATTGTTAGATTCTTCCAAGTTATCTTATACATTCATGTATAATTTCTTGTTGATCGAGGTATTTTATAACAATATGGTTGATCTTTAAAATGTTTGAAAATTTGAAAACAAACATTTTTTTTAATACAGTTAACTTTAAAACTAATGTATATGATGTGCAGTGTTTTATAATTTTTGATCCAAATGAAATATTGTCAGAGTTGTTTCTTACTTAATAAAAATTATTTAGGGGTCATGAGAGCCAAACATCAACCCCAGTGGAGGATATCCCGTTGTCAGAACAGTAAGCCAATGAAACTGTTGTTACAGATCTCCCTATCTCTACCAACCAATTAGATGGAATGATACTCACATAGTCTTCTTGTTCCCTAATCCTTATGCAGTTCTTGAATGATTAGGAAAGGTTTTATGAACTGTTTGTATACGCTGTTACAATTTGTTTGTAGAGACTGGTTAGTTTCTCTAACATTTTTCATTATCTCTTGCATGTTATTTATTTACATGGTACATATATCAATTAATGTTTCATCTCATGCCAAAGACTCATGTGAGATTTTCTGATCAAAAAGTGTCTGTTCATCTTTATGTCTTGAGTCTTCTATAAATTTTCTAAATTTAATTTTCTTCTCCACGATGGTGATGCCATTTTCAACCAAACATGTCACAAAGCATCCTTGAATGGAGGAAATTCGAATTTGTTCAACAGAAGCGTCTTGATCATCTTTTTCAGAGGGAGATTATGAAAAAAAAAAAAAAAAAAAAAAAAAAAAAAAAGGGAAAATTTGGTGATTTCATTTAAAAATCTGCTGTTCAAGAACCACTGGTCCAAGAAAACCAAAAGTTATGTGAAAGCTTCCTTAAAGAGTGTAAATTCAAATTTATTCAAATCAGAATGCTTAGGGCTAGTCTGGTGCCACAACAGGGGGTCAAATTTAACATAGTAATCAGATTTTTTTAAAGGTCTGTAGGGGGGCAGAAATAAGGCCCATTCCCAATGCTAAAAGAAGGTATTTTCCCCAATTTTTGCTATAAAATCCCCAATCAACAAAAAAAACCCATCAAAACAGGGTTACCTAGACTTATTGTTCTTAAATCTCCTTCACAGAACCCCATATTAAATTTGTTGCCATAAAATTGTTCAGAAAACCGTTTTTTTTTTTCAAATTGAAAGTCAAAAGAAGTCCAATTATACGTGTACCTGGTTTATGCACTGAATTGGTTTTTTCCCTACTTCTTTGTATGAAAGAATTTTCCCAATTTCAAGCAAATGTTGTTATTTTTTCCCTTGGAAATATAAAGGGAAAATCAGTAAAAATCTTTTTCTCAAGAACAGCAGAACCATATTTAGTTCTTTTAATAAGCGGATACCCAGATGTAGATTCATTTTTTTTTTCAAATCATAGCTCCAGGGAGATCAAATATTCACATAGAATATATTGGAAAAAAAACTTAATCTCTTTTTCAGAAAAGCAAAAATCTGCTGCTCAGAACAGCAGGGCCATGACTAGTATAATTAATATGCATGCATTCTTAGGTAGTGCAGACTGAAGTTTGTTCTGATTATGGCCCCTGGGGATAGGATGGGGCTCCAGTTGGGAATCAAAATTTTACTGAGACATATATTTGAAAAATGTATTAAAATCTTCTCAGAAATAGTAGGGCAATGGTTAGTCATGTTAATATTCAAATATTTTCAATTATTAAATGCAGATTGATGTTTGTTCAAATCATGGCCTCCAAGGGTAGGGTGGGGTCCAATTTTGGGATAAAAATTTTATGTATGAATATAGAGGGGAAAAAAATCTTCAATTCCAGAACAGTAGGACCAGTATTAGTCAAATTAATATGGCATTTTCAATAAGTGCAGATTGAAGTTTGTTCAAATCATGGATAGGATGGCTCCACAAACCATAGCCAGAGGATGTAGGTTTGCCACAATATGGAATCTGAAATATTCACTTGGAATATTAATATTTAGGAAAAAAAGTTTTAGTGCAGGTTCATATTTTTTCCAGTTCAAGCCCCTAGGGTGAGAGAGGGAATAGAATTTAAGGGAATATATAGGATTTTTTAAAAAAAATATTCAGAGTTAAGGTAATACCACCCTTGTATGATGTCATAGATATTTGCAAAATATTTTATTAATTTAACTTTGCAAATGCCCACTAAGAATATGTTTTTATGGAAGATTGTTTTTAAATAGGTGTACATGCAACTGAAAATTTTGTTTAATAAAAGAATTTTTAAAAAATTGTAACATTAACTGTAATTAATCAATTATTAATCTTTTAAAAATGTGCAGAGGGCAATAACTCTCGCCATGTATCTTCATTCATGCATACTGTATTATAATATTAGTGATGGGTATCGCCAAAAATTTCGTATCGCGATATATCACGATTTCCCCCCAAGATATCACGATAATATCATGATATTTTTACAAGCAATTTTTACAATGATTTTACATGAATATTCATAATTTTTCCGAAAAATATGCTGGAAAAACATAACTTCACTTTTTTCATTTTTTTATTGACATAATATCAAGCAATTTTGGATGCTAGAATGCCTTTCTTTTACCCTTTTCAACATTTTTTACACTTCCTGTAATTATAATTTGAAAGATTGAACAAATAAATGAATAATGTTCTGGAATTTATAACTATGTACCTAAATACCGGTATTTTTGTCTCCGTATCATGATACGTATCACGCAATTAAAAATCACGATATACCAGTATACCGATAAAATCGCGCATCCCTATATAATATACTTGACAAAGTGAATTTTCCCCTGATATCCCCAATTTATACTGATTTATTAAGTTAGAATTATTTATAATTTTCATTATCAAAAGTATGTCATTTGAACAAGTTTTAAAATGATTTTGATAATGCTGTTTACCAAAAATGAGAGATTTTTTATACTAACAGGTACTTCTGTTTTTCTTTGTCTGACATCTTGAAAAATGTTGCAACCTAGATATTTTTGTAATAAATTAAATCAAACTCTCTTCAGTGGAAATTGAGGCAGTTTTTAAACTTTGAATCCATAAAAGTATGAGTATAGTGTCACCTTAAGCAGGGTGACACTATATCAGATTGCTATATATGCATCATGTTGATGTTGATTCAGGTTTATTAGAATTATATGGACATTGGGTTAAAATTTGGGATAAAATTACATAATATAGGTACAGACCCTGAAACTTGCTACTACCCCAAAAAAGCGTGTGACTTTCGTGCGCTTTTCTTTTCGTGCAAACCGTGTAGCGTTTCGTGTAAACCGTGCAGCGTTTCGTGTAAGCTCCAAAGCATTTCGGGCAAACGGTGTAGCGAGCGTGCGAGAAGCGTGTGAGAAACGTGCGACTTTCGTGTAAGAACCGTGTGAGAAACATGCGATTTTCGTGCAAGAATTGTGTGAGAAACGTGTAGGATTCATTCGGAAGTCCTCTTATTTTGAATATGACTATTGTTGGATCAACATGTCATTCTGTGTTGTTTATAGCTAATATTATTCGGATATATCATACCGGTGGTATTTTAAGAGTAAAAAAAAAAATAGGGAAACAACAAAATAAAATTATTCGGTAATGTATTACATATTTGTTTGATTTTCTTTCTTTCTTTATTTATATAAAGATGGACAGAAAATGTGTTAAAAGTAATTAATTATATGCACATCAATTTAAAGGTAATTGATTCAATAGATTTTTTAAAGGGAGCAATACTTAATATATTTTTTAAAAAGAAAATTCATTAGGAATCCGGTCTTGTCCTTTTCATTCAGTTATTTGAATACCTTCACCATTGTACATGGGATATAGAGATTACAAGAACATATCGGTGATTCATACAAAATAATAGATACATGTAGATACATGTATGGCAGGCATGAAAAATAAAATGCAAAATTTAGTGTGTTGCTATAAATGTGAAGTATAAGATTTCTAGGCCGGGGAGCACAGTTTATTGATTTTCTTTATGAACGAACATATTTTTCTTATATTACAAGATTGTGATACAAATAATTTTGAAATTGATGAGTCATTTATTGTCTTTTTATGCATAAAATCGGTTGATTAATAAAAGTCTTGTAAATGAATTATAATTCACATACATCAGCAAATACAAGGTTAAATATTTCAGGGGGGGGGGGGATCAAATGAAAGCAAAAACTGAGTTTTTGTTGTAAACAAGTGTTTTATTGATATTTTTCTTTTGTAAGAAAATTATTGCTTTTTTCGATGGGGTGCGCCCAATTCACCCTTAAAAAAATATAATGGATTCTTCTTTACACTTTCAACACTCTACTTACGACTGCGATCAAGGTCATTTACGACAGCGATCACGGACTCCGCATGCCGGGATTGAAAACTTGTTCTGCTATTATCTCTTGTCAATCATAGCTAAGATGACACCCGACAATAAAGATCAATTAATTAAACGGTAATACCCGTTGATTTTATTTCTTAAATTTATCCGATTGTCTGTAAACAGTAAATTAATTTGCCAGTGAATTCGTGAATAAAATAATATAAAGAAATAAATCCTATATAATTATATATTAATTGTTTTTATTAGTCATGCAGTTCTAGGACATAGGACATGTATACATATATATTGAATGTATTGTTAAGAGCCGCGACTATTGATTACATAATTATTGATTTTTATCTAGACGGGGTTTGAAATCAAGGATTTTAAAAGGCGGTTGGACATTGTATACTGATATTTAATAAACACAATACCGGAAGAGAGAACGAAAGAATTACAATACATATCCCCCGGCTTCTCTACCATATAAGATTTTAATGATAAATTAAAGTTTACCTCTGTAATGAAAATATATATTTACCATTCTGAATAAAGTGCATATTAATGAATTACATGTATCAGGTCCCGCTGAAGACATGAATATCTTTTTTTTTCTTAGAATGGGCACTTGTTTCTATAATAATTTTTTCCTGATTGTTTACTTACTAAACCAAGTGCCCGTTATATTTAGCCATGTACAGATTTGAAGATACAACAGTAAGATCTCGGTAATCTACCCCCCCCCCCCCTTTTTTCCTGCACAATGTTCCTGTTTGAAGCAGTGTACACATTACATTTGAAAATTTTAAACAGAGCCTAATTTAATCAAATGAAATTATTTTCTTTACTAAATCAAAAAAAAAAAATATGTATAAATCAATCAATAATAAAAAAGGAAAAGAAAATCAATCCGTTAACAGAAATCATACGCAATTTAATCAATATTTTTTTTTTTCAAATATAACTGTGAAACTGAGTTTATTTGTCAGTAATAAAGTCAGTAATGGAACGTCTTTTTAGTATCAAACTATAATTGTAAAAACATTAAATGCTGTAAAAAATGATGAATTACAAATATAATTTTTTTTTTTCAGTGCATAATTTAGAGTCTAGTGAAAAAAAGTTTGACGATGATGAGCATTTCATCGGGCGGGTCACATACTCATTGACAACTATTAATTAATTACAACTGAACATTGAGTATTTTATCTGTTAATATAGTTCTGGTGTAGCAAGTTTTAATCATAACTTAATCTGAATGATTGTAATTCTTAACTACTCGTTGATTAATCCGTAATAACTGAAATAAAGTCCAAGAGATTCCGAATAGAAAATCCAGATCGAGGCCAAAGCGTGCGAGAATCGTGTACAAAGCGTGTGAGAAACGTGTAGAAAACGTTTCGTGCAGGCTTTCGTGTAAACCGTGCAGCCTTTCGTGCAAACCGTGTAGCGTTTCGTGCAAACCGTGTAGCGTTTCGTGTAAACCGTGCAGCATTTCGTGCAAACCATGTAGCAAGCGTGTACCGTTCGTGCAGCGTGCGTGTGGGGTAGTAGCACGTTTCAGGGTCTGTATATAGGGGGAAAACTTTTTTTAAAAAAATCTTTTTGTTAGCTATGTTAGCTAGGATATAGAACCACATTCATTGGATTGTAAAAGAAAGATTTGAAGAACAGCAGGACCAAGGTGGCCTCAGGTGAGCATTGTGGCCCATGGACCTTTTTTTGTACCGTTTATGATCGATAAGATGAGTATTTGTCTACATTTTGTGTCTTTTTGTTAAATATGGAATAGGAATATATACAAAGCATGTGATGGATGTGATGGGTCTTGAAAAATGATGGGCAATTTCCTGGCTTGTCTTTGACAAATGGAAAAGTTTGAAAATAGCAGGAAGTTTGTGTAAAGGTCATGAGAATATTTCGGTCATTTATGGTTTGATATATCCTTGCTTCAAAGTGAATGAAGTATTAAAATATAGGGAACTTCTGTCCGTTTCCTCTGGAATATTAAAGTTCTTCCTAGCTTTTTTTAAATATATACATTGCATACATTAGATCATACATATTTAATAGCAAGGCATCATACTGGATGTCTATTGGCTGATTGCTCTTTTCAATATACCTGTAACCACCCTGACTTATGCTGTGTAGTAGTTAGTTCTTGTGCTATACTATTATCAACTTTAAAGGGGGGATGCTATTTGAAAAACACAATTCTTCATAGACTTTAGAATTTCTTCCACCTCAGTGAAAATTTTGGATTATTTTTTTAACCTTTTGTTGTTACTAATGCACTGTGTTTCTTTCAGCACTTGTTACTTAATGTTAAAAGCTTACAAAGTTGATGCATAAGTATGCACTTCAGTTAATTAAGTGACATTTAAGCATACAGGATGATAATATATAGTTTAAGTACATATGTATTATCAAGAGAATCAATGAATTCAAAGGTGTTATTTCAAAGACTGATATTTACATAATACAAATGTCATATACATTATTTAAATGTATCAGACATTTTGAGGAGGATGTTATGATTTGAAGGGGAGCTAACCAATAGAATTTGATAATCTCTGTGTCAGCTGAGTTTTGTGTGTACTTACAGATCAACTCTACAAATTAAGCCACCTCCAAGATTGCCAAAGGTCTGTACTATTAAACTAATTTTTTAACATGTTATGTGCTCTAAATAGCAGGGCATTTTTAAAAATGAAGTATTTTAAAGAGGCCTATCTCTTAGAGCTAGTTTTGTTGGTGCTTTTTTAAAAGATTTAATACATGTATTTTATAAATTAATATTAAAGGTGCTTGGACACAGATTTAAAGTTAATATTTTCTCAAGTTTTCGGTATAATATCATGACTTATATGTTGCTACAGCATTTCAAATGGAAATAAATTTAAAAAATTATTTTTTATCTGGAAATTATTGAAACTACATTAACACATTACACATTAACAATAACAGAGCTCGTGTCCTGTTTACAAAAACAGTTTACGTTTCACTGGTGTGTTCAATTTGTTAAACTCTGCACACATCACTGAGCATGGACTGACAATACTGTTGAGTTGGTTTTGCTTTCTCACATTTTCTCACATTTCTACTCTTTATTTTCTGGATTATAGTTTAATATTTTTCATTAATGCACAACAAAATTTCTACTTTTCTTAAGTATTAAGGATAAAGTTTACTTTGTGAAAGTGCATAGATGTGTCAATCAAACGCGTTCCGAAATTTGCAGTTTCAATAATTTCCAGATAAAATAAGTGTTTAGGTCACCTGAGTCACTCTGAGTCACTTAGGTGACCTATTGCTATCCGTTTTTGTCCGTCGTCGTCCGTCGTGCGTTAACATTTAAACATTTTCAGCTTCTTCTCTGAAACTGCTCAACCAATTTCAACCAATTTTGGCATATAGCATCTATGGGTGAAGGGGGACAAAAATTGTGAATTTCATGGTCCCTGCCCCCCCCACCCAGGGGCCTGAGGGGTGGGGCTAAAACCACCAAAATTAATGCAATCTTTAAAAATCTTCTTCTTTACTCCTGGACATCAAGCAGTCAAACTGTTGACATGATTGTAATAAGCATTGAGCCCTCTATTAAATTTGTGAAATTCATGCCCCCAGGGTCAGGGGTTCTGGTGCTAGGGCAGGGCTATATAGATCATATAGTGAAAGTGCATTATTTCTTTGAAAATCTTCTTCTCTACTCCTGGGTATTATTTAAACAAATTAAGTACATTGTTATGATAAGCAAGGATGCCTCTTCCAAAATTGTGAAATTCATGGCCCCAGGGACAGGGGTTCTGGTGCTAGGGCGGGGCCATATATATATCCTATAGTGAAGGTGAATTATTTCTTTAAAAATCTTCTTCTCTGCCCCTGGGTATTATTTAAATAAACTGTTAGTACATTGTTATGATACGCAAGGATGCCTCTTCCAAAATTATGAATTTCATGGCCCCAGGGTCAAGGGTTCTGGTGAAAAGGGGGGGGGGGGGGGCTCTATTGATTATGTAGTGAAAAAGCAAAATTTCTCTGAAAATATTCTTTTCTGCTTCTAGTTAAAAAGCAAAGAAACTAAGTGTATAGTTATGATGAGCAAGAGTGCTTCTTCCAGAGTAGTGAATTGCATGGCCCGTGGGTCAGATGTGCTGGTGTAAGGGTGAGGCTCTTGATAATATAGTGAAAATGCATTAATTCTATTAAATAATCCTGTATTCTCCTTAGTGTTAAGCAGATAAACAAAGTGATTACTTATGATGAGCAAACTTCTGGTCCCAGGGTGAGAGGCTCTGGTGTTTCTCGATGGGGGGGGGGGGGGGCTCTATTGATAATGTAGTGAATCTGTAGTAAAAATGCATTATTTCTTTAAAAATATTCTCTGCACCTGGGCATATCAGAGGCAAAAAGAGTAAAAGTTTTAATAAGGAAGGGTTTTTTACCAGATTTTTGAACATCTGGACCATTTGGTGAAGTGTTCTGGTCCTGGCTAGGGCTCTATTAATTTGTAATCTACTGAGAGGAGTTATTCCCCTTTGCCATTTACTTTTGATAATTAATCACTGTAAGTAATGTACTTGAAAGGTTAATAGAATAAGACAATTATGCAAGAATTTTTATTGTATAATACAAAAAGTACTTTCATAGTTTTAATGATCAGGTGGACTTGTAAGTAATAGATAAATAAAAATGAGACAAAAATAACTTGTCTTATTAAATGTTCATCAAAGACCAAGAAAGGCCAATGTAAGAGATTTCAACAAGGAATTAAGATAGTAAAGAAGCACTGATAGTTTGTTAATTTACTGTATGGTGATAGTGTTAAATGGGGAACAGATCAGAACTTAATTTATGAAATGTTAATGAATGCTAGACTAATTACTTTTTTGATCCTGATCACTCTATTTTTCTGCTTCTGGGCAACAAAGCTTCACCTTTCAGTTCATTTTATACTCTATGGATTCTCTAAATTGTTGTATTATACTCAGGTGACCGTTAAGGCTCTTTGGCCTCTTGTTTTTATTTTATTTCCATGTGAAATGCTATGAAAACATAAAAGTCATGATATTATACCGAAAATTTTAGAAAATATTAACTTCAAATCTGTGTCCAAGCACCTTTAATATTTTTTTTAGCCACAAGTTGCAGATTGAAAAAAATTTAATTCATTAGAATATTCTTTTTTTGTAATACTTCTTTTTGATTCAATTGTTTGAATAGAAAAATTTCTTTGCACCGCCAACCCAGTCAAATGATACTGATATAGAAAAATTTCTTTGCTCCAACCCAGTCAAATGTTATTGATATGTTTTTACTTTTTTTAGCCATTACCTGAGCTGCCGAAAGATGAGAGGCCTGAGGACAGTGGTAGTCCCCGATTTGAAGACAATGGGCCAGACTTAGATGCCATTTTAGATCGAGAACTGACTCTAGTACCTGGATCTAGGCCACCCCAGAAGTCCGAGGACAAGCCACCAGAACTACCGCCAAAACTCAGCAGACGTCAGAATGGTGTGCTGGACCTTGGGAGTGGAGGTGGTGGTAATGTGACAGAGGAACCTCCACCTATGGTACCTCGCAGAAAAGACAGAACCAGTATGGTATGTGGGGCATCTAGCATATCAAAGATTGGTTTATTATGTTAGAGGTTTAAAGAATTTAACAGTATCATGTGTCAGTGAGAAAACAGATCCAAGATTGAATAAGTGTCTTGCATGATTGTTAGTGATTCTTTTGTAACAAAATTTTAGAATCTTCTAAGTTATGAGCTGGTAAGTTGACAAGGGATTGTCCTTTTCTTTCTGTTTGTATGGTTATTGCTTTTTTAGTAAGGAAATGTTTGTAATAAGAATTATTAATTGTAAAGTGTACAGTGTTTAAAAATGATACTTATATAGTTGCTCTTAGCATTTAGAATTATCTGTTTATTAAAACATGCATGCGATGGGGCAATGTACTTGAAATTAACTGTTCTGCATTGCAGATTGTTGTCACTGCTCATGTTTATCTGTTCTTTTGTCTTGGGAATTTTTGCCATGTTTTACAATTTTTCAATGTTTATGGCAGTTGTTATTTTGGATGTGGATTTGGCTGTAAGTGCGTACAGGTTTTGCTTTAGGTGCTTGGATCAAGGACACCCAGCAGGATAGAAATGTGCAGTAGAATCGTGCTTGTTTTCTCTACCATTTAGTCGCTGAATTTAAAATCCAACATTCTGTATCACTTGGTTCTGACTTAAATTAGGATCAACACTATGCCTTAATGGCTTGAAGTAAAATTCAGCATCAAGCTCTTAATCAATATAATAGCCTTCAATATAGGTGATTTTTATTTAAGATTCAAATATCTGTGTTAGGTAGGTAAAATCTGCATGTAAGTATATATAACAGTAGGTTCTGACCCAATTAAAAAAAACCTGACAGTATTGGCTTAAGACCTGAGGCTGTATCTTAAAATATGAATTAAGAACAAATTACCTTGCCATGTTGTTCAACATGAAATTGACTGTGGACCACATGAAAAATATTGGAAACTTTTCTTCAGACACCATATTACGCTTCTGGTATTTATCTATCAATACCCTCTCCCTTCATTTTCGGGGGTTGAATTATTTTGTTTGGCTTTTGGACAGGAATTCCCAGATCTGTTGCATTTTGGCATTGCCTACTCTGACATAAATTTATATGATAATGTTGATTGTATATCTGCCCATTCAGTTGTTCACTTCAGTGTATTCTTTATTTTTTAATTATCTTGCAATATATACCTTTTATATGAACTTAACAAACTTCATATGAGATTACCTTGAAGCTTTGATACTTCTTTTACAATCATTATGATTGGGAACTATTATTATCATTATGTAGTCATATTCCTGAATTCTGGACAAGAATGACCTCATGCAAGCTTAGTGAACTTGATATTAAGTTATGCCACTGCTAAACATGTGCATTGTAATTCTGAAAATATGCCTCATTTTATTTTCATTTTTTACCATAATTTCTTTACTATTACTGCTAAATTAGATAGATCAAAATTTCAGTTTTCTTCCGAGCTTAAACATATACCGTATATACTCGCCTATAAGTCGGTCCACCTATAATTTGGTTGTATTTTTTAAGCTTACAGTAAAGGGATTGACCCGCTATAATACCAATATTTTTATACCTCGCCTGTAAGTCGGACAAGGGTTTTTGGACCAAAGTTTAATTCCCAATAAACCGACTTATAGTCGAGTATATACGGTATGTTATTTTTGAAGTCAGCAAACTTAAAAATAATAGGATTTGTGTTTCAGAATAAACCAGACAGGCCAGTCAGTAATGGGCTCCCACCCACCCCTAAAGTCCATGTAAGTTTTCAAAGGAGATGACTTAAAGACCAAGTAGCAAACTCTAATTACTTAAGCATCAGATGTACTAGGAAAGGAATATTCAATAATTTTTTTCCCTTATATAGATGGGAGCTTGCTTTTCTAAAGTGTTCAATGGCTGTCCATTGCAAATCAACTGTACAGCTAGCTGGGTACATCCAGACACAAGAGGTAACACAGATTTATATATCAGTGTTAATATGTTTTGTGCTTTTAAAATACATGTTTGTTGATCTAATTCAGTAGATAAATGATACTCTATCCCACTTACTGAATATACCTGAACTATCTGTCTCCAGATCAGCATATACTAATTGGTGCCAATGAGGGGTTGTATACTCTGAACCTCAATGAGATACATGAATCCAGTCTGGAACTGGTGAGTAACTTTTACTTGTATTACCATATATGTCCATCAAGTCCATGTTTGAAAGAGAAGTGAAAACAAAAAGATGACAATTTTTAGTTCAGCTGAATGAGATTTTCTTTCATAGTTTATTCATCGTCAATTTGTATGTAGTCCTTTTCACAATTTCAACATCTCAAGATCCACTGGGCCAACTTTTACCAAACATGCCCCCCCCCCCCCCCCCCAAAAAAAAATCCACTGTTAAAGGGAATTGCAATTTCTTTAAATTAGGGTCCACCCTCCTTTCGAAGGGGAAATAATTAAGAAGATCAGAAATACTGCTCAAGAACTGCTAAACTGAATACCACTGATATGTCGAAGTGATTTGGAAGTCCCTACCACTTATTCTTTAAGTATTTTACCGATATCTCGAATCCTCGGATATCTCAAAGTTTTTTCTCAGTCCCCTTGAGTTCGAGATAATGAGGTTTTACTGTGCACACATTTTAAAGCATTTTGATACTTTCATATTCACAGCTTCATGCAAGGAGGTGTATGTGGGTGTATGTGATAAAAGATGTTCTCATGACTCTATCAGGTTAGTATAAAGAAATGATAAGTGTTATTTCTGGGGTGGGGGAGGTATTAATTCAATTAATCATATGTGTTTAAATAAAACAGAAAAAAAGGTAGTATGTGTATGTTATGAGAAAAAACTCACTGGACTGTTTAGAACAAAAGTATTATACTTAGCTGATTTCTGTTGTAGGGAAAACAACCTGTCTGTTTAGACACGACCTGAAAATGCTTCACGGCAAGCAAGCAAATAGACTGTCTCTCCCTATGAACAAGATTCCAGAGAAATTAATTCCAAGGTCTGTTCCATATATCTGCCTTGTTTTGAAAAAAGGAAGAATTAGATAAGGATTTAAAAAGCAAAAAAGTAACACATCATGATGTTCACTTGATATTGGCTCATTTTAGTGTTCAATCAATTAGAAAGTGTAAATGTCTATAACAATGTGTTGTAGGAAGTTTAACCACACTACAAAAGTTCCTGACACAAAAGGGTGCACTCGCTGTTGTGTGGGGAGGAACCCTTATAATGGATACCGGTACCTGTGTGGTGCCTTACCACACGGCATTATCCTCATGCAGTGGTACGACCCTCTCAATAAGTTCATGCTTCTCAAGGTCAGTCACTGTCATCTCTTATTCTTTATTCACAATTCAGGTATCATTGTATGTGTCAAAGATTTCAGGTTCTCCTTGCTTTATGTACCAGCTGGTAGAAAATAATTCATTAACACATGCTCTAAGGAAATTAGGATATAGATAATTATCTGAGAATATGTCTATAGCAAATTTTAATGAATGAAATTAAAGTGCATGATATGAACATGTATACAGAATAATCATGTAACAGTGTATTCATTGCATGTAGAATAAAGATCCTTGATTTCTTTTCAGACTTTTGACTTAGACAGTATGCCACCTCAGCCCTCGGTGTTTGAGATGTTTATTTCCCCTGAATTAGAGTACCCCATGGTCTGTATGGGGGTCCGACAAAGGTAGGATAGAGATATCAACCTAATAGTGCATGTACTCATTCCTCAGATCAAATTATTTTTCCCTGAAACTGTGTACAGTAGTATCAGTAATTTAATGAAATGCAGATAAAGTCCATAGCATTTATTATTCATATTTTATTAATACTAAAACTCTTCAAAATAGATTGTATATGCATCAGTTTTTAAGTTACCTGAGTCACTCGAGTGACCAATTGCTATCTGTTTTTGTCAGTTGCTGTACGTCAAATGTTAACATTTGAGCATTTTCAGCCTCTTCTCTGGAACTGCTAAACCAATTTCAACAAATAAAATTTTTATCAATAAGTTATTCAGTAAAATAAAGGAAGCAAATGTGTAAAGGATGATATTGACCGTACAATTTTTGAAAAATATAACTTTTCACGTACAATTTTAGAAAAATATAACTTTTCACGTACAATTTTTGAAAAATATAACTTTTCACATTCAATTTTTGAAAAATATAACTTTTCACGTTCAATTTTTGAAAAATATAACTTTTCCTGAACTTTAACAATTAAAAGTTCTTTTCTCAGAGCGGAGGACTGTCCCCGCTTTGGACACCTCCATTCTTTTCACTCTGCTTTCAGTGAAGTTATTCCCCTTTGTTATTCACCTTTGATGATTAATCACTGTAAATAATGTCATTGATAGGTAAATCAAATCAAAGAATTATGCTGGGTTGTTGCTGATTATATCCAGACTAACTATTTTGTTGATCACCAATCTCTCTATTCCTCTTGGTTTTGAGCAAAATGCCTTCATCAATCAATTTATTTTGTTTTGTTTTTTTATATAAGTATAAAATTTCCATTCCACGGATTCTTTACAAGGTTGGTATTTTACTTAGGAGACTGTTAAGGCCCTTGGGCCTCTTGTTTAATGATAAAAGAATTTTTGGTGAAAACACTGACAAGTATTTCATCTTGTTAGAACATGATTTTTGAGTACTTCATCTTGTTAGAACATGATTTTTGATATGATGTGTAGCATGGCAGTTTGGCTTTTATTTTTCCAGCTCAACAGAAATCAACCAGTTAAAGTTTGACATCATGAACCTTAATTCCAGCTCCTTATGGTTTACTGAGCAAAATGACAATGGTAAGTCCATGTGTTTCCCATTTCAGTAATTTATTTGACATTAAGTAAAAATTGCTCATAATAGGTATCTTAGCTCTGAATAACACAAGTTTTCTTATTTTAGAGGAGCTGCTTCCAGTGGTGAATGTTACACAATTGGAGAAAGAGACCATTCTAGTCTGTTATGATAGTGAGTATATATACTCAGTTTGCCATTCCCTTCGCAGGTATGTTAAGGCAGTGCCCAGATATTTTTCGGTGAAGTTAGACTTTTTTCGTAAAATTTAACATTGATAAATCGGGAAAGCCATAGATAAAACATTTACTATTAATATCCATTGTATAGACGTCATTGAGTCTTAGGCTAAAAGAAGCACTCCATTACGACGTCATCACGTGACATCTATAAATAGAAAAATTGCCTTAAGGAAAAGGTGAAAAGTTCAACAGTACCCCGGGGATAATTCATTTCTTTTTGTGAAAATAATTATGTAAAAACATCACCGTGTCATAAAAAGTGCTGCTAGAATCCTACTCTCCCGACACAGAAAAAATTATTCCTAAGTTTCGCATGAAACCTTACCAAAATTTTTACATTTTGTACATACAATCAAGGAATTGTCATCAATTCATGTTAACCACACGATTCTAGCAGCACTTTCCAAGTATTATAGAATACAAGCTTTCGATACAAACAAAAATTATGTTTCAAACTATGCGGCATAGTGTTGAACTTTTGCATTTTTGTTGTTAGAGAACGACAGAGGAAAGACTGATCGGGATTTCAAATCACTGCCTGTGTTCATTTGAAGAAAACATGATAAGAATAAATTAGCGTACCTGATTCTTAATCTTTAATTCCTTATGAGTCACACAAGACATTCACGGTATATGCTTTAAAACTCCCATTTCATATATTTGTTTACATGAATTCTCGTCTTGTTATGATTCACTCGGCAAATATTTGATCAGTAGTTATGTTAGGTTTGGTATTTAACCCCTGCGATAGATACTTAGCTATTTGTACCACCCAAAAACTACAAGATTTAGTTTCTATTATGTTTTTGAATGATTTAAATTATTCCTTGGACCTGAAATTAAACTTTAAATACAGATATGAAGAAATCATTATCTCTAAAGTTCACGTCATATAGCTTACTGTGACGTCATATTGTATAGGCATGTAGGGTATCTGGGTGTAACCTTAACATACCCACATTGTTATTAGTCTGTATAGGCATGTAGGGTATCTGGGTGTAACCTTAACATACCCGCGTTGTTATTAGTCTGTTACGATCATGAGTATATAATTTAATTTTGTTTGTATTCTAGCCTCTGATTGGTCAATATCCAAAAAGGAACACAAATTATTTCTGTATAACCTGGTTTGGTATGGGGACACACCCCCCTGACAACCAGCTGAATCATCTGTATCCATACAATCCTCTCATTTCCAGTCCTCGGGATTCATGGAAAATTCCAGATTTAATAAATATACCTTTAACTTCAAACAATAATTCGATCTTACCACATGTAAACAAACAAGAAGGCTGCTAGGCCTATGTATCAGTTTTTACCTCCCCTCACTTCCCATCACTTCCGTTACTTCCGTTACTACGGTTGTATTATTGAGCGGCAAATTTGAACCAATAAAAAGCAACGAAATTTTACACCCATAGTTATTTAATGATTTTAAAATTAAATTATAAGGAATGACTCTAATTCTTGGCCAAATTATTCGAGTATAACCTGGTTTGGGTCAGTTTATGCTGTTTTATAATCCGCTTTGTGGATTTTAAAGCGTAAACTGACCCAAACCAGGTTATACTCGAATAATTTGGCCAAGAATTAGAGCATTACTAAAATATACTCAGTTTGCTATTCCCTTGTTATTAGTCTGTTACAATAGTGAGTATATATACTCAGTGCTTTAAAGCATCTTTTAGTGATGGGAATTTCAAATTGTTCAAACAAGGTCTGCTCCTTTCCGAAAGGAGATAATTAAGAAATACAGAAAACAGGTTTGAAGAGTTAACATGTACGATATAAGCTTAAAGTATTCAATGTATAACAACCATATTTCGTACCGCATAAATGCGGTAGCATTTTGAAATTGTTATCAAATAACAACTTCATGGTAGCATTTTGAAGTTGTTATCAAATAAAAATACTCCACCAGAGGAATTTACAAAATTTTGATTATTGTCCAATTAATTGCACCTTGAATTTTACATTGAAGTCTATATGCAGTACATATGTTATTAAGATATTGTATAAAGTGAATTTCATATAAATCTTTTGATTAATAAATATGCACAAATTATCTCTTTACTAAACTGTGAAATAAAATGAATTATTTACCACAGATATTTTGACAAAATTAAAATTTTCTTCTTTTCATCAAGGGCAGATAGCTCTTTAAAGACTTTTGAAGTGCAAAATAACCGCCTTCTTACATGCTATCAGACATGTGAATTTGGTTCATTTCTCTTTCATCATTATTTAGCAATGAATTTTTAACTACGGTATTTTGAAATGATTCAAAATTGTGCAAGATCCCTTCATTATACATTGAATACCTTAATAATGCATTTCATAAATCAAAAAGATTACTTGATATAATTTCAGGGTATGTGAAGGTAGTGAATATTAAGGGAAAATTAAAATCGAGTAAAAAGCAGTCCTCAGAACTTCACTTTGACTTCAAGGTGGAATCTTTAGGTAAGCTTGGACTTCCAAAATACTGTGATATTCATGTATTTTAAATTTTTCATTTTTACTTCATTCAGAGTAAAGCTGATGTCCATAATAATGTTTTTTCCCTTGCAGTGTGTTTACAAGATAGTGTTTTAGCATTTCATAAACATGGAATGCAAGGTCGAAGCTTTAAAGCCAATGAAGTAAGTTCTAAGCCTCTTTGTTTATCCTGAATTTTTAAAGGGATATGGACACAACTCACTGAAGTTTATACCTTCAAAATTATAGAAAAAATTTCATGATTACATATTGTAAGAGTGTTTCAGTCCAATATATTATGAAAGATTCTAGAGGGAAAAAATCTTTTGGGGAAAAAAATCTAAACTTTCACTTAATTAAAAAAAAAAAACAAAAAACTTTTCACTAGCATAAGCTAAAATTAATGTTTTCATTTTATAGGTTACGCAAGAAATATGTGATAGAACCCGAAATTTCCGGTTACTGGGCTCAGACAGGCAAGTTTAACTGTAATAGATAAATAGAAAATATTTTGTCTGCATTTATTTCTTTGTGTACTAAGATTGGCAAGAAAGCAGAAAAATCTTGAAGTTTAATATATATGAATGTATACATGTATATGTCTTACAATTGAACTTCAATGTCACTTAGAAGGGGGGGGGGGGGGTTCAGTATTTTGTGGCCATAATATTTTAACCCACTCCATTACACCTTGTTATTTCACTGCAGAATAGTGAGTGAGTGGTTGATCTATTGCAGACAAAATAATAATACATACTCCTGGTTTACTTTTTAGCTCACCTCAACAAATTTGGGGGGAGCTTATGTAATACCCTACATCCGCATCCCAGGTTAAAGTTTTTGGAGCAGATTTGTTTTCAAGTACTTTTATGCCATATATTAATCAGAAGCATAGGCATGCTTCTAATATGTTTCATTGTACCAGTTAAGGTTTCAGATGCTGCAATTTCAGCTAAAGAATGACCAGGTCAATGTTTTTTAAACAGGTTCATTTTCAGCCAGGTTAATGTTTTTGGCCGGGTTAAAGTTTTTGGGTCTCATTTCCAAGTAACTATAAGCTATATATTGACTAAACTTGCATGGATGATACATCTAAGGTTGCACACTACCAGGCTTGCTTCAAATACTTGATCTGACTTACATTTTCCAGAGGAGTTACCAAGTTAAAGTTTTTAGAGCAGGTTCATGCTAAAGTAACCATTAGCCCTTTGTTGACCAACTTTGTACTGAAGTTAATTTATTGATGCACACTACCAGAGTTGCTTTGGATGTGGGATTTGACCTATATTTTCCAGAGGTTAAAGTTTTTGGAGCAGGTCCATTACCAAGAAACTATAACACCTACCTGAACCTAACTTGAACAGATGATGCATCAAGGGATGCGCACTACCAGAATTGCTTCATATGCTGGATTTGACCTACATTATCTAGATGTGTGCTAGTTTAAAGTCTTTGGATCAAGTTCATTATCAAGAAACTTTAAGGCCTATATGAACCAAACTTACAAGAATGATGCATCAAGGGAGATCCACTTGATGATGCATCAAGGGAGACCCACTACCAGAGTTGCTTCAGATGCTGGACTTTAAGTTTTTGGAACAGACTCATTTCAATGTAACTTCAAGCCCTACCAAACTTGTATGGATGATGGGGATGAACACTCTCAAACTTGCTTCAGATGCTGGATTTGACTTGCACATTTTCTTGATGAGTGAATGGTTTAAAGTTTTTAGATAAGTCCATTCCCAAGTAATTGCAAGCCCTATCAGACCAAAATTGCATAAATGTTGCATTTAGGGATGCACACTACTAGATTATTAGTTTAGTGTGGGACTTTGCCTTACTTAAAGATAACTTTTGTTGAAGTGGGTTTTGTAATCTTTGATAACCTATGTTTTTTTTTAATTTAAAGGGGGGTGAGGGCATGTAATATTGACAGCAAAATATTTTGCAGTGATCAAATTCATGACACTGGTGTGATTGGCTGTGCTTGAAATAAGTATTTTCATAAGCCCTTGAACTTCTGACAGTCTAAGGTTGTGTTTTTATTGCAGTATTTTTTTTACAGACAAAACAAATGAATCATTTACTGGTAATTGTTTGTAAATTGATGATTACATGTGCTTTGATGATCATGATCTGAAGTAGCCTTTTTCTTGTTAAAGAGGGATAACTCTGTATGCCGTGTTTACAAATTTTCAAGCTTTTCTTGCAGTGTGGGTTTTTGTTCATAGTTCAATCATTGGTATACCATCTTTGTTTTGGAGATTGAAGATTAAATCAGAAAGATTACTAATACTTTTATCACCTCATAAAAAATTCAGTTTCTGTCTGGTGCAGAAATGTCCAAATTAGAGGGGGAAATTCAGGAATTATTTTGTATCATCCTTGTTTTGATATGAACCTTAAGGTATCCGACCCATATTAGGACCTTATTTTCTAACCTTAAATATCCATCCTGTATTAAATACTTTGAAATTAATTCAAAGCATTTTAGAGTAGTAAAGGATTTACCAAGAGAAATTTTCAAAAGTATAATTACCTAAGCAGTAATTAATTAATGAAGATTGCATTGATGTCTATGGGGACAAGCAAATTTTTGAAAATAAAAATTTAAATACTAAGAATATCAAAAAATGCTATGGTGGAAAGATGTATTTAATTATAAGGAATAGAAAAGCGATTGAAAACTAAAGTTTTACCAGATAGATTTTTTTTAGAATTGATTTTTATTGATTAAAAGCAAAGGGGGATAACTCTTCAAGGACAGGACAAGGTCAAAAATTAGGACATATTCCGCTCTTACATATTGATACTAAAACATGAAGATTATGTCTACATGTACTGAGTATTCAGCCAATATATATCTGTTATACATTCAGATTCACTGAATCCAAGGCTAATGTGGGTCGGATACCTTAAATGAAATACTGTTATGACACCTGCAGATGACAATCACCAACAAACTTTAATCAGAGAAGCTAATCTGAATCTTTGGCAAAGGGTTATAGATTGTTGATATGTCTATTTATTAGGATGCAACTACCAGGTACTCTGATTATTTTAGACTATGGTTGGAAAAAAAATGATAACAATGATTTATTTCATAAATCCAATAACAATACAAATCATGAGTAGGACAAAAAACATGGACAGATGAAACACCAGAAGTGGATCAGGTGTCAAGGAGTGGTAAGCATCCCATGTTGATGGGTCACACTGAAGTAATCTGTAGTCAGAATTATTTTAAAAGAATGGCATGACAGTTGATTTAAAACTATACCCAACAATAGCTTGTATTTACAAACATAGTATATGTAAGGACCATAGAATTTCAGAAATGCTGACTTTAAACAAAACTTTTGAAACCTCTGTAACGTCCACTTATTTGTAAATAAACTTCCTTGATTTAAAAATCCTACACAGAAAATGCTCTTTTGTACTAAATCAGTTTGAAGGTACATTGATACTAGATAAAACATTATGGATATATCTAAATTTTGAATTGAAATTAAGCCAAAGCAAGATTTTTCTTATTCTCATGTAGAAGTTTTTAGATATAGTATGCTTTATATGAATACAAAAACAAGTTGGCTAATAAAGGAGCACAATTTTTGCCCATGGAAATTCCAACAGATTGTTGGAAGACCTGGTCTCCCAAGCTTACAAAAATATTGTCCATGAGGAATTCCAGACTATATCAAGCAATTTTACATTCAGTGACCATGAGAACTTACATGATGGTGATTCATTTTTGGTTGTCTCTGTGTCCGTTAGTAAACATCCATAATGCTTTTTCTACTGTTTTGTCTGATTTCAAAAATTGCGTACACAAAGGTACAACTTCAAAACATTTTTTTTTCTTTGGAACTGAAAGGTTTGTCACTGTATTGACTTGAATCAATATAATTGTTTCTTCATACACTTGTAATGCATAGTTGGGGCAATGGATATCAGCCTGGATAGCTCATGCAGTTGGTAGAGTGCCTGACTAGTGATGTAGGGATCCCAGGTCCAGTTCCTGGTCCAACAATTTTTCTTTTCCTGTTACACACCATTCCCTGTGTTTAAATTATAATTTCAATGAACACAGTTTAGTCTGTTATAACTACTGAAATATATATCTTTCACATATCCTAGGCACTGCGAACATTATTTTACATGCTCTTAGATAAAGACTGTGTGCTTTTCAAAGACAAGGGGAAAAAAATTATAGACATACATGTATTTATATCAGTAGAGCAATTGTCTCTACAGGGACTTCAGTTTCAACATATAGACTTCATATTATTAACTATAGGTAGTTTATATAAGTTATGTGAAAGTTAAAGTATGTTTCAATAAAAGATTTTTACAACAAAGGAAAAGGATAGAGAGACATCAGTTTTAGGGTTGCTTGTCTGAAGGTCAAGTTTGAAAGGTCAAGTCATGCTGTGGGATCCTTCACTGCTTGAAGTGATATTTTCTTAACTTTCCTAGATGTGTCCACATGACCAAAGATAAGTCAGTGTCTGATAATTAAACCACACAGAGCATTCATACAACCCTCAATTTTCAGGATGTACAGTGTATTTTATTCTTAAATGATAGCATAGGAAGCGCATGTTTTCCAGAATATTTGCTGTAAGTTACAACATTATACAGGGCTTAACAAAGTGCTAGATGTTTTAAAAAAGTTTTGATATAAATTTCAGAAGGAAAAAAAAACTTCCCGTTACACTGATCATAGACTGATCCTGTTTGAAATACGTAACTGCACTAGTGAAGGTGATAAATGGATTCTTTTTGCTTAATCATTGCTTGGAAGTATGATGCAAGTAAACCATAAAATACTGTTGATTACATTGTTATGCTGCGAGGTATGGGAGAAACTATGCTTTAATAACAAGAATGCATGTCACCCATTACTGATCTAAGCATATTAAGCATCCTGAAGTGGGACGCCTTTAGTGTGAATAGATCAATACTCACTAATCATTATCAAAAACACATCAGATATTTTTTTTTATTTGCATCATTACCCCCCTGAATACTATTTTATTAAATGAGAATATGGCTTTATAATTTAGCTGTGTCATTGTTTTGATGTAACCTATGGAAACCACAACAGCTGATGGAGTGCTATTTTTTTATAATGGAGCTTTATTTTCTGATTGGGTGGGTATTAGATTTGCATGCCAGACATTGTAGTGGCATTAGATTAGGTAATCTGATTCTAGTTTTTCACTCTTGGGAAGGTCCTAACTCCTGATTATAGCATCAGGGAACTGAAAGAAGAACCTCTTGGTATTTGCTTATCAAGAAATTTCCCCTGGTAGAAGTCTCTTGTTCTCAATTTGATGTTGGCCAAGCTGTCCCATTCAGATCAAGAGAGTTGACATTGTTGCTATGACAATCAAAGGAACAGCTGTTTATCAAGGTTTTCAGAGTGTTTGTTTTCTCAGCTGGTCTCATCAAATTTTCATTATCTGCATACTTCCTAGGTCATTTACCTGATGAGAAAAAAAGTTACAGGCTTCAATTTCTGTTTTATTTTCGTTTATCTTAGTGATGGATTGGGCATTTGAAATAATTGATAGTTATTAGGAAATATGATCATGAAATTTGTCTCAAGATAAACAAAACACATTGGAGTTGTATTCTGGTTGCTTTAAAAGTGCTTTAGGTTGTAGCATCAATTATTGATGATGTAATTTGACAAATATATTGCTATGACAATTTATGACACCTAGGTTATTGAATTAGCAATGAGTATGTAATTTTTTTTTCCTTTTCACATCTGAATCATGCTGAAATACCAGCTAAGTACAATCAAGAGCATCAATAATACACACTACTTTCATTCAAAGGTTGGTTTATCATAAGAAGAAAAGGTGTTTTCTACACAGTCACTTTTTTTCTTATTGCCTGCTTTTTCAGTGTCTGTAAGATTCCCACACAACAATAGTTTCTATAGACAAGGTTGTGTATTTCTATTATTCACAATGACAAAAGTACAATGGATTAGGTTCTGAAAATTACATGGGAAATCATCATCAGAGGTCAGTCAAATTTGTCAGACCTGATAATACGTAATACAAGGGCATTTAGAATTCATACTCTGTCAGTCTGTGTCTTTGAAGAAAGTGTTGCTATGTTGTTATCCTGATTGCTCCATCAATTTGACACTCTTCTTCGTCCTCAAACTCCTCTTTTATTTATTTTTTAGGTTATCTTTTTTAGGTAGTGTCCTGTAGATTTGCAATAAGGTTTCAGAGTTTTCATTTTCATCCTGGGAGCCACATGGGAGTTAAAAAGGTTTAAGTCATTTTTCTACAAAAACCTGGATCCCAGAACTCTTACATGTTATGCACTCAGTCTGGCCAAATCATCTTTTGGATGATGATTATTGGTGTCATGAAGATGTACAAAATGGATTCGGAATTAACATTTTCAGTCTGGGGACCAAATGTTGAAAACCAATGTTCTTTTCTACAAAAACCTGGTTCCTAGAACTCTTCTTGCATTTTACAAACAGTAGCCAAATCATCTTTTGGAAGGTGATTTATGGTGTAGATGTTCAGTAAGGTTTCAGAAATCTCATTTTCATGTCTTAGACTGGTTGGGGTCGAAAAACAACCTACAAAATTACCTGGTGCTCAATGGATTTTATTACCACAGAACAAACTTAACAGCACTGTTACATCAAAAATATAATGTAATGAGTTTCTCAAAAAATAATCTCCCTATACATTTCACACACAGTTTGGCACCATACCCACTTTTTAAAACTTTTTATACCTTTTGGTATTTAGTTTGCTAACAGTTGTTGTCCCCCATTTTAGTGAAAGGTAGGGGACAGTAAATATCACTTGTCTGTCTAGCTGTACGTCTGTCACAAAAGCTTTAACCTGGGTCTGACACAACTTTTGAATGAGAAAAGATTGGGCTTTCGTAGTGTTCATGTACATTACCTGTGACAAGACCTTTCCAAATGTACAATGAATTTTGACCTCATGAGCTTGACCTTGAAGTATGACCTACTTTTCAATAATTTTAACATTGGTGATAACTTTTGAATTAGAGAAGATAGATGTTCATATTTGACATGTACATTACTTGTGACAACACCTTTCAGAAAGAACTATCATATTTGAATTCATGACCTTGACCTAGATGTTTGACCTGCTCACCTCAAATTTGAACTTTGGCCATAACTTTTGCTCCAGAAGAGACAGAGCTTTCATATTTTTTTTTCATGTGTGCAGCAAGAATATATATGATTTAAGTGTGGGGATCACTACCTTTTTAAAGATATCTTTTTGAACAGTCAGAAAATAAGGTAGGTTGAGATGACCCCAGGGCACTTGACCAACAGAATACTCAATGCATCTTGACATTTGGTGTTTAGGGGTGGGGATCTCAACCATTTTAAAGATATTTGAACAGTCATTAAATGAGGGGGATGGAGATGACCCAAGGGCACTTACATATAAGAATACTTCATGCATCTTGATATGTGCAGCAAGAATCTGTATGGTTTAGATGTGGGGATCTCAACTGTTTTAAAGATATTTGAACAAGGTGAGGCAGTGGGGACTATTTGATGAATAATTGTGATGTCAGAAGGAAGAAGTAATTATACATGTACAGTGTATGTGGTTGACATTCACAGTTTTTGAACATTTAACCATTTACACACCTGAATGACTTTGTTCTAACACAAAGAACAGTTGCACCCTACACAGAAAAAATGCATGTAAATTTTTATTGTTGAGCATTTACATGAGTATGAATCAGGCGCATAGTATTGGAGGGGAGGCATTTTTTGAGACCTAATATTTTGCTAATAGGGAAGGCTAGTGAAAATTCCTATGCTCCTCAGCGGCCCTATGCTCCCCAAGGAGCGAACAGGAATAAGTCAAGTAAGTCAAGGTGTAAATTTGACCACCTAATTTTGACTGTTCATGAATACCTTTAAATATTTTGTTTATAGCCTATTATTGTGTACGTAGATCTATTTTATGCAGAAACGAAATGCATTTTTAATGTGTTGTGTTGATAATAATTTTATTTCCATCACAATGTGCAAATCAAACAGCATGCTAAATTAACTAGTACCACTGTAATTCAGGAAGGGTGTTGTACATAATGGGGGGGGGGGGGGTGGGGGGGGTCCTAAAACGCCAGGCTCAGATCTAGAAATTTTCCAAAAAGGAGGAAGTTGAGTCAAATATGGCAGGAAAGCAGATGAATTGTTTAGGCAACGTAACCTAGTTGGGTTCCCTTTCCAAAAAAATAATTTAATATTTAATTTTTTTTTTCTTTAACAGCCAGTATGATATATGCTGAGATTGAGGATATATTTTACAGCTGATAATTAAGAGGAATTCTCACTATAGTAATATACCCTACCACTATTTTAGCAGTATATCCAACCTGTTTAAGTACACAGAGCCATAGGCATATCTGTTGTATATCTTGTGTCTCTACAATTGAATGTAAATGTTGCCAATCTGTCTTTTATTTTGCTTACCTAAGCAAAGGGAGCAAAAGATCCAAATGAGGTTTTCTGATCATAATTCTCTCAATTTGTATTTCTGTGAATATTAACTTAATATTAACCCCCCCCCCCCCCCCCTCTCGCTTATACAAAATTAATATACTTTCCTGTTTGTTATTTTATTAGATTAAATTCTTTTTATTTTTCTTTCAGAGTCATTCTTCTTGAAAGTAGGCCAACAGACAGTCCCAGTGCTGAATCTAATCTCTACGTCCTAGCTGGCCATGAAAACAATTTCTGATTTAAATGACTGTTTTATGGTGATGATACTTGCTGATCAAGAAGCTTCATTTCCAGATGGGAAATTTGCTGCATCTACTACTTGTAAATTCCATTTGAGACCATAGAAAATCAAATTCAGAATGACCCAGAATCATTCAAATTCCTTTTAATGTTTGCTCACATGACCATCAGGGTTGATTATATTATTTTCACAATTTTCACAACGCAACCCTTGTTTAACCAGCAAGCTCCAAAAAGTATTCATCAATTCTAACAGAATACAGCTTGAAATACATGTTCCAATCTACATTTCTCATATCCTAGTGTACCGGGTACTTATTGTACAGTTTATCACTTGGTTTAATCTGTGATCTTTTCCTTCTGTAAACATTGTACATTTATATAATATTTTTATTTCAGATTTTTTTTATATATATTTCATGCACTCTGTCTAGTGTTTAACAAATAAGAAAAGAGATTTTTTTTTGAAAGCACACATCTCAAAACTGCTAATAAATTATTTGTAAAACCATACAGCATAAAGTCATTAGCTTAGATTTATTTACTGGACTGTTTTACCTATTTGGGAATGTCATTGAGTCCTGTAAATATTTGGAATATATCAAATTATGTACTGAGGTCTATCAATAGACTTAAGATTCTGTATATATTGAAATATACTTGTCAACTATTGTCTTTAACAGTATTATAACTAAATTATTGTAATTTCAATTTTGAAATCCACATTCTGAACACATGAACTGTTTTCTGGTGTTTGATATGGAATTATTCATCCTCTCCTATCTTTTTAATGTAATATTTTTAGACATGAATCTTTGAGAGTGAAAAGATAGAGGAATTATTTTTGTTCCATATGATTTGATCAAAGCTATTTTTTTGTGAGATGTGTTTTAATATTGGCAAAAAAAATGTTGACTTTTGTAATCTCTTTGCAAACAAGTCAGTTTTATTAAGTAAAAATTTAGGTGCCAAATTTATTATATAACACCTTGGTATACTCACTTTGTGAAGTTATGAATAATTTAAATGGGCATTACCCAAACACTTGAAAATTGTGCAGTAATGCATTATTTTGAATATGTTCTCACTTATAGTCATGCAGTTTGATGGAATTTTTAAAAAAAAAATTCATTGCATGGTAAACTATATGAGCGTGAGTGTTTCTCCAAATGTTAGGCAAAAATTCTTAGCAAAATATGCTGTCATGGACTCTATTTATAGAACATCACACTGAAATATATATGTGAATCATCATATCTAACTGTAAATACATGTAAAATCAGCAACATTACTATACTTGGAAGTATTCTAATGAACCAGAATTAATTTTTGTCATAAGCCATGCCAGTTAACCATATTAGTTACTAATCCCCAAGGCCAGTGAAATGATGCACATTCCTGGAGACAAGCAGGTGAAGTGTAAGCTTACATTTATACTGTGATCTGACAATACTTAGAAATTGCACTGAAATTTTGAAAAATAAGTGTTTTTGTTTGTAATATGATTACACAATTTCTACAAAAATGTTTTTATTTATGGAGATGGATGTTTTCAAGATGAGGAAATTTAGGGATCTGTTTGATCATGAAGTTGATAGATATTTTTAACAAAATGCTTGTACATGCACAATGAACATCTATAATAACTGAAGTCAAAATTGGGGGGGGGGGGGGGGTAGGAAAAGTTTTCTACAGGGTACTGTCAAATGGTAAGATTTCAAAGTACAGTGTACCTTCATTCAATGGATGTTTTTTTTTTTACATGTGAATACTGAACAAGTGACAAAATAGTGCAATATAGGTTTTTTTAAAGAAATAATTTCAATGCATAATTTCAGAGGGATATTAAGTGCTTTGACAGGGTTTGTTGTTGTAGAGTTATATCGTAATGTCCAAGATTAACAATTAAAGAGCCATTCTCTGAAATGACTTGTATTTTATAATGGAGCCGTGGCAAATTTCTTCAAACTCGCTGTGATAAAAAAGTTGTTTCCCCAAAATTTTATCGTGAATCAGACAACTGCATAACGTTAGTAATGGAGCTCTGAACATGTTCAAAAATGCTAATTTAGGGTAAGTTGCCATGGAAACCATGACACATATCAACCAATTTATGCCTGATAAATGTACAACCAACTCTATCAGACACAAATTAGTTGCTATGTGTCATGGTTACCATGGCAAATTTTCTCATTTTTTTCATCTGTTATTGTGGCAACCTAGACGCATAGCAACCAAATTTTGTGTGAATTGTGTTTTTGGTGTTACAATTATGAGCAAAGTTTTATCAAAATCTGTGACAAACATGACGGAAAAGTTGAAGTTGTTATAGAGAATTGCTCTTTATAGTAAATATTCATTTTATTAATAATGAGGAAAAGCATAATGTTCACAATATTTTTGAATAATTATGAAAATTTTTTTATTTTGAAAACATTAATACAATTTTGAAGTTTAGCATGACAGACATAATAGAGCATACTTAAGCTCTGTCAGTGTCGATTGTTGTTGTAATATTGGTGCTTCTGCGAGCTTTCTGTTGGGTTTTTCCAATTATTATTTGCAGCACAGTAATATTTTGACCATATGTCACAAAAAAAAACAAAACAAAACAAAATTAAAAAAATGCAAGGTGTTCCTGCTGGCCTTTTGTACCCAAAGTACAAGATTTGTGATGTAATGATAGTCTCAAGATGTACCACAATTTCTGGAGAGTCTCTATTGTTAGGCTGACTGTTCTAACTATAGAATATATGGAAGAAGTATTGCCGCCTCATTGAAATAAATCAATACCAATCTCATTCTGTGTTTTTTTTTTAATCTTATTTTTCAAAGAATTGACAGAGGTGTCATAGTCTCACAGCAGAATGACGGAACCTTATATTGATCACTATAACCCAGTACTTTTCAGCCTTCTGACTTGAAGAGAATTTAGTGACACATAGCAAGGATCAAGATGATAGAAATGTTCTTTACCAGAGTGTTCATTGCACTAGCTAATAGTTTTTAACCAAATGTCAAAGACAAGGAGAGCCTGTGCTCACATCTAAAGTTTCTGTTGGCAGCCCCAGATTAAGGTACTTTGGGAACAGGTCTGTTCCAAAGTAACTGTAAGAAGTACCTGGACCAGACTTGCATGGTGGATGATTCTATGCATGTTTCCAGGCTTAGACTTTGGTTTGGTGACTCCAGGTGAAAGTTATTGAAGCAAGTCCAACTTGAGTACTCAGCTAGTCAGCAGCTCCTGGATTAAACTTAGGTAGTTAATGCATTTAGTGATGCATACTTCAAACTTAGGTTTTCCACATGAGTGAGCAGATTTAAGTTGGGGTTTTTTTTTTGAGCAAGTTCATAGCCAAGCAACTATAAGCCAAACTATCTTGGATAATGTATGTAAGGATAAATACCATTAGATATATACTTCAGATGCCCCAGGGATACACACCATTGGATATGCTTCATCTGACCTTCATTTTCTTGATTGTTGTACAGATTAAGTTCATTCCTAAGTAATTATAAGCCCTACCCTTACCATACTTACTTTGGATGCTGCATCTGACCCCCTAGTTTCCAGATAAATAAAAGATTAAAATTCTCAGAGCAGACCTATTTCAAAAATGTTGACAATGACTGCTATTTCTTAGCCATTTAATGAAAGGCCTATGAACTTTACTAATGCATTTTATAAACTCTTACTGTTGAGGACTTTGCCTCACTTAAACATACAGTATAACCAGGCCCGTAGGAAGCAATTTCAGTTTTTTTTTTGGGGGGGGGGGGGGGGGCACAGCCATACATTTTCAGTTGAGGGGGCACTATCAACTACCAAAAATTCCTTGACAAGCAAAAAAAAGAGCATCAGGCGTTTTTATTGAGGGGGCACAAGCATATAGTATCTATATTTTCTATAGTACTCTATATGTCAGCAAAATTATTGGGGGGGTGGGGGCACGGCCCCCCCTGCCCCCCCCCCCCCCCGGTTCCTACGGCCATGATAACCTGTACTTTTGGTCAAACCTTTGGGCCCAAAATTCTAAATCAATCATGAATTACACTTAAGTATTATAATCATGCAGACAGTTGGCCTGCTACATGATCATTAGAATTTCCCACTAGATGTGCAGGAGTAAAGAGAAGTTTTTTTTTTTTTTTAATATAAAGCTTACCAAAAAAAATCTGTTCTGATGGATATCACAAAAACCAAGCAGGGTGATAAGGCTATGCAGGGTATGAACATTTCTGCAGATAGTGAAGTTTGAGTCCCCAGGGCTCAGGATTGGGCTAAAGTGTATGTCAACAAAATTTGCAATGTACTGTATTAATTTTTGTTCACATCTGATTATCTAGGATGCTTGAAAGCTTTATGCAATGTTATAATGAGTCTTCCACCAAATATTAATCTTACATGGGGTCAGAGTTCATATGATAATATGTTACAGGCGCTGATCCAGGATATTTTCCGGAGGGGGGTCCACCCAGTCAAAAATTTCCAACCCAGAAATTAATCGACAAGCAAGGGGGGGGGGTTCTAAAGTCATTTTATTTGCTTCAGTATATGCATTTACCAACTCTGTCAATTTCAGGGAGTCCCGACCCCTTCTAGATCCGTGCATGTGTCAATATCAAAGTATCAAATTCATGTACGTACATATGTATGTACAATCAAGCCTCGTAAATGCGGACGCTTATGTTTCCTAGCAAATCGTCCGAAGTAATGAAGTTTCTGGATCTCTGAAATGTACCTTTCATAACTCGTATATATCAGGCCCGTAGGAAGCAAATTCAGTTGGGGGGGGGGGGGGGCATAGCCATACATTTTCAGTTGACAGGTGAGGAGGCACTACCAAAATTCCCTGACAAGCAGAGAAAAAAAAAAGGTCATCAACTACAAAAAATTCCTTGAAAAGCAAAAAAAAAAAAAAAAAAAAAAAGGCATCAGACGTTTTTATTGAGGGGCACAAGCATATATAGTATCTATGTTTACTATAGTAATCTATACATCGGCAAAATTATTGGGGGCACAGCCCCCGTGCCCCCCCCCCCCGGTTCCTACGGCCATGGATATTATAAATTAATAAGTCATAACAAACGCCCTCTAGGGAAAAGGCTTATTATGATCATGTGGAGTGTGAAATCATCCTCATTTGTAATTTCAGAGCTTTGTCGTCAAACATAAAATGTTCACCAACAGGCCAAATAGTAATCTTGTCCTTTGTCTAAGTGTCCTTGACCTTTGAAGTATGAAATTAAGAGTTAGAACATACCGCTTAAGCAAGGTCACTTATATAAGAATCCAAGACATTGTCGCCCAATGCAAAGGTTAGAGCACATGTAATATCAATGCTATTGATGCCACTAACTGACATCTACTTGACATCATAATATCTGACAAGTTGACTTAATTTTCTGACAAGTCGACTTGTCAGATTGTTGGATGTTTTGTCAACTTGTCAGATAAATATATTGACTTGTCGTATATTTTTATCGACTTGTCAGATAATTATAGCGACTTGTCAGATCCTATTGTCGACTTGTAAGAAAAATATATTACTGGGTGGCACAAACTGAACATGGACACGTTTTCATGTTGAATTTTTAAACATGTGAACACTGAAGTCAGCATAATTATCTGACAAGTCGACATGATGAGAAGTGAACAAAGTTATCTGGCAAGTGGTGCCACCATACAAAACTGCTAAAGTTTCTCCATATTGTTGATACGGAGTTCCATTTAGACACTTATTTTTTATTTTCCTTACTTTAATCTGTAAAATTTACACTCTAATATTAAACATTTACACATTAATATGTAGAATTTACACTTTCATCTGTTAATTTTACATTTTAATGTGTATAGTTCACACTTTACTTTAATCTGTAAAATTTACACTTTAATATGTAAAATTTACACTTTGATATGTATAATTTAAGCAATCAATTCGTCATATAAAATTGCGCTTTAAAACCAATAGATCATGAATCAAGTAATAATAATAATAATAATAATAATAATAATAATAATGTCCTTTATTTCTACAGGATAGCACAATTAGTTTAGAAAACTAGTTTACATTGTGGTCCTGAAAACGTTTATACAGACAGCAAGAGTATGTACAGAAACAAATAAATATTAAAGAATATGAAAAAAAGCATGGTCTAATAAAAATAATATTTACACATGATATAATGTAAAACTTCCATAAAACTGAACATAATCAATGAGGTGTTTGGTACATATGAGTTAGTTTGTAGACTGAAAATAATTTCTGATACATGTATATGCTGATTTAAAACTTTGTATCAAGCATGCTATTATTCAATTTAAATGTTAGTCTAAAAATTAATGTGGAAAATAATTTATACTTATCAAATTTGAGATGTATAGATGTATAACACAAATAAATAACAATTTAGCGTGACTGATAAAGGGAGACTATTGTAAAATATTTGAAAATACCGGTATTATGAATTGAAAAAAAAATGCATGCAAACTTTTAATTGATTATAATAATGTTGAAAGAAATGAAAGAGTGTGCTATTTATGTAACAATAATCAAATTGGAGACGAATTTCATTACTACTGGAATGTAATGTATTATGTAATATTCGAAAAGATTTTCTGTTAAAGAAATACTGTGTACATCCAAATATTATAAAATTCTGTAATTTGATGACAAATACTGATCCAACATTCTTATGAAAATTGTGTATATTTATCAACAAAAACAGACACTGTCTGTCCTCCTGTAATTCTGCTCGTCCATAATTATTGTAAATATGTATATATGTACCTCTTGTACCATTCATATGGTATTTGAGAGAATAAATCAATGAATGAATTAAAACATTGATATCATTATTTAACACCAATTCATGGGATGCGCGCAATTGTTCAAATATTCATAGCATTAATTCAATTACATGTACATATATTATGCACAACGATTGAAATAATGGTATTTTAATATAACCAATTTGTAATAAGTATTAAAGTATTTGAATTTATTGAAATTTAGTTTTTTTATACAATTAATTCCCGTTGATTCAATTATATTTCTTTAACATTACATTATAAAGTGACTGTAATTTTAACTACAGGTATTATATTTTACATCATGAGACCCATAAACTTGCAATATCAATCTGAACTGGAAATAAGATGGCAACCATAATCTGAATTATTTATCTTAGTGTTCGTTGCTCTTTACTATAGTAAATCAAAATAATAATCAAATGAATCAAATACTGAATAATCCGGCAGTGAATATTAGATGAAGTTCATAGGTGCGCAAACTGTGGCCCACTCTCATCACTCACACGAGACTCCTGGGAACCCTATCTGGTAGATAGGGACTTGAATACTTTACGTTTGTACTTTACCTATTAATTATATATACAATCTCTCTCTCTCTCTCTCTCTCTCTCTCTCTCTCTCTCTCTCCAGTCTTTAAAAAAGCGTCTATTTATATATATATAGTTAAAGTAAAACCGATGTATTTTATCAGCTGATCATATTTCATATGTTAAAACAATGCATAAATATCTGATTTTTAAAAAACTTAATTAAAATTTCATTTTTTTTTTTTTAGTTAATGGGTCGATCTAGGTATAAAGTGTGTAAGTACCTTGATTGATTTTAAGAATTTATAGATCAAATATGACAAACTATTATTTTAAGCAAGTGAATAACATTTTTTCAAATAAATGAATGATATATACAATAATGCACCACAATGCATGAGAACTAATCAGCAAAACGCATTTGTTCAAGTTAAAAACAAATGCAATTCACATTTAAATAAAATAAAATAAAATAAAAATAATAAATAAATAAAATCAAGATCACAACAAAGTTAAGGGAATATATATCCTAAAAGTATGTTTTAAACAAACATGCTGTTATCTGAAACTAGGAGATATAATAAAATACTTCTCATTATTATCATTATATAGTTAAGATTTGGTCACATTTGCTGCTAGTATAAGTTTGTATCACGTGTCTCAGTAGTCATGGGCATAACCTTTGAACCAAAACAATGGCATATTACTTTCACGCACCTTGCAAAAATAGTTCTTCTTTGATTGTGATCTGTGAGTATTATCAAAGGTAATTAATGGAATTATTTTATATTTTAATGTATAATTCTATATAATATCATGGTTGCATTATATTCTATATGTTTAATGGATTTATTTACGTTATTTCTTTTTAGGCGGAAGAATTTTTGGAAGTAGTACGATTTCATGAACATCCATTATGGCGACGGACTTAGAAATTCATAATGGCCGAAGAAAATGTTATAGAATACAAACAAGCGAATGACTTTCTCATCAGAAAATATGTAGATGCCCAGTGATTATGTTTAGCTAACAAAATTCCGTACTTGCATCTTCCAAAGAATGCTGTAATTGGTAAAATTGGTAACGAAATTTGTGTGTTACGAAAAGGTTCGTTCTTGTTTATGCTTCAGGTAGCAACACGATATACTGTTTGAAATGACAGCTGACATTATCCTGTAGCTACTGCTTTTGTAAAACATCTAGTCTCAAGAAGATTAGCAGCTGTTTTTGCCAAAGTCTGGTGCCGTGTTACACGAACTTCTCAGAAGCTGTTGTATCATAGGTCATATATTAGCACTTCTCTAGTCAAAACATAGTGTTCCGAGCCAAAAATCACACATTTTATGCACATATAAACTGCATCCATTGCCAATATGGAAAAATATGAGAAAATTAGCAAAATTGGTGAAGGTTCTTATGGTGTTGTGTTTAAGTGCCGGAACAGGGAGACGGGGACGCTTGTTGCTATCAAGAAGTTTGTGGAGTCTGAGGAAGATCCACTAATAAAGAAAATAGCCATGAGAGAAATCAGAATGTTAAAGGTTTGTATGTCAGTACTTAAAGAATAATAGCTTACCATTCTAATACAGCTTAACTTGATGTTGCAGTTCAACTTTAATATATGCATTGGATGCTAGTCACTGCATCCCAAAACCAGAACGCCCCATGATTGAGTGCCCCAAAGTTGTGTACGAGTATTTTTTGGGTGCCCAAGCACTTATTTGACCAAATTCAATTCATGAGTATCCCAAATACACATCCTGAGCGCCCGAAGACTTGAACAAGCATGATCATGAGTAAATCTAGTTTTTAAATAAATCGTTTGTTTCTTAAACTATTACTTGTCAGAATAAGGGATAAATTAAATTCATGAGCACCCGAATACTTGCAAACAAGTGTGATGATGTAGTTTTGGAAATTACTAATTTCATATATATTCTTTTATAATATGTTAGTGTTAATCTTTACATATTTAAACAATTTAAGTATAATAAGCTCAACAAAGTGAATTTCATTAACTGCGGAGATATTTTGTTCTCTTAACTATGTATTGTTGCAAGAGAGTGCGTAACGAAAATCTTCTGCGAATAAATTAATCACACTTCTCTGTTTCTTAAACAATCACATAGAAATGAACAATTTGTCAACTTTTTTTTAACCACACAATACAACAATTTTGAAATTTTAAACAGGGATATATCTATTTGTCATGTGAGAAATCATAGTGCTAAGGCTTTGATATCATCATTTTTACTTATAATACACAAAAAAATATAAATTAATCAAGGAAAGCATTTGAAACAATTTGGGAAGGGGGGGGGGGGGCTTTAATATCTCATTTTATTTATTAACAACTGCTGCATGATTTTGTATGAACATGAGTCAAATGCATAGATCCAAAAGAACCAGGGCTCGAAATAATTGATGGCCCGCTGGTCTTGGGCCAGTGATTTTCAATCTGGGCTAGTACATTGCAGAGGGCACGTGCCCTTTGGGTCAGCATTTTTTTTATGCATAATAAAATTCATTCACAGTCGGGCTAGTTAACTTGACAGGGTTGTGTGTCTCAACTTCTGCTGTTTCTTGTTTTGTTGTACTTAATCCTAAGTATCACAATATAAAAAAAAATATTACTATTATTATTATTATGGTTTGGGCCAGTCTTTTTAAAATCTACTGGCCCAGTGGGACAGTGAAAGTACTAAGCTGAACGGTAAAAATTTAAGGCGATAGTCTGAGTGACCAGTAAACAAAAATAATTATTTCTAGCCCTGAGAACATGATAAAGTTAATTCAATGTTAAGGATATATCAAGTAGTCTTGTTGCTGGTGCCTTATTATACCTGATAGAACGTTCAGTTATTTTGTGCACTTGAGATGTGTATTTGGGGCGCTCTTAAATTGTATTTGGGATGCTTGTGAATTAACTTTGAGGCACTCCTACAGGTACTTGGGCGCACGTAAAAAAGAGTTGGGGTGCTCATTCATGGGGCCTTTTGGATTTGGAGCGAAATGACAGTAACCCATGTATATTACATATACATGTACTGAAATCTGTATATCATTAACACTAGCTGCAGTACTGTAGCTGGGATAAAAGGTAGACAGAAGGTCACTGTCACTGTGACCCAAAATCAAAATTCCCCATGCACAGCAGGCCAAAGTTGTTTACGAAGGTCCCAAATTTAATTCACAGGAGCCCCCAGATATGTTTCATGAGCAACCCAAATACACATCTAGAGCACCGCAGGACTTGTAAGCAAGAAATATCTTGAAATGGGATCATTTGTTTGTTAAATAATAACGTATGGATAAATTAAATTCACGCAGGGTTGGCCGGGAAATACCAGTGGTGGGAATTACCAGTGGTAAATACTGGTATTTCCCGTCCGGGAAATACTACAAATTTTCTCTAAACTGGGAAATATTGGGAAATACTGGGAAATACAAATTTAAAAGTTTTTTTATTTTTATAATTCATTCAATCTTATACAAAATTCAAAAATAAAATAAACACAAAAACAGAAGATGAATAATATTAAATATGTCTCAAATTGCAATGTAAAATATTCAGAATGTATCACTACTCCAGGTCCCATACCCATAAGCATTCTGAAACATTTCCATGGCTGTATAAAACTGAAGTTTTCCAATTAAAGTTTCTTTTCAGTTTTGTAAAATTAAATTATTAAGTTTATTAATTATAAATCCAAGAACAAAACAAACTTGTTATAATCCTTCTATAAACACTGTAGTTATTACAAACAATCATGTTGTTTTAACAAATTGCTCTGGACAGTTTTGTGCTCCTGTTTTGAGACATAATTACCTTGAGAAGAAATGAAAGGCTTCTTCTTATATAGGTTTTTGATATTTATACCATACTCTACATTTAAGAATTTTCTTTGATCCTTCTTTAGTCACATAAAAATCAATTGGGATCTTTGGGTTCATTTCATGGACCTTTATAGACTATACATCTGACTCGAGCATCAAACTAATGACACTCATGACTGGTATTGAATATACTGTTTTATGATTATATAAAATGAATTACTTGGAAACCAGAATTTTTTAAATCAGGGACAGTGATACCTTGGCCAATAAAGTGTATTACATGTCAATATGAATGAAATATGTAGCTATTTCTTATTTCCCAGTATTTCCCGGGAAATACCAGTAATTCCCGGTAATTACCAGTATTTCCCACCGTCCTGGGAAATATGAGTATTTCCCAGTTTTTTGCCAACCCTGAATTCACGAGCACCCTCATTACATATTGCGCACCCTCCAAGATGAGTAAACAAGTGTGATGATGTAGTTTTAAAAAAAAAAAAAAAATATTTTGCTTCTATTACTTATTATTGTAAATATATACGTATTTAAAGTATAATATGTAGTTTTTTTTTTTTTAAATAATTTTTTGCTTCTATTACTTATTATTGTAAATATATACATATTTTAAGTATGATAAGTTCAGTGCTAAAAATTTTGATCAATAACTGCAGAGACATTTTCCTCTTAAAAACTATGTTTAGTTGCAAGAGAGTGGCCACAAAAATCTGCTGCGAATAAATCATACTTCTCCATTTCTCAAATGATTATACAGAAATAAACAGATTGTCTAAATTTTTTTTTACCACACAATGATAATTTTGAAATTTTAATTATGGCTATCCATTTATATAAGGGAAATCATGGTGTTCAGACTTTGATATCATCACAATGTATTTACACAAAAAAATGAAAATTAATCAGAAAAACATTTGAAACTTAACAAGTTTGTGTGTGTGTGTGTGTGTGGGGGGGGGGGGGGGGGGGGGGTTATGCATAGGGCGTTCTTGTTTTGGGGCAAAATGACAGTAATGCAGACATACCAAGGAACTACAGACCCAACCATTAATTGTGAAAACTTTAGATTTAAGGCATTGTTTTTTTGTGGCATTCTCAGGGTATTTTTTTTTTGCAGTGTATTCATTCCCCATCTAAAGGATGATATTCCTTGATTAATCCTGTATTTTACTCCTTTTCTTGTTATAGTAACTTCATTTACCTTGCAATGGTTCCAGACTGCTATGTGTGGCCTTGGAATGTAAGTTTTAAAAATTTGGCATTCTGACATCCATGTTGGGGTCAAGCTAAAATATGTATGTCGAAGAAAGTATCTATATTGCCTATAAAGGTATACATGTATATTATGTAAAAAAAAAAAAAAGAAGAAGGAAATTAGGTAATGAAGTGAGAGTCTTGCAAGCTTGCAGCAATGTTTGCCACAAGTATGCAGAAGGTTTCCTTATTTGGAAAATCCAATGTTTGCTGCTGACTTGCAGCAGACCTCATCTGCATGGTAAAATGTTTGCTGCATACTTGCTGCAAATACAAAGGCTTTGTATAGGCTGCCATGGTTTCTTTAGCTTCATTGCAGCAAGCTTGCAGCAATGTCTGCAGCAAGTTTGCAGCAGTGGTTGCTGTAGACTTGCAGCAAATGTTTGCAGGAAGGCAATATTTTTGGTAAGGGTAAACACCCAATTTTTTTCAAATGTTTAGAGAGAATCATAAGTCTTTGGTACAGGAAAACTTATCTATGATGAGAAAAGGTATAAATATTTCAAAAATATATCTGAATAAATATGTGTTATGTAGAGAACAATTCTTATTTGTCCCTAAAAAAAAACACATCCCTACGACCCTTCTTATTGTGACAAGTGCTCAGTTTCTTTGCAGTATTTTGGAGTAAGAGTGAACTGGGGGTCGTAAACATTTATGCTACTTTGTTAAGTGTCATTAATATCCAATAAATTTCTTATGTTCACTATGAAACTTTTAGTAGAACATAAAGATGAAAGAATTGCTCATAAATGCATGCCTAATTGCTCATAGAGAAATACACCATGACTATCATTTGAAGCATGTAATAACTATATTTGTTTTATAGCTTAGTAATTGCTTCCATTTACACTTTTGATGCTATTAGGGTATATTTTTGTACATTTTATAGCATCATAATAGAAAGGGTTCTGAAAAAAAGTATTGATGAAAGCAATGATTTAGAACAATGTATATATATATATATCAAGCTAACTTTGTGTTGAGAATTATTTTACATGATATATATTACATGTATTATATTCACAATTTCAATACGTATTATATTTCACTGGTAACTGGTAAATAATCATTTAACCCCCCCACCCCAACCCCCTTTTGGCTTTCAGAACATTATGTTTAGATAAGAAATTCAAATTATATATGTGTGTGTTTTTTTTTCATGTTGTAACACATAATGCTTACAAGTTTAAACATTCAAGGCTATTGAACCTTAAACCTATTGTTCAAATTTGTTTCATCATTAAATTTGGAAGTTTTTAAAATTTTGTTACAGAATTTATTCATTTTCCACATTGAGTCTCAGAAGATCATGTTTTCTTTTGAAGTTAGATAGAAATTTTGAGTAATTTAATTGACTATAGATCACATACCTGTAGTTGGCCACCATGATAATAACTCATGATCAACTGAGTATCAACCAGGCTTTTCTGAAACCTGGATTTGCTTTTGATGCATCTTTTAATATTCAGTCAAGCTGTATACACTCAAAGTGATCAAACACAATTTTGAGAAAAAAAATAGCTTTTAACTTTTTTCCTTTTTGCAACTTTGTTAGAAAAAAATATGAATATTGTTTGAAAATACTTTAAGGAAGGATAAGTGTATTACATGTAATAATAAAAAAAATCCATAAAATGCATGTTTACTGCATGAACTGAATGCTGCAGGTACATTGTTCTTAATGTAGTGGATTAGTGTTTGAAAATAATGTAATTTGTGTTATAGAATTTTCAGACTGTTTTTAGCACTGGCATAATGTTTGTAGATTTATATTCACTTCAGTCAATAGAGTAACTCACTTTAGACAATCAGTTTAATTTACTTAAGTGGGATAGCTGGTGGTTGAAGTACAGAATATACAGGTACAATTAACTATACCCCCTTTATACTGGTGGAATCAATCCAGGGACATGAACTAATAATTTATCATTAAGTGCTGTAATTTCATCAACATAATATGAAATATTAATCACGTATACTGAAGTCAACACTGCCATATTGTCCTTTAAAGTACAACATATGATCTTGACCTTTGCAAGTGTTCTTGTGCTTCGCTAGCCAGAAAAAAGGACTGCATGCAAGTCAATGAATCATTGGCAAATTATGATTATTTTTGCAGTTACACTGTAGATGAAATGTCAGAATTTTTTATGGTTTTCTTGGAAATATGCTTTTTCTTATTAACACATGTATTAATGACAATCTTTGATCCAAACCATTTCTTCCCTTTGTAATGGATGTACCACTATATATACAGAAGAACACATATATGGATGGTTTGATTCACCAAAAGTTTTCCTGTGAGAGGAGTAATTTTTTATGTATCAATTAATAATTGATTTACTTTTTTCAGCAACTGAAGCATCCTAATTTGGTCAACTTAATTGAAGTGTTCAGAAGGAAGAAACGTCTCCATCTAGTTTTTGAATATGTAGATCATACGGTGCTAAATGAACTGGACAGGCATCCAAGGGGGTATGTGCTGAGAACCTTTACAATATTAAAATGCTGATCAAAATGCAATGCAAAAGGTCACACTAAATGCCAAGTCATAATCAAAAAAGTTATCTAATAATATATAATACAGTTCAGTTTTGGTATCTCATATATAGTTATGTTGAATACCATGTTAATGGTGAAGTGAATTGGAAGTTCTAACCACATTTTATTATATATTCTAACCTCATTATCTCATATATTCAGATATATCTCAGTTTTATCTAGATCCCACAGAATTGAAGTAATGAGGTTTGACTGTAGTTAATTACTATTCTATATGGAGTACATGTGAAACTTGGAAGAGTGAGGATTTGTATGTGACTTAACACTGACTTTATGTACTTTTATAAATACAGCTGACATATCTCAAATCTGTCCTTTCAAATGGGGGTGTATTGAATTAAGTCAGAAGTCATAGGTCCTAAAATGCTAACCTTACCCATAAATTTGAGCCTTGAGTTTGATAGCTGAAATCCTTTTATATGTCCCAATCCTTTTATCATAACTGTCAATGTTGAGATCTCCTGATCTTTTGATCAGTAATATCAAGTTTGAGATATATCTCCTGATCTTTTGATCAGTAATATCGAGTTTGAGATATATCTCCTGATCTTTTGATCAGTAATATCGAGTTTGAGATATATCTCCTGATCTTTTGATCAGTAATATCGAGTTTGAGATATATCTCCTGATCTTTTGATCAGTAATATCGAGTTTGAGATATATCTCCTGATCTTTTGATCAGTAATATCGAGTTTGAGATATATCTCCTGATCTTTTGATCAGTATTATATCGAGTTTGAGATATATCTCCTGATCTTTTTATTAGTACTATTTAGTTTGAGATATATAGATCTGCGAATCTTTTTATCAGTACTATTGAGTTGAGATGTATCTGCGGATCTTTTTATCAGAATAATCATTGAGTTTGATATCAAACTGACACCTGATTTTTTTATCATTACTGTTGAAGTTTGAGACGTCAAGGTTTGACTGTATGTACATAAGCAGTGAAAATTTTACATGAGAAAATTGTTTATAGCCTCACTGGCACAAAGAATTATGTACCAAAAATTGTGGGATTTTAGCTACTGTGGTGTTCAGCCCTCACCCTTGAGGTTGTACACATTCATGAATTAATTAGAGCAACATGAAGTACATTCCTTATTGGATATTTTATTACAATTTATTACTTTTAGTTGTTGTATGATTATTGGAAATATGATGTGTATTTCAGTAAATTTAAGTGCATATAGGTATCAGTTGTTCATTGATAATTCATTCATGATTGTTATCAAAAATATTGAAATTGAAAAATAAACATTTGTCAAACCACACCTTATAGCACCATAAAATTGAAAATTTATATGTTAAATCAACATGACACGATAGATCTGTTATATATCTGTGACATTAAGAAATAGGGTTGAAAAGAAAATTTGCTAGAATACTCCCTTGTCAAATTCATGTTACATAACAACAAATGAAGTTTTGTTATGAAATAGACAGGGACAATAGATATGTGTTTTAAATGTCCTGCTTTATTTTACAGGGTGCCAGAGCCACTTGTCAAGAGAATTATATATCAAACTCTGCTGGCAGTGAATTTCTGTCACCAACACAATGTAAGATTGATGTCTTATTGCTAAATAATTACTTATTTAGGATTCAAGTAAGAGACATGCCTATATGTAGTTGTAAATTAAATTAACTTCATAATCACTTTCATATTCTAAATACAGAAGATTTGAATTCAACACATTTTTTAAATAATAACTCCTATTGAGTTGTAAGTGCATGTAAATGTTTTTAAATGTTTTCTGACCCCGTTATGGTTATTTGCAGTGTATACATAGAGATGTGAAACCTGAAAATATCCTAATAACACGACAGGGGCAAGTCAAACTCTGTGATTTTGGGTTTGCCAGGGTTTTGAGTAAGTTTATGAAACACTTGAGTTGAAACATATACATAGACTTTAATTTGATTTGAAACATTTCTTACAGATGAGAAGCATTTTGATCAAATTTCAAATTTGGTTCTAGGTATTTAGCAATATGGATAAGCTGCATGCATGAATTAATGTTTTATAATGTTTTCAATTAAAGCCATTCAATCAGATTAATGAATTTTATGTGAAATAGTTAATGCTTTAAAAAAAAAATCATTTTCTATGAATTGAAATAAAATATGTTTTATGTATGTTTTTGGTTGGAATTTTGTATGTGTGGGTAATTAATATTGATAATTTTGTAGCTGGACCTGGAGATGAATATACAGACTATGTAGCCACTAGGTGGTACAGAGCCCCTGAATTGTTAGTGGGGGACACGTGCTACGGTCCCCCAGTAGATATCTGGGCAATAGGGTGTGTGTTTGCCGAGTTACTGACGGGTCAGGCATTATGGCCAGGAAAGTCAGACGTAGACCAGCTTTACCTTATAAAGAAAACTCTAGGTAAGCATGGCTTTATAGCTAAAACCAAAAGTATTCGTTCATTTTGAGCTCGCTTGTCTGTATGCAGTAGAGATGTTCATTGTGTTTACACTTTCTTTCATAGGAGACTTACTACCTCGTCATGAGGAGATTTTCTCCAACAACACATTCTTCAAAGGAATGACCATTCCAGAGCCTGATAGAATGGTAATCAGTAGCTTTTAGTTGAAGACACATAATCATTATTACCCCTTGAGATAAACAGTGACTTCGACAGATTCCATGTTAATCTGTAACCTAATACACAATAATCACTGAAATTGAAGGTTTAATATAAAACCTGATCTGTTGTATTTTATAGATATGTTTTTCAGCCTGTGTATTTTACATTTCCCCTTGCAACCTCTTTGTGGCACTAGAATGCTCTTGAGTTAGAGCAGTGAAATACTGTAATCAAAGTATTCTGTCATTTGCTCTAGATTTAAATGCTATAAAGTTCTTGTTCGCCTGGGTAATGAAATATTTATAGAATTACTTTAAATCTTTTGATACCAGTGCAACAAAATTAATATCTAATGGTGCTGGCATCCTGCACAACACTAAAATTTATGATATTCTTAAGTTCCTTTCATGCATCATTTAAATCTTTATCAGTCAACACCAACACATCGGAGTTTTTTTTCTGAAAAATTTTAATTGCACATTGCAGTTTTCAAATGTTTCAAGAGTCATATACTAATAAAAGTTTTAAATAGATGTAGCAATTGAAACAATTTAAATAAAAAAAAAAATTTATGTTTGTTTGACTGCAGTAAAATTTTGTGTGCAAATATGTATTGATAAAGTAATTCCTTCCATCGAAAGTCATAACACCTTTAAGTAAACACAAAGGTCTATAGCATGTGATACAAAGTTTTGTCTGCTTTGGCAGACACTAAGGTGGAGGTAAAAATCAAGATTATCTGGTGTACTTTAAGTGTGGTGCCAGGATACCACACATGAGAGTCAAGTGGAGAAAGGTCTAAAAATTTTAATGTAAGCTTGTTGTTATGACAGCATCACAAAAGGATCATGCAGAACTGATAATTTCAAGTTTATTTAAGTGTTAAACAAACAGCGCTCTGGTCAGATTTAGGTAATTTCACATGTTGTTTTTTGACTTTTATCTAACTAGCAAAAATTGCATTGCATTTAGTATGCATATTGATAATTCTGTTAATAAATTTATCAATTTACTTAGCAGTCTGTGTTTGTCTGTTTCAATAATGCAACAACATATATGTGTATTTGCTTCATTTTATCAATTTGTTGTATTTAACTTTTTTGTATCAGGTTTATAAATTTATGTATGTGATAGAAAATTTACATGAAACTAAAGAAAAATCTGTTTTATTATAAGGAATCGCTGGAAGAAAAGTTTCCCAACATTACTTCAACAGCTATGAGCTTTATGCAGGTTTGTCGATACATATTCTCTATATATTAATGCTTTGTGAAATATAACTGGACTGTGTTCATTCAATCATTATTTGTATAAAACATTGATTTATTAAGTCAGATACACAGTATGTAAATTGTTTGAAATGAATCCTTGTGGTCATTATAGGGGTGTCTAACTATGGATCCAGCGCAGCGGTTAAGCTGCACCACACTTTTGCAGCATCCATACATGGACCAAAACAAAGAAATCTATGATGCACCAAACCGCAAAGAAAAGTCCGAGAGAAAGAATAAATCTATTTCTCGTGCCAGTAACCACTATGTAAGTCTCCCTGTGATCAAGAACTAGATTTAGGACTACACTCGTAGATAGTACTGCTAAATATACATTTTTATTGTTTAAAAGTATAGATATGCTTTATGGATGGTGTAAAGTCATGAATTAAATTTATGTGTGTGTTATATGTATGATATTTAAGATTTTTTTCCCTTCTAATTTATGTTCGTATTTTGTTACCTATGATTTTTTTTTTGTCGTTCTTGCTAGGCAATTTTAAAACAAAAATTCATTTACAGAAATGCTAGAAATACAATGTAAGAGCTGGCCGAATTGGAATATTTGGTATATGCTTCAGATTGAAGGATGACTTTCAGATCTTATGTTATTTGAATATGTGGTTTTACATAGGCAACCTCAGACTGGATGTGTGTAGTACTGATTAAGGCTACATACAGTGTTTTATGTACCATTTTTCATTGTTTTCTACATATATTCTTTTGTTTTTCTACCTGAAATTTTTTTGAGGTTATTGTATATTTTACTGAGATATAAGTTGCATGAAGTTTATTGGCAGACCTGTACCCACGGGTATTACATGTTTGATTCAAGGACGTGCTTCTGTCAATAAAGAATAGTCGAGAGAAGTACACTACGAAGGTGAAAACAAATTTTGTGATGTTCAGCTTGGTTGATTCACCTCTACACATCTCTAATTTTTCTTCATTGTGGTCTGTACTCTTTTTGTTTAATGGTAAATTTTTCTCCTTCATATTTTCATTTGGAGGAATATTTGGTTATAGGAAGAAAAACAATGGAGTCGGGCCTTTGTGGTAAATTGCACTTGTTCCAGTTTCCTATTCATTAAAAAAAACAGAAACCACTGAATCACATGGTTTAAATTTTATTTCCCTTTAGATTTAGACTACATCTATACTATAACTGTTGATCCAGAAATCACTTATAACAAAATAGACTTTGTATTAGACATTGAAAATTGTTGCTGGATCTGCAGTTGTACAATTCTCTTTTGAGACACAGAATTTCACTATTTTGTGTGTTTGTTGTTTCACATCAAGAAAGTCATCCTTCTAGTGTATTAACAGTCACTGATATACATACTTATTTACTGTTGAAGTAAGCTACAGTGTATTCTGAGGAAGATCGAGGGATTGGGGAGGGGGGGGGGAGTAATGTAAAGGGTACTAAAGAGTAAATTGGTGTTTTTGTAGAATAGTTAATTTAACTGAATCAGTCAAAAGCCTCTATATAAGGGTCAAGTTCATAATGAAAAAAAAAAAGATATATTTTGCAGGAAATTATATGAGTACTGTAAAATCACTTATTTTCATGGGGGCAGATTTTCGTGGTTTGAAGAAAAAAATATTGGTTCGTGGGGATTAATTTGGTGGTTGAAGAAATGTTTGATACTTGTTGTGATTATAATTTTTATGCCCCGCCGTCCTTCCGTCCTTCTGTCCTTCTGTCCTTCCGTCCTTCCGTCTGTCCTTCCGTCTGTCCTTCCGTCACACTTTGCGTTTAGCTCTGTTCAAAGCTCAGTTTCAAAGAAACTATCCAAGATATTTTTATCAAACTTCATATGCTGATAAATATTGATGAGGGCTATGCAACTGCATCAACATTTTTTGACCTTGACCTTTCCTTTGACCTTGACCTCACTTTTCTTAAATTAGTGTTTAGCTCAGTTTTAAAGATACCATTCAAGATAGTGTAATCAAACTTCATATTTTGATACATACTGATGTAAGCTATTCAATTGCATCAACATTTTTTTGACCTTGACCTTTATTTTGACCTTGACCGCACTTTTCTTAAATTAATGTTTAGCTCTGTTTTAATGAAACCATTCAAAATATTTTTAACAAACTTAATATGCTGATACATACTGATGAGAGCTATTCAGCTGCATCAATATTTTTTGACCTTGACCTTTCCTTTGACCTTGACCTCACTTTTCTTAAATTAGTGTTTAGCTCAGTTTTAAAGAAACCATTCATAATATTTTCATCAAACTTCATATGCTAATACATACTGATGTAACCTTTTCAACTGCATCAACATTTTTTGACCTTGACCTTTCCTTTGACCTTGACCTCACTTTTCTTAAATTAGTGTTTAGCTCAGTTTTAAAGAAACCATTCATAATATTTTCATCAAACTTCATATGCTAATACATACTGATGTAACCTTTTCAACTACATCAACATTGTTTGATCTTGACCTTTCCTTTGTTCTTGACCTCACTTTTCTTAAATTAGTTTCTGAATCAAACGTCATATGCTGATACATACTGATGTAAGCTATTCAACTGCATCAATATTTTTTGACCTTGACCTTTCCTTTGACCTTGACCTCACTTTTCTCAATTTGTGTTAAAATGTTGCATTACTAATATACCCTTGGCGGGGCATTCATGTCCTATGGACATTTCTAGTTACTATTTGTGTAGGACATGAATTTGTGGGTATCTTCTTACCACAAAAACAACGAAAATAAAACCCTCCATGAAGATTTGTAATTTCAAAGTATATATTGTAATCCCAGTGGTTTGATGTTAGGTAGCCTGATACACTCAAATAATAAAACATTATTCACTTAGCAGCCTTCCCAGAGTGCAACAGTAAGTAGTTGCTGGTAACATATATTCAAACACTGTTTGCTGAGGCCATGCAGCACAAGAGTTTGGACATATATCTCTCTGTCTCTGCAATTAAAGGAGCATTCATCTCATAAGACGGTCAATTCATCAAAAAAAAAGGAACACTTAATTATTTTTTGCTTGCAAAAGAAAGTGGGATTTTCATATCCAGCTAACATCTGTATGATGATGCCACTGTTAATTTTAGATTTGTAGTATTGTGGATATAAATGTGTCAGGGTCACAAGCAAAAGGAAAGATGAAATTCTTGATGAAAATTAATAATCATATGGATTTGTCATACTTAATCATGGTTATCAGTTTTAATCAATTTACAATAGTTGAGAAAAAACTAAGTTTCCAAAACATACTTAAGAAGAACATATGCTTTAAAGGTTGTTACTACAGGTATACAATACACTTAAACTGAAATTTTGGTCATCCTTATTCACATTCTGGATATTTCAAAGAAAATTAAACCCCAGTCTCCCCAAAAAATCATTTTCTAGATCAACATTGGGTGAAAAAAATCTCTTCATGTTAATATTTTAGAGAAACACTTGATCTTGTAGCTATTGTCAGTAGATGTACAACCATTATGACCAATGTTCTTATGATTCTAGTGAAAAGAGGTGAATGTCTCCTAAATGTTTGCTTTTGTTCTTTGATGTAAATCTTGAAATTCATAAAACATGTTAACCAACAGTACTTCAATATGTCTACTATTGTCACACCATTTATACCTTGTTGCTCCAATTGGATGACTGTATTGTATACAAAATAGTCTTATCCTTAACTGCATCACTAGGGGTCTCTTATCAGAGCCCTTCATCAAGTTCAGATGCCTTGTTACAGTAATCATGGTGTCCATCTGTCTTTGCATAAGGATTTTTATGTGATATGATTATTTGAGTACCTTTCAGTCTACAGACTTCATATTTACTTTATACACAGGTTATGGCTAATTTAAATAAAAAATAAGAGATTTAATAAATTGGGCCATTTATTTTAAGGTCAAAGATCAAGTTCATTGACATAAACACATGTTGATGTAGTGTGATGATTTTGGTAATACATGTACAGTGTATTTTACCTTAATAACCTACATATTATATATATACTGCATACTGGTATATGAAGGAGCCCCTTTGAGATTTTTTGGTTACCTGGTCAAAGGTCAAGGTCAGATAATTGGGACTTGTAACCCGATTATTTTAGTTTGTTTGATGTGATAGCTTACAGATTTTTAAAAGCTACAGAGGTTATATGTAACTATGTGAGAGGAATTTTTTCAGGTCATTTGATGAAAGTTTAAAGTTATCTGCCCATGAACATACTTTTTTGTGAAACAAAATGACAACCAAAAAAAAGACTCCCCCCACCCAACCCCCTATAAAACATTGAGAGTACATACTTCCATCTGATTTAATACATGAATACTTAGGTGAAAGAACAATGTTATAGAAAGACAGGAACTAATTATAATTCCTATATAAAGAGAGAAACCTTTTCATGTTGAAATCACTGTAAAACAAAGATATTGATAGATTTTTAAACCACTTTATGTAAGAGAAACATTTTTACCGGTATATAAGCACAATGTAAATCTTGGAATGACTTTGTCTGTTTTCTAGGGAGCCAAATTGTTTAATGTAAATTCATTGTAAAAACATTTTTAAATCCTTTTTTCACCTTAACAAATAAACCCATTGAACCAGGTTACATTGCTTTGAATGTAATTTTCCCATATAATTATCTAAGCTATATATATATATTTTTGACGCAAGTCAATGTGACGTAGCAAGCCAATTTATACAATTTAAAGTAAATTTTTTATCCAACCAAATACCGCTTTATAACCAGAATATATATATATATATATATATATATATATATATATATATATATATATATATATATATATATATATATATATATATAGTTGTATTGTAAGAAAATTTAAAACTATTTGTGATTGAAAATTTTAAATATTTAAAAATTTACAAATTGAGTAGCAAATCAAAACTGATGTAACTATGTACAATATATATTAAATCAGTTTGAGAGCTAATTCCTGTTAGGTATGAAGGTAACCTAAGGACCTCTTTACACTGCATATTAAAGAGTTCTAATTCTGCAATTAGAGTGATCTGCCCTTCATCATATTTAAAAGATTTGATCAATTCAAGCATTCTTATATTAATAATCCAAGATGAATAAATTGAACACTGTTTGTATATCCCCCATTTAAGTATGCAACAGCAATTTCTGTTTGTCAATATTATGTTATCTTTGAACATTTTTCTTGAGGGTATCCTGTGTTGAAATTGAAATAATCTGAATATCTATGCCTTTATTTATATATATTTACATTTGCAAATGTTTTCCTTATAGAACACTATTTGAGCAATGCATATTTAAGCCTGTATAAATACAGGTTCATTATATGACCACAAATTCATTATTTTCTCAATGTCTCAAACACAGTAAAAAGTTTTCATTATATAGACTAAGTGTAAATGGGTGTCCTTAAAAGGTTCTGGTTTTAAAATACAGTAAAACCTCGTCTCGAACTCCATGGGAAACTTCAAAATATCAGAGAATTTGAGATACCAAGGGTAAAACACTATAGGTATATGTGGTTGGGACTTCCAAATCACTTCGACATATCCATGGTATTCGAGATACTGGTGTTCGAGATGACGAAGTTCAATTGTTTATTTGTACAGTACTACATCAAGGTGTATCAGGCTACACTGGCTTGGTGGCCTGTTGCTAAAATCATGCAACAACTATTGTTTTTTATAATTAGCACACTTTATTAACAAATCATTGAGATAATCTGTACACATTTACAAAGCACGTGTGTTTGCTACATATACACAAATATTCATGTTTCTTCAAGTAAATATATATATAACTTTTAAAAATCTTGAAATTTAAGTTCATTGATTTTTTTTTTTTTGAAATGGTTCAAGTAAACTCACTCGAAAAGGTGAGAATAACAGCTAAGGTAAAACTTGAAAAAAAAAAGCTTTTCTATGCATATTGAAGTTAAATATGAATGATAATATGTGTCAGAGTATGGGATAAGTCAGATGGAGGTCAGATTTAGATGCTGAAGGTCAAAAAAGGAATTTGTCATGACTGGCATTGTGTTTGACAAACACAACTTTTATAGAAATTTGTATACGTTTTGATTCATATTTAGAAGGTAGTGCAACTGTATCAAAAATAAAGATAATAGACCAACAGGCATTCCCATGATAAAGAAATTGTTCTACAGTAGTTGTACAGGGAATGATCAAACTTGGTATCTTTGATGAACATACACATACTCTTCTACATAATATGGACTCTCTTGTACCAGTTTTATATTCAAATGCTATTCAATTTTTGTTAATGTTAATGAAATTTGATGTTTTTATTTGATATTTTATTTAATATTTTTGAGTTATTATGTGACCTACATTTAGAATTCTCTTAGCTCATTCCTCCCATTGATTTGCAAATTCATTGACGAACACGTTGATGTATAATTCTTTGTTGATTTCAGTACCATCCACAGCTGCCGCAGTTGACAGGGAACCCTGGTTTTAACATGTCTACCTCCCCTATACCAGCCTCCAAGTTCAACAAGAAACACAAATATGACCACCACCTTCCCAACATCTGACTTTTCGGCCAAGGGGTTCTACGTCATGACAACTAGACTGAGGAAGCTAGCATGATGTCGTATCCTGGAGGCCTATTCACATCGGGAGCAATGGAACTTTTGTTTGTGGTGTATATGTAAAACTTTTGTCAAGCACGTTTGGAGCTTTTCTCTAATTTTTTTTTTTGTTCAGCCATTTTTGGGATGTTCAAAACAGCCTCCTTATTGACTTCATCTTGATAAACATGACGGAAAATTGGGACGATTTTTCATCATCCATTTTAATGTTTAATGAAAGATTGTATTGATACCGGTAGATATATATAAATATATATATATATATTGATTACATGATTTGTATGCGATAAAATTTTGATGTTTTAATCAGTCTCAATTTTTTAAAACATTATTGTTTTCTAATTTTGTTACAGGAAAGATATCATGACATGTTTTTTTTTCCAGTTTATCATGACATTTTCCTATATATATGTCGAAGGATTTTCCCTCCATCAATTGATAGTACAATTTATAATTTTGCCTGTACTCTGCTCTATTTATTTTTTAATTGGTTTACTATTATACATGATTGCATCAGGTGACTGGTATATTTTGTAAAATTTGTTGTTTTAGTATACATGTGTGAATGTGTTGTGGTAATACATGTACTGGTATATGTTACTTTTTTGGGGCATAAATTTATTAATTCATGATGTGAAATATGTATAGATGTTATCACATGTTAGAGCAAATCATACTGTATGCATATTGCAAGAAGGATACTTATAATCTAAATTAAAAAAAACAAAAACAAAAACAAAATACTATCAATAATTCCCCATTCTAATTTCTGATAAATTCAGGAAAGTAAAAAAAAAATCATAAAAGTTTGCTTTTTTTAATAAAACATCTATGCTCAGTTAAAAAACATTAGGAAAAATTATTATTTGTATCCTTCTTGTGCAGTTTAATTGTTCATTGAGGTAATTTTGTCCATGGAATCAGAATGTTCATGCATCATTAAGGAGGTTGTTTTGAATCTTTTGCACCATATAGCTAACAATTTTATCCTAATTTTGAATATTTAATAAGGTAAATATTCACAAGAGGTTTTTTTTTTAATATCTTGTATATCAAATAGATTAGTGAAGAGAAAAATGCTTTAAGAAAGGAAATTGAGTGATTTGTTTGATCTTTCCACTTAAGATTCTAGAAATTTTTAGTTAAGCATGAATGAGACTAGCGTGAAGTGAAAAAAATATTGTTGAATAACAATTAAAGCCATATGTCTATTAGATTTACAGTATATCCAAATAGTACAGTATCAATGCTTAAATATAATGCTAGAATACAAATAACATATAATGCATTAGTTAATTTTTTTTTTGAGGTTAAGGGTGATAGAAAACATTTGCAACATTCTTTCAAAAGAAAAGCTTTAATCAGAGAAAGTTGCAAAGGTTGAAGCATTAACATGATCAAAATTGTAGGTAGTTTGAATCTTTTGTTCAGAAGCTGTATTTTTATGATGTATTTTGTTTAGAACAGATAAAACAGAAAAGAAAATGGCAATTAAGGGAGTTGGAAGTTGATCTATTAAGATTTACTGATTGGCTTTTGTATGCAAATAGACAGATTTCATGTAAAAAAAAAAGTTATTAAAAAAATATCAAATGTCTATTTTAAAAGCTAACAGCATCAATAATTCTGCTATTAGAAATAAGTTTGTTTAAAAATAAACAAAGTCTCAGGATGGCATATAGGAATAAGTTTGATGTATTAGATGGCTCCAATGCTTTGTTTTCCCCCATCAGACACCAGCTTTATAGAGTGATATTTCAGGCACATCTTGTGTACTAACCCCTGCTTCCCTCAGCACTAATTTCTCTCTGCCTTTCTCCGTTGCTTCCGACGTTGCCTCCCAAAGAAAAACAAAAAAAATTCATCATAGCAACGACTTGTCGAAATATGGTGTAGGTGATTTTTAAGTTTTCATATTGTATTAAACCATAATTCCACTCTCCATTTCAGGGCTTGTTTTTCAAATAAATTGTTTTGTTTTGATGTCATCTGCCATTTTTTGATCATGTAAATAATATGCTTTGTGTAGATAATATATAAATATACTTGTATAACCTCATGAATTTCAATTTTTTTGTATAGATTGTAGATCTTTTTCTTGGCTAATGATGTAAATATGTTGTTGCCTTTGACACGTATTTTACATTCCGTATAACAAATATGTATGTATGTATATATATACTCATGGAATCATATCTGGTTGTAAGGAGATCGCATTGATCTGATCAGCTTTAACTTTTTTTATATTTATTTGTGATAAAACAAAAGCTACACAGTTATCTGTAGCCAATGAAACACACCATGTCTGGGGCTGAGTGCAAAATTACCAGGCATATCAGTTATGCTTTCCTGCAGACAGAATGATTTGTCTTGTAATTCAGAGGAAAGGAAATATTTTTTAACCATTCCAGCATGGGACATAGATAATTGGTTTTCAGAGGATTTATTTATTTATTTTTTTTTTTCCTGGCAATTTACAGTAGATGAAAACAGTTATGAGGATTGTATTCTATTGTTTCTAATGAACAAAACTTTGGATCTGATTTGGAATTTTTTTTTTAATTCTCTGTCCATGTAGATTGGTAATTCAAGGAGAGTAGAAATACTAAATAACATTATTTTCCGTGAATTCAAATGCCTGTTTTTTAATTGCCTTTGATTTCTACCCCACATGAATGTCTAACTAAATCTTATCTCTTTAGACATGAATAGGTCTATATTTATATCTATTGATTATCAAGTAGATGTAGACTTTTATGATTGTTTTCTAAGGGTTTTTTCCCTTTCTGCACATTTTTTATGGTGAAAAATTTATTTAGGGAAATAGGTTTATTTTCTTTCTTTCAAAAGCAAGGAAATTGTAGTAAACTTTAAATGTGTTAAAGGGAGACAACCATGTAACAGACAACACATGTGCTGCATCTTTGGTTTTTTTTTAATTTTATTTTTTGGTACCTTTTGGGTTCCTTCATATTGTGGCTGTATTTAGTCTATTAGAAGCACCTGGTCTAGATGTAATAGTTTTATGGCCAAAGGTAGAATGGGAAATTATTATCATTATATTTTCTGATGTCAGTCTTTTTAAAAAAATAATAATTCTATCATTTTAAATTGTTATTTGTATTTAGAAATTAAATGTTATCAGTACAATCATATTGTGTTGTGTTTATATAAGGTATGTGGAACTTTGTAAATCCAGTAGATTGGTAGTTTAAGTCCACAGTTCAATGCTTCTAACAGTGCAATGGGATTGATTGTGTCTCAACTTGGAATAAATTACTAGCAGTATAATAAAGCAAATCTCCAAGTGTTTATAAACATTGTGATGATCAGGCTTGTTCTTCTGCTTGTGGCTAAATGACTCCGGAGGACCAAAGTTCAGGGGGTCTGGGTTCTAATCTTGGTCTGGTTCATCATATTTTTCTTCTCCTGTTTCATCTATAGCCATGACCTGCCCTGGAAATGACAGGTGAAAAACATGTCAGGGGATGAACCTGGGTTGATGCATTTTAGGGCAAGGAATATGGGGGTCAAGAAGTTGACCTTTCACTGTTAGATAGCTCAAGTGGAAGAGTATCTGTTTAGAGTTCAGGGGCATGGGTTCAAATCCTGCTCAAGTCCATTATATTTCCTTCTCGTTAAAATATCTGTTTCATAGACTAAGTAACTTATGGACAAAGTTCTCGGTTTTTCCTTGATCAGAAGTACTGATTAGACTTTAACCATAATACAGTACAAGTGTAACTTGTAAATGTACATCCATCTATACATACACCTTCAGAATAGGAGTGGGTAAAGCATAATCTTTGTCACTTCCTAGCTACAAATAATGCTAGGATATCCAAACCAAACTTGCATATATAAGTGCATATGTAGTGTGATGCTGCCTCTGATCACCATTTTATGCTCCAGTGACTCTTGTAAACAAAGCTTTATCTCAGTGTTTAGGTCACTCTCTCAGCTCAGCTTATCACAAAAGGTATCCAAAAACCAAATTTGGGGATATTGTGAATCTATGGATACTAAGTGTTTGCATGCTGCATCCAGCCTGTATTTTGTACTGCAGTAACCTCAATTAATGGCAAAGCTATGCTTAATGTTTACTTTCCAGCTTTTTTCAATAAGTACCCAAAACATACAGAAATGAGGCATCTACAGACATTTTATGAGCTGCATGCACTCATGCACATGTTGATGCATCATATTATTCTGGTAAAGTTTTTTTTATCTTCCTTACCTACATTTTATGCATGACTGAAACCTGTTGGGTCAGCTTTTAAGTTGTTCCTTGCATATCACAAATGGATTTGAAACCTAACTTAAACTTATGGTCACATATACAGATGTGCATTGAATGCTGCATGTTACCATCACATTTTGCTTGACTGACATTGGTTAGGTTAAAATTAATACGATTCTTCTATGTGTCGATTGATAGGTTGAATCCAACAACATTTAGTTTACAATGTAGCTTATGGCTGGCATTAATACAAACCAAAACTGTATACATTGCTTGCACTTACACTGCATCTGACCTACATTTCAATTCAATAAAGGAGAAAGACATGGTTTACCTCATTTCCAGCTTATCACAGATAACAGATTGATTTTTAGCGCACCTCAATAAATTTGGGGGGAGCTTATGTTATACCCTTGGTGTCGGCATTCCAGGTTAAAGATTTTGGTGCAGTTTTCTTTTTAAATACTTCTATGCCCTACATTAATCAAAGATGCACGGAAGACGATTCTAGTGTGTTTCATTGTACCAGTCAAGGTTTCAGATGTTGCAATTTCAGCTAGGGAATGACCAGGTTAATGTTTTTGGAGCAGGTTAAATTTTTTGGTGCATATCTTGAATGGTTTCTTTCAAACTGAGCTAAACATTAAATTTAAGAAGAGTAAAGTAAGGGTCAAAAAATGTTGAAGCAGCTGAATAGCTTACTTCAGTATGTATCAGCATATGAAGTTTGGTTACACCATTTTGAATGGTTTCTTTAATACTGAGCTAAACACTAATTTAAGAAAAGTGAGGTCAAGGTCAAAGGAAAGGTCAAGCAAGAGGCCCAAGGGCCTTGAATCGCTCTTCTGATAAACTGTACAACCTATCACTTCCATTTAAAGCCTCCAAGTATCCTGTACATTTAGACAAAGCCTTGAAATTCCAAAGGTAGGTCATCATGACCAACATTTAAGATGAAACACTTTGAGAACCCAAGATGATTCTAAGCCAATTAGTACCTGAGAGTAGGTCATGGTGACCTACTTATCACTTGTCATTCTCTGAGGACCCAAGATGCATCAACTAAGTTTGATGATTCTAAGCCAATTAAAACCTAAAATATTTTTAAAATTATTGCCATAAAATTTCAAAAGTAGGTCATAGTGACCTACTTTTCAGATGACATACTTGGAGGACCCAAGATGCATCAACTGACAAAGTTTGATGATTCTAAGCCAATTAGTACCCAGTGATTCATTTTGAAAATGGTTATCATGGGTCCAAAGGACCCCTCTTAATGACAACAATGAGTCCCGTGCCAAAATCAATGCGTCCAAATCCAAGGGTACCGTATATTAGATGTTACAGAGGAAATTCTGGTGAAAAAAAGGGTATTGCACGAAAGTGCAAATGTTTTATTGTAGCTGTGAGTGATTTATACTTTTACTATTAATTGTCCAAGTAAGAGTACATAATTTTGTGTCGTAAAAATAATATATTGTCCACTGTGCACGTTGGTTCTATTTTTAGATCGTACATACGATCTCACACATTGTATCAGTTATAAAATGCACAGAAGCAGAATGAAGTAAAAAAAGTTTAAGAAGAAATGACAAATAGTCAAAAATAAAAATGATTAAATTTTATACTTCTTATCATGTAATGAAAAAACGAAAAGAAAAAAAACAATGATACAGGTTACAGCTTTTAAAATACAAACGTATAGTATTCACTTCAGAAACGTTCCACGGTATAGACTTAATCAGTGATAATCGAACTATGCCATCTAACTTTCAAATATTTTCTGATAATTGCTTTTAACTGCAGTTGTGAAATCTGACCTGTTGTAGGCAACCTTATACCTATTAAAATTGTTCATGCGTATCATTTAGCATGTGGATATGATGCAATCGGTCAAGTTTTGAATCAGATTATACCGAAATAATTTAAAATAGTACATGTCCTTCTATAAATTTATTGCGTCCAGTGGGATGCACATTTATTGAAATAATGCGTCCTTAGCAAAATTTGTGCATAATTTACGCAGGACGCACACCAAAATGAATCACTGAGTACCTGATATATTTAAATAAAGCCATAAAAATTCAAAAATAGGTCACAGTGACCTCCTTTTCAGTCGACTAACTCTGTGGACCCAAGATGCATCATCTGACAAAGTTTGGTGATTCTAAGCCAATTAGTACCTAAAAATATTTAAATAAAGCAATAGAATTTCAAAAGTAGGTCACAGTGACCTACATTTCAGTCAACTTAGACCTGAAATATTTCATTATAGCCATATAAATTGAAAAGTAGGTCACGGTGACCTAATTATCTCCCCTTGCTCAAGGGTCACAACCCTAGTTTTAGTATAAACGGGAGCCCTTGGGCCAAGGATACCCTGTGACAAATAATTGGCCAAGGGGTTCTTGAGTTATGGTCCATATTCTAAAAAGTTTACACATACCGCACAAATGGCCATAGCATTAGATCTTTGAGCTTTTGGCTCAGAAGAGCTAAAAATGTTGATGCAGTTAAATAGTTTACTTCAGTATGTATCAGCATACGAAGATTGATAACACTATCTTGTATGGTTTCTTTCAAACTGAGGTAAATGCTAATTTAAGACAGGAGGCCCATGGGCCACATCGCTCACCTGACCACATTGGCTAGGCAAAAGCACAAATCAGTTCAGTATTGAAAAGATTACCATGGGATGGGGGGGGGGGGGGGGGCTTGAATTTTAAACTACCTGATGATGCTTCCATGTCAATATAACAAATGGCTTTGTTGTGCTTGAGAAGATTTTAAAAAAATTATCCCATATATTATTTTGTAAAAATTTGATCCCCCATTGTGGCTCCTCCCTACCCCAGGGGTCATGATTTGAACAAACTTGAATCGACACTACCTGAAGATGCTTCCATATCAATATGACTAAACATAGCCTTTCTGTTCTTGAGAAGAAATATTTTTTCTGTATGTTCTTATGTAAAACTTTCTACTGCTTCCATATCAAAATGACTAAATATGGCTTTGCAGTTCTTCAGAAGTAGATATTTTCCTATATATTCTTATGTAAAAATTTGATCCTCCATAGTGGTCCCGCCCTACCCCCGGGGGTCATGATTTGAACAAACTTGAATCTACATTACCTGAGGATGCTTCCATATATATATGACTCATCATGGCTTTGCTTTTCTTGAGAAGAAGATTTTTAAAGTTTTTTCCTATATATTTCCATGTAAAACTTTGATTCTCCATTGTTGCCCCGCCCTACCCCCCGGAGGTCATGATTTGAACAAACTTGAATCTACACTACCTGAGGATGCTTCCATATAAATATGACTCATTATGGCTTTGCTTTCCTTGAGAAGAAGATTTTTAAAGTTTTTTCCTATATATTTCTATGTAAAACTTTGATCCTCCAATGTGGCCCCACCCTACCCCCGGGGGCCATGATTTGAACAAATTTGAATCTACACTACCTGAGGATGCTTCCACATGAGTTTCATCTTTCCTGGCCCTCTGGTTCTTGAGAAGAAGATTTTTAAATGATGCTATTAATTTTTCACTAATTCTTTATTATCTCCCCTTGAAAGAGGGCACGGCCCTTCATTTGATAGAACTTGAATCCCCTTACCCCAAGGATACTTTGTGCCAAGTTTGGTTGAAATTGGCCCAGTAGTTCTAGGGAAGAAGATGAAAATGTGGAAAGTTTACTACGACGACAACAACAACAACAACGCCAATGACGACAGATAACGGACAAATTTCGATCAGAAAAGCTCACTTGAGCCTTCGGCTCAGGTGAGCTAAAAAGTGAGGTCAAAGTCAAAGGTAAAAAAAATGTTGATACAGTTGAATAGCTCTCATCAACATACATCAGCAAATGAAGTATGATAAAAATATCTGAAATAGTTTCTCTAAATCTTTGAACTGAGCTAAATGCAAAGTGTGACGGAAGGGTGGAAAGACGCTTGGACAGAAGACAGACATGACAAACTCAATGTGCCCCGGTGGGGCATAAAATCCCTGTCTCACTCATGAAATAAAATTCCATATCCTAACACTGAATATCCTTTAGATATTACATGTTTTGTAATATCCCAGAAAATCATCAGATTAGATCCATTCTTTTAAAGCATTCACATCTTTATTTTCCCCATCTTTGTTCTACTTGTCCCGGAAATGAAATGTTAAAAATTGGAAACACTGATATACATGTATACAGGAAAACATATATATTCATCTATTTTGCAGTTTATTTCAACAAATATCTTTTAATTATATAATGAATGTATGCTCGCCTGGAAAATTTATGTATTCTTGTATCATATGGCATTGTTAAATAGAACCTGATAATTTTTCTCTTTTTTAAAATCATTTAGTACTTTAAAATCTTTGTTCTAAATTATTTAACAGAAATGGGGCAAACTATATACTTTGTACTTATATACAAAATTGAAGTGTCTACAGGGATGTCAAAGTCCACAAGTTAGTAATTTTATGTACATGTATATGGTAGGACAATAAAATGATATGACTAACAAACTAAATACTTAAAATTACTAACTGCAAGCAACATTAACAAACAAGATCAAATATTTGCTTGTTAAAATCCAAAGGATGCTAGATTTTAAAAATAAATCACAGAATCTATACTTCTGAATACAGATCAGTGTGTATATTCACATGAATTCCAAATAATACAACATGGCAGCAATATTATGTTAATAAAAATTCAAGAAATACATGTAAAATGTTATCTATTGTATGATGTGCAGAGAAAACAGATGTATGCCCTGTCATAAGAATCACGATTAAGTACAATACATGTGTCCAGGAAATGTGTAATCTGTGAACAAGTTACAAGAAGGGATGGTAGCCAAAACTACACATACACTGTACAATTATACACAATACTTACATATATCTACATAAATATTATAACCACAGGCCATAACAAGATGACTACAATACATCAAACAATGAATGAAAGACTGCATTCTGGAAAAAAAAATTATACAATTAATATGTGCCCTTGAAGAGCTTTATCTTAACCTTTTTAGCGAGATGCAAATTTAGCGATTTATCTTTTTAAAATTTTTTTTAGCGAGAATCAATTTTAGCGATTTTAAAGTGCCTACTAAAGAAGCTTTTACAAATAAAACGCATTTTATTTTCAGTGATATTAAATTTTAGTGATCTCAACGCCCTCGCTAATAATGCCAAAATTAAATCCTCGCTAAAAATTCTGCTTATACGGTATGATGCTTTGCAACTTTATGAGATAAATCCTTATAAATTCCTTCTACATAAGAATACTTTTTTTCATATCACAATTTGATAAAAATGTTTATAATGAAATATTTCTGTTCATCATGCTCTTATACATCTATTACAGTCCAAACACTTAAGGAAAGAAAATAATCTATTTGTGATAAAAGTGAGTTTTCTGTTCAAAGAATCTTGATCTTTACACATGGAAAACACGAGTTACATTGTGTTATACATCGCTGATACTGAATGTCTGGTTTTCTGTCCTTTATAACAAGTCTGTCTTTTATGACATCACACATCCACTGAATGTCCCGGGATCTTTCTCAGACATTGGAGTTTCTTTCTCCTTCACTGGGGGCAGTTCTGCCGGCTTATCTTTCTTGTCTTTGTCCTAATATTAAAACAAAGATTCAAAGTATTACCTGTACCGGTATAAAATTTGTACCTCAACTTAGAAACACAGCTTTATCAAAATAATTTAAACATTTTTCATTCAAGTAAATTGAATTGATCTTCACAAGAAATGACTTGTCAATGGTTCAGAAAATCTAACTCGAAAACATTAACTGATAAGATTCCCCGAACCTTAATAATATTCTACTTGCATTTTCTGGCTTTGGCGCCATTTTGGCATTCATTTTTACATACACCTCTTTGCTCCAGAGAGGATTTAGGGCTGGGGGAGTAAATGGCTCTGGGGCAGCAAGTCCATAGGTAGCCTTTAACTCTAGAACTGGAGGGTCATATGCCACTTTTTGGTGGTAGCTGAAATATTAATGGTAACATATGATAGAGTATGTTTTATCACATAAATGTACAGTTTAGTGAGTACAAAACAAAGTGCTTGTGAGCCTTAAATTATGATAACAAGAATATTAGGTAGCAATTTTTTTTCCATAGGCTCTCATTCTCAATAGACAAATAAACAGTCAAATTTTAGACTGTATATGGTATCCATAACTCTTTAAACCTGTGGTATACTGTAAACTTAGAAATTAAGGTTAATGACATGGAAATACTGATGAAATTGACATATGACCTATAATCATCAGTATTTCCACTTATCACACACATCATTGTTGTTCAACAGGAATACCTAATTACCCGCTATTCTAGGGGGCTTAGCCTCTACAGTAGTAAAAAGGGGGCATATCAAAACACAACATGGGACTGAAAACTTCAAAGTCGCAGTGAGTTTACATTTTACACAAACAAATGATTTTTGTACTGCATATGTTTTGCGACAGTAAATGCTTCTTTCAGTATGAAAAACTTTTCTTTATAATTTTTTATTTTATTTAAGACACAACATTGTTTTACAGTGAAGGGAGGGGTGGTAGATTTTTTTTTTGTTGTTGTTAAAAAAGTGATACAAATACAAAGTCTCGTAATACGTAGTAAGTTATTATATTTTTTTTTTGCTGCATTAAAATGACTCATAGAAATATTTTTGAAAATCAGGTCAAAGTATACATGTTTATGTCATTGACAAAAAATGTTAAAAACATTTTCAGGGAGAAAGACTAAATGCATTTCCTTTTGCTGAAGTCGTTTTTCAAAAATTAAAAAATGTACTGTGACGCAACTGAAACAATGCTGCATGAAAACGCAGCTAAGTAGAATGATCCTCATTAAAACAGTACAACATAACAAGTCCTATATCATCCATTGGATCATTACCGTAAGCTCTCAAATAAAATCTCTTCCCTTCTCCAGATATTTCTAATTACAACCATTAAGGTATAGAAGTTTAATGGTACATGTACATGCTAGTTTATAAATGAAATCATTAGTTTTTCTGAAATGTCTCAAACTTATTTCCAACTTAAATATAAAATCAAAGGTTTTTTTTCTCTCTTGAATCTTACACTCTTTAGCAAGTCTTTCTATCTATATCCCCAAAGCCTAAAGTACACAAACTTGAACATGGATATATATGACATGTATATTGTATACATGTACTGTATGTGTACTTAAAAAAGCGGGATTCATATTCTAGAAGCTTTGACGCAGACAATGATGCACTAATTTATAAATATCGCTAATAAATCTCATATATAAACAATACATGGCACGGACATGTGTAGCGCTAATTCATGATTACGCCAACAACTCCATACACAGTGATTCCTCTAAAGTTTGAATATGCCAATTTATGTACACGTACAGTATATGGTGAATCCAAAGTACACATACTGATTCAAGTCTGAGTATGTAACACTTCAGTTTCCCCTGTGAAAGGGAGCCATAAATTAATTAGGTTACAAAAAAGTTACTTTTGGGTTACAGCAGGTTACTTATAACCTAATATATAGAATTCATGGGGTGAATTAAATAAATAGCTTTGAAAAAAAATGTTTAATCACTTTATATCTCAAAATGTACTCAATTTCAAAAACTTTCCTTTATAAAAGTTAAGTTAAAATGTATAGCATGCAATTTTGATTCTTGCTTTAAAAAATATGGACATGGATAGAAAAATATTAGTGTTGTGCAAAATAAGCATGGCAAGTTTTGAAATAAAGAGAAGATAACCCATCATTTCAATTGGATCTAAGTAATTTCACAGTTTAACATGGTAGGGACCAAAAATTGACTCACATCATTCCATTCTCCCTTTCACATTTTTCCAGTGTTCTTTTTAGAACTGGTCCTAACTTTCTGAAGAAAAGATGATTGGCTGGTCTTGCAAATGTACCAAGGCCTTTAGTACTGGCATATTCCTTGCAGAGTGCTTCAGATTTCTCATAACCTGGAAAAGAAAGCTTCAGCTTTATTCCTATCAATTCTGACAAATACAGCCTATGTTTCTGTTTGAAGCAAATGCTGAATGATTTTCTGCTCAAGACAGATCTCTTTGTCACATGTAAACACCAATAATCAACTTGGAATGAGCTATTCAGGTATCGATATTTACTTGCCACACGTTTTAACTATTACCTCTGTGCATTACAGAGGAGTCAAAGATAGGGTATTATTTAATCTTGGAATAATTTTACTCGGAATTTCGTAAGTGCATAACCCTCTCTTTTTGATACAAATAATATCAGAAACTTACAAAAGTTGTAGTGTTCTATGTTTATATGAATTTTTTTTAAAATGATTTCATTTAAATGTAATTATTTTTGAAAGTTTACTTATATCATTGCAGAAATGGTTTACTTGCATTAAAAAAATTATTTATTTTTTGCAAAATTTTGACGTACAATAAATTTTCTAAAAATATTTATTTTACAAAGAAAGATAACTCTGTAATTTACTTGAACTGGACCTTCTCTAACAGTAATCCACATGTACCAATGATTTTTTTCTTTTTTTTTTTTTTGTTTTTGACTTTGACAAATTCATATCATACTGAGTTCATCTATTTCATTTTCAAAATTGTTTACCTGTCATTCTCCCTCTGGAAAAATCTTCAGACAACAAAGAAATCATTGTCAAAGTAATGCTTAGGAATTTGACAAAATAAAATGATAATTAACAAGTTTTCTGAATAGTTTTTATGAGATCTGTTTTGTGTGTGAGAAATGAATGTTGTCTTACTTACTCATGAAAAGTAAATACATGAATTGTATTTAAGGACATATGTAACATAGTTTTAAACTTTATTTTCTAATTCTATGTAAAATTGAAGAGTTCAAATGATTGAAAAACCTGTATGTGATTTTTATAATGCCTAATCTGATGCTATGCACCTCTCTTAAAACAAATGTTAGGACAAACCAGCTCCATTTAATAAGTGTGATTAAATGTTTGGTAATTTTTATATTTCTCTTTGAAAAAACACAAGGACTTTCATCATTTTATATCTATCAAAACCCCTGGTTATGCATGTTGATTTTTTGTCTAAGAGCATCTGATGGCCAGGCACTATGATTTTTAATTAGTAAGAGATGTATCTTGAAAAATTATTAATAAGTATGGTAATTGGCAAGGTAAGTTGTATATGACCTTATATAATAAAATGATCAACAGAAAAACTGTCATTTTGTGTCATTAAGAAAGTTTATCACAATCATTGTAGTTCACTAGTACTATAATTATCCCTCACAGGGAGCCAAATATTTAAAAACATAGTAGTTTTCGCATGTTTCCATATAGGAATATTCCAATGCATTGATTGCAATTTCAATCCAAAATTTAGCCAGATTAAAGAGTCGAAAGTTTTCTGAATCAAATAAGATGTAGTAAAATTATTTCCTATGCTAAAATATGATTTCAACAATACAAATGTAGTTTAATTAACAGTTTTAATAATAGATTACTGTCAAAAAGAAAATTCAATCCAAAACCTGTTCTCAAATTTTTTTCCTATCAATTATAAGCATTTGAAGTTAGACAACTCCAGTTAAATTACATTACTCGAAGGCAGATAAAACAAAATCTTTCATTCTTTATAATCCAGGGCTCGAAATAATTGATGGCCTGCTGGTCTGGGGCCAGTGAATTTTTAATCAGGGCTAGTACATTTAGATGGCATGTGCCCTTTGGGCCAGTGTTTTTATTTAAGCAAAACTTAATTCATTTATGGTCAAGCTAGTTAACTTGATGGGGTTGTGAGTCCACATTTTGTTGCTTCTTGTTTTGTTAAATTTTTACTATTGATTATTATAATATAAACAACACATACCTATTAATTTTATGGTTTTGGACCAGTCTTTTGAAAATCTACTGGCCCAGTTGGACAGTGAAAGTACTGAGCTGACCAGTGAAAATTTAAATTGGTAGCCTGAGTGACCAATGAAGAAAAATAATTATTTCTAGCCCTGTAATCTATGATTGTAGAATTTGATTAACAATGATTATTTTCAACTTTTGTTAAAGGTTCTTGAAAACAAAATTTAGGCTATAATTTCTTGCTTTGAAAAAAAAAGTGAATGTAGAATGTGGGATTCTTTAGTTTCACAAATTGTAATTTTTGTTTTGTTTTGAGAAATATGATATCCTAGGATCAGTCATAATAACCCTCCAGATACTTACATTTGACCCCCTCCTGCAGACCCCATACAGATACTTACATTTGACCCCTTCCTGCAGACCACGTACAGCCTCTCCACATTTGTCCTGTGCCAATAAAGTCTCTCCCTGATAGCAGTAGGCCTGATTTACAAAGAAATATGAAATATTAACTTACTTTGGTTCTCGGATCCGACAAAACCCATTTTGCCCGAGAACACAGTCAATAAATGTTTTGTTAAACCTTTTACTTTTTATTTTGACATAACATGATGTAAATTTTGTTTACCCGCACTGCGGTTTAAACTTGGTAAATTTTGTAAAGTTCTGTGGAACTCCAACGAATGCAAATAAGATACAACTGACCCCGCCCACACTGTGAGCTAAGGGGTGCAACATCTCACAGAAAGGTCCAATATCTTGCTCTGTGGTCAAACATCAATTTTTTATGACAGCTCAGTAAAACATTGAAAATGTTAGACTTTTTTAAGTATAGAGTTATATAGGAAACAATTTTTAAAGGTAAAACAAAATTATTTATAATACGAGGGTTGTTCGGAAAGTTCGTAGACTAGCGCCATAAAATTAAAACCGCTAAAGATACATCAATGAATTTTTTAACATTTAATTAGCATCATCTTTTTTTATTTATATATTAAACTATACATCATTACATATATTTTTTAATAAATTGTTGATGGTTTTGAAAGCAATGGTATGTCCAAGCGGCGCAACCTCGAAGATTACGTTTTTTCTACCTAAGTGTAACTGAGAAAAACTCTTTTTTTTATGAGCATTTGTCATCCAAAAATACCGTTAATTCACTTACGCTGTATGACATAATTGTACTGTAAAATTTGCAGCTGTTCATGACATTGTAAAATCATATAAACAAGAGGGGTTTAAATTTTTACTTAACTCCAAGGAATCTTATCAAGATAAGTATTTGAGGTAGAGAATGCTGACATTGAGAAACAATGATGTCATGAAACTAAAGGGCGACAGCGCCGGTAGATCATATAATGTCTTTTTTATTTTATGTTAATTTGGTAAATATTCAAGGTATCAAGCTTAAATTTTCAACATTTCTTTATCTTTTGTTGTTTTATGTTCCTTAAAAATTTTGTAAGCATAAACTACATAGTATTAATTTTATCCAATCAGTCCACGAACTTTCCGAACAACCCTCGTATGTATGATTGCAGGATAGATAAATCCCAGAGTCATTGTGGACCACTCGACTCTTAGGTGGATGTTTTCTATCCTTCACTCAAACATGAATGATTTTTACAGTCTCCATCCATTGACAAAATAACATAGATGTCCTATAGAATTTATGGATAAAATTATGAAATTTTGGTTGTTTCTAAACTCTAGAGGTTTTTTTTCTACAGAAGAACAAAGAATAAATGTTCAGGTCAGGTAAAACATATTTGATTTGGCCTGTTTTGGGTAAAACTATCAACCCTCCCCCAACCCTTGTCTGCTGCTTAACTCACATAAGCTTTGTAAAATTCACACTTCAGCTGGAAGTATTTCCTCCATTTCCCAACTACTTTGATGTCCAGACTCTGCAGAGCATCATCTAAAATAAAGTTCAAAACCTACATCAATCTAACATCCTTAAAAATTAATATACATGTACATGACAGAAATATTCTTTTCATCTCCATGAATGAAACTTAAAAAAAAGAAAGGCTCAATCAATGGTGACAGAGCTAATTCTACACAAAGATTATAAAATGAAACACATGTATATACAAGTACCGTATATACTCAACTATGAGTCGGTCCGCATATAAGTTGGTTTTACTTTTCAAGCTTTTATTAGAGGGATAGACCCTCTAAAATACCAGTCTTTTTATAACTCGCCTATAAGTCAGACAAAGAGTTTTGGTCCAAAATACAACTTCCAAAAAACCAACTTATAGGCGAGTATATACAGTAATCCTTATTTCATTTTTGTTTAGATTTCTCATGAAATTTACAAAGGTCATGGATAAAATAAATTTATACACAAAGAAGAAGGTATGGTTTTAGCTTTATTGTGCCCTAAAAATTTAATGTTTTCAAAAAGTTTTGAAACTGGCTTAAATATTAGTTGAGTATATGACTGTAATAAATCAGGAAAGAATATAGCATGATGGAGTACCATTTTGGATACATGACGTCATTAATTTGATGCATTTCTCTATTTAAACAGAAAAAGCCTTAAAATGACCCATTTCAAGGATTATTTTCCTTAAGAAAATAGTGTCCACAGCCGTCGCCCACGTTAATTTTTAGATATGTTGTGTAAAATTCTTTGAAAAATCACATATCTCAAAATCTTTGTGGGCGATGCTTGTGGACAATATTATCTGAAAGAAAATTCCATTGAAAATTGGTGTCTTCTGCAACTTTTTAAGAAAATACGGGAAAATGCACAAGTTTATGACGTCACAATTAGCATTTGGAAGGTCATGTGAGAAAAAAGTTTTGTATGATCTTTCTGCATGGAATTTTAATAATTCAAAAAGCATGAGTTTTAATTTTTTACATCACTTTTATTTTTAAGAAAAACACAGGGCAAGATTTGTATTGAAACCGTACCTTGTTCTTTCCATACAAATACATGAAGTAAAAAAACAAACCTGCTTTTTGATACAGCTGGGAGGTCTCGTAAGACAGAGCAGCGATTAAGCTAGGAGAATGTTTCATCTCAACAGCTCGAGCCAATGTCACTGAAAGAATGAGATATCTGTTACATGTACTTTCTCAGAAAGCAGCTCATAGGCTAGAATTATTCATCACAACAGCTTCGACCATTTTCAGTTTTTAAAAAAAGTAATAATTTCATTATTTAATCTATTCTCTATATTAAAGTTTGTAATCAATACTATGTTTTGACAATGTTCGGTTCTACATGAATAAAAATCAGGTTTCAAAGGGAATATTTTGAGAATTTTAGTTAATTTTGTATTTATATAATCAATTATCCTTATGGAACATTACCCTCCTGTGCCTCCCCAGTACAGTGATAAATGTAGGCATCCAGAACACGACTGTCTGTGTCTATTGCATTCTCTGTATTATCAGACAGGCGTCCAATCAAATCATCCTAGTAAGAAAATATAATAAATTGTAGAATACAAATAAATTTACTGATGAAGCAAAGTTTTAAGAAATAACCAGCTCAAAATTCTTAACAAATCCTTGTAACATTTTATGGATATAACAAACTCTGATATAGCGAATTCACAGATATAGTGAACTTATTTTGTGACCTCTAGAGGATAAAAATAACAAAATTTACATCGAACTGACATTATTTTTGCAAGTATTTTTATTTGAAAATCAATTCAAAACTTTTGAACTCCAATATCACTTTGTATTTGATATTAAGAAGTCATACTTTGTAATTTGAGGATGAAATCTACTTTGTGAATTTACTTTATATACTTTAATGAATTTATTATAAGGATGTAACAAATTACAGATATGGCAAAGTAAGTTTGCAGGCCCCAAGGAATTCACTATAACTGAGTTTTTACTGTATTTAGCAAGGAAAAAAATCTCATGTTCTATCTTCAATATTTTATGTAATTTCCTAAATTTGTATACAAACCTCTTCTTTTCTAAGAGGTATAAATAATCTAAAAATTGTCATGTCCACAAGCCCTTTTAATCTACTGTTCCAGTTTCATCCATTTATAACCCTTAGGTCTATTAGCTTAATGTTAAAGAAGAGGCCAAAGCACCTTAATGGTCACCTGAGTATAATGCAACTCTATAAAAGACCAAAAGTATGAAATAAAACAAAATAAACTGATTGATGAAGATATTTGCCCAAAAGCAAGATAAATAGGATGAACAGGGATGAACATAATAGTTATTCTAGTACTCAGTGAGAAATCATAATGTAAATTACTTTACTTGCCTACACTTGCCAGTGCTATTACAATCACACTTGTCATTACCACTATGTAGTCATAACATTACAATAGTGCTTGAGCACTGAAAGTAGAAACCCCCTCATATTATTTAAAGCTTAACACAAGTCTTAAATAGACCATACGCCATATTAGTTTTCCTATACATGCATTAGATATCAGCACTAAGGAATATATACCCTTTGCATTTGTTACCCTGACTGCACACTTTGAACTCATGCTTAATGTATTGGATTTCTTACGTTGTCTTAGTGTGTACATTTTGTTATATTAAGTGCATTTTGTGCTTGTTCCTAATGCCTTGACCTGTGCAAATAATGTTACTTTTTCTCCTGATGTGGAACAGTTGCATATGTTTGATACTTTTACTGCGGCTGAGTAACAATGGCGGTGTTAGACATATCCAATAGTTGAGATCTCTACAGCAAAATACATTGAACCATGACTAGAAGTCAGAGGCTTATATAAGGGCTCAACAAATGAAGATAGTGGAGAGAAATATGGAGGAATTTTTTTTTTTTTTTTTTTTTTAGAATTTTTTAGCCCCACCAACCATCAGGCCCGGAGAGAGAGTAGGAAGGGATGGAGATTGGGGGTGAATTTCAGAATTTTTCATAATTTTTGTTCCCCTTTACCTACAGATACTACAGGCTAAAATTAGTTGAATTTGGTTCAGTGGTTCATGAGAAAGAGCTGACAATGTTAAAAGGTTAGCACATGACAACGGAACCCCCCCCCCCCAACCCCCGATCGTAACAGGTCACCTAAGTGACTAAGGTGATCTTAAAAATTCCAAAAAAATTAATCAACTATTTTGACAACTAAACCTAGTTAATTTGGCATTTGGAAATCCAATATCAACAATTTGAAGACAGTTATGGTAGTATAAGTTCCATAACTTGTGTGAATTAGTTACTGGTTTTTCTTCAACTCGCGTTCCTTAACTTTTTGATTGTCGATAGATATGAGGCTTGCCACGTGACAATTAAAAAGTTAAGGAACACGAGTTGGAGAAAACAGGTTACTAACAAGCACACATTAAGAAACCCTTTTCTCCCTGTGCTAAATTCATCAAAACTATCTGTACATTATAACTGCATGAAACACTCACAAAACAATACTGTATTACTTAGCACACCATGATTTCATAATAGGTGTTTTCTAAAATATGCTGGTGAACCAAAAAAAGAATTACTGAACGGGAATGATGAAACATGTTGTAGTGATGCGAGAAAGTCAGCTCCATCATCACGCTGATGTAGACATCAATTTTTAATTCAAGAAATAGAACATGTTAAAACTTCATAAATTTACCTTAACATACGTAAATATCCCAGCAGCAATCTTCAAACATTTGTGTACCTCTTTTGCTTCTTCCATATCTGGCCTTTAATATTTGAATGATAAGTTTGTGTGCGTATATTATATATATATATATATATATATATATATATATATATACCGTAAGTTTTGGGGTATAGGTCGATACTTTTTTTCTCAGAACCGTTGGGGTCGCCCAATTTAACGAATCGACCTTTCTAAGGCTCAAGTTTATGAAAAATGCCCCCAAATTAGTGAAATTTACGTCAATTTCAAAACAAATCTGTGCCATCTTCGTAACTTTTTAAATTATTTTACCGAGAAAAAAGTACTAAACAATAAGAAAAATTAAATATCTTCCATTGATTTCTTACAAAATAAGTTCCATTAAATATCCGTCGATGTACAAAAAAACATTATATCATCTAGTAAATAATGTCTCAACGTATATTTACAACATGCTGTGTCCATCTTGTGAAGTTGGAAGTCGCAATCGCTTACTAAAAATAAAACCGCAACCGTATCAAAGTTTAAAATACGGAAGCGTTTTCACAATCGCAGTTGTAATCGTTTTTTTCCATTTATTTGTAACAATTAATTGAAATAGTATACCTAAATATTTTTTCATTGTCTTGTGATATTTATTTAAATGTAAAATACGTGAAATAAATTGTTGCCAGTAAATTCCTAAAATTATTTACCAAATATACCGCTAGTAATAACTATTTTGTTTTATATCCCAAGGGGTACACTGAATTATACAAAGATTGGCTTCTAATAGAATTTTAATTGTCTGACAGATAAAGGGATATACACTGTGTACACAAAGGTGTTAACACCTGTGTTGGTTAAAACACCTGCGGGGCATGATTAAAAGATCCACACGCCGTTACAGGGGTATTAGTGCTATACATCATTGAACAAACAAAACTGTGAAATTCATAATGACTGTTAAATTGCGAATGTACTCTCAATTAAATTTATTTTTTCAGCAATATCTCAAGCAAAATTATAGCATGTTAATATAACTAATTTCAATTGCTCACTGTTACATGTACTGGTAATAGTCATTTGCGTGTTTTAGCAAATCCCTGGACAAGAAATATAAAAATGGCGGTCATCGAAGTTAATATTGTGCCCCGGTAAACAACGTCGGAATAAAAGAATGTGTCCAAGATGTTCTAAAATTGAAATGGTTATTGGTTGATTTCGGGTATTTCCCTAATAATAGCTGTTGTATACTACCGTATTTATGTGTTTAAGGACAGAGTCAAACTACGACGGCATTGAATAGGCAAGTTGGAGAAAATACGTTATATCACAATTCAAGGAAATTTTAACTATGTTTGTATAAAACACTATTAAAATGCTGTACTCATAAAAATACCAGTTTATTTTCTCAATACGTTAATATCACGGGTTAAATTAAAGAGGTTTACATGTTCTGATACGTAGTATATACGTAAGAATCTCTAGAAAATCGATGAACAAAGCTTCGTCCTATCTTCCGGATTCGTCCTATCTAAGGATTTTTTAAAAATTACGGCTGAAAATGAGCCTTTCGACCTATATACCCCATCGACCTATACCCCCAAAATTACGGTATATATGTATAAATAAGAAATGGCGGTTTTCATTAATAGAATAAAATTAAAATACAATATTTACTAACTCTTCTTTGGCAGCTAACTTAGCAGCATGTTTGGTGTACCATAATGCCACATTAATCGCCATACTTGCAGCTTCAAAAACGGAATCCTGCTGCTCCCTACAAATAAGACGGCATTAGTAACAGCAGATATCACAACAGAGAATATTTTCTGAAATTTGTTCAATTCTGAATGATGCTTTATATTCAAATTATTAAGAATGTATCAGAATTAGAAATGGACTCTAAACTCAGACTTTTATAAAAGCCGTGATGTGTTCAAACATCATTGTAAATTATAATGTATAGAAGACATATATGTGGTAATGCATGTGTCGATTTTACATTGAAATATACTTGTTTCTAAATGGTAGCGGGTGGATACATTCCGATTACATGTTTGACTTGAGTAATTACCTAAATGGTTACATTTTACTTAAATATATTCCTGAAGATGTGTATAAACACACAGGATGGGATATTATTCTGTCTTTTGATAGTGAAAGGCATCCGAGTTTTACTGGCCGCATGTCACCAAGTACAAATGGTTCAGTGTATAAATGGTTTGGAAAGAATGAAAACCCAGGTTACAAGTTGACTTGACACCAAAACCTTAAAGCTGAGGGCAGTAGTGTAAACAATAATTAGATAGTTAACATACTCTTTAAGATCAAATACCTTCTTCACTGGTAAATACTTAATTGCTTGAAATGTTCTATAAATTCGAATTGCATACAATATATAAATATCATATAATTGGTATTTCAATGGTAAAAAAAAAGACCTATATCAAAATTAATATTATACTGTGCATAGGAGAGAAGAGACTGCATAAAAATTATGGTTTTATTTATTTGATTTGGAATGAAACCACAATGATCTTTAATTGAATCCATTTGGGTCAAACAAATGATCAGAACATAAGCACTTGCATTCTTTCTAAATACATGTATCATATAGTTATAAATACTTGACAGCATTTCCTAGTAAGCTGTTAGTCCATCTATATTTTATGGCTCTCCTGAGTTTATTTTCAGATTCATTTTCCTCAAATGGCTGTATCAACCCCAGAAGCAGAGAAAAGTAATCATTGACAGCCTTTTCCACAGTCAGGGTTTCATGGTTAGGATCTGTTAACAGTTCAAGCAGTTTGCCCCTCGTCTGACGCATTTGACTGTTGGTGAAATAAAGCAATAAAAATTTTAAATAAAAAATAATTATTAATTTTGGAGGTTTCAAAATCTATAATTAAAACTTCAAAAGTCTAAATAAATGAAAATTATATTAAAATGCTTTGGCTACAGGAAAGCCTTTGGACTTTCTATTACTGCAAAACAAGTTTGTTACTCAGATAAATTTCATCATTTGTTATTTAAGATATATAGAGGATATTCAATGTTTTGTAGATGAATATGGAATTTATTTCATGAGTGGGACAGAATTTGTTGATATTTTCACGAGTGCGAAGCACGAGTGAAAATATCAAAAAATCCTGTCTCACGAGTGAAATAAATTCCATATTCATCTACAAAACATTGAATTTTCTGTTTATTACATTTTCTTTGATTTTCACTTTGCCTCTGTCTTTTCTTAACACAGAGTTTTAGGCTTGACGTCATAGTTGAGCAGTTGAGACGTCATAGCTTAGAAGTTGTGTGTCAGATTGAAAACATTACATAGCATGGATTTTAGCAACATATTCAGGAAGAAATTTGCAGTTTTAGCTCTATCAAGATGCTTAGTTACTATCTCTATCTTATGACAGGCCAGAAATTATTTTTTACTAACTTTGATATCCTTTCACACTGTTAGAGAATATCATTTTTGGTATCCTTTCACACTGTGAGAGAATATCACTTTTATTCAATAAATAAATCACAGTATTTCACTGTTGAAAATGTAATAAAAACTTTATACTGAACACAATGAAGTGCTTTCTATCAAACAATTAGAACTACCTTTATAAATGACTCATAGTCATGAACAAGAAATTTATCGTAAATATCTTACGCGAATATTTGTCTTGTTTTGTCGTCCGTTGACACGCCTGCTAACTCAAAAGTCAGATTAGCCGTAGCCTTAAGAGGGTTTCTGTGGAACCAGTAAGACATGATTTATAATTAAATCGCTTCACAAATGAAACAAATTCACTTATTTCTGGACTCTTTTCCTCTATCGCTCTTCTATTTTTTATTGCGAAAGCGCCATCTTTGTTTTCCTCTTTCACAAGGTGTATTCCGATCCCGATAAGAAATGATGGACAAACAACGATTGTTTCTACATCAAGCTTGAGCTGTTTTGGGTGCAAGTCTTTATCAGCAATTTTGTGATGAATTCTATGTATTTAAATCTTTCCATTATTTCTAAATTGAAATAATTTCTTTTGATAAAAAAAAACATTTTTTTTTAAATGTCAACACGTCTTCACTTGCACTGTTGCACTCTTGAACAGTTGAAACTAAACATTGTAGCTGTATGCACAAAGTAGTCACAATTCAAGTGTCATGCGTATTCATGTTGTTTGTTGGATGATCATTGCAAGATGCAGTGCAGTTATTTTCCCATTAATATTTTATATTTCCTTTCAGTGAGACCATGAATAATGAAGAGAGCTTGGAGAAGAGAAACTCTAAAAATTCTAGCAGTTTTGACTTTTGTGTACATTTTTATTATGTTTTTGATGCAAGTTCAGCTGCATATACAACAAGGAAATGTTGATTTTCTCAATGAAGACCAGGATCATGTGGTATAAATATTTCATTTTATGGTTAGAAGTACGTGGTATTTACAACGTAGGATGCAATTGCTATACCATATACTGTATAAGTAGAAATTAATTCCATAATTTCGTCATTATCAATCAATAAACTGAATAACTTATATGTCTTAATGTTATTATGTAACATTTAAAATAAATGTAATATTGTGGGAATTGTAAAACCCATGTTCAAATGAGAAAGGTTAATTCACAATTATGCAATTTTGGAGACATTTAAATAAATATATCAAATGTTATGGTTATATATATTATAAAGTTGATAAAATTCATGTCAAAGTTAAGTTTTAATACTCATTCTTAATACTGCATTATTTATGATAGTAATTATCAATTTTCCATTGCAGAACATTTTTATTTTACCCAGACCTTACAATTGTTACAGAGGGCCCATGGTATCATATGATTCACAACAAACAGCTGACTTCCCTCTACAAGCTTCAAATTCAAGGACCACAGAAAATTGTAGCATACCATATAACACTGCTGATGTAGAGGTGTGAATGTTTTATAGTGACAAATAGCGACATTTGAATACTTCTATTGAATAATCAAATGTGGTGGTCTTGGAGGTACTGGGCACGAATTGCCCTGCTACCTCCAACCACGTGGTACACGACACGCACCTGCCGTGACATGTACCTATCCTCGCTCTCTTTTCTGTTATCTGCTGCAGAGTGCAGACGTGTCTCTGTCAGCTCCGTTATTATTGTATTTGTAGTTATTATATAGTATATAGCGGGCACTAATAAATCGCGTATTTTATCATAGTGTTGTCTCTATTCAGCCATCACCGTACTTAGGTAATAAGTAGCATATAGTAGAGAGAAACGCTATACAAATATGAATTATTGACCTAATTGATATCCCTAAATGAATGCTTCTTACGTTGGAAACTCAATTAATATGAAACACAGAACCATTTCTTACACACACATATATAAAATAGGAGTGTTTATTGTGATGTCCCAAAATGTCAAGACTCTGTATTACGATGTAAAATTTCTGTTAAAAAAAATTTACTCTGTGTTTATTCAGTGCTGAACCAGAATGTAATGTGCAACAGTTTATGGAATATAAATAATTTTTTTTCTATTTATGTACAACAGATGGAGGCATTATGGCACACATTGGATGTATCTTACCCCTTGGCTTTGTCTGTCAGTGGTTGGCTTGATGTTATTCGTGTACATATGTGGACCACGAAACGTCTTAAAGTCATCATTATGCCCCACTCCCACCAGGATCCAGGTTAGTCCTAAAATCTAGTGCATTTACACCCATTAATATAATATTTAGTGTATGGACAGATTTACCATGTGAAGAATTTCATTATTTTGTAGAATTTCTGAATTAGTCATGCATATTTTTATGCACCCGTAATGGAAGATTTGGGGCCACATGGTTTTTGGTCTGTCTGTCTGGAAAAACTTTAATCTTGGCCATAACTTTTGAATGGTTGTTGCTATGGCTTTCATATTTTACATTTGTATTCCTTGCAATGAGACCATTTTCCAGATAACTACTATTTTTTACTTCTTGGAGTTTCACATACTTTTAAAAGACTTTAACTTTGCGCACAACTTCTGAACGATTGGTACCAGGGCTTTCATAATTCATGTGTATTTCTTGTGACAAGATTTTTCTTTGGCTGTGAACATTTTTGACCTTTTGACTTTGACCTTGCAATTTGACTTAATTTTGAAAAACTTTAACATTGCCAATAATTTCTGAATGGTTGGTGCTAGGACTTTCATGTTTCATATGTGCATTCCTTGTTACAAGACATATTTTGTGGTATTTACATTTTTGACCTCTTGTCCTTTGAGTTTGACTTAATTACTTTTGAAAAATTTCTTAACCTTGTCCATAATGTCTGAACTGTTGGTGCTATGGTTTTCAAATTTCACACATGTATTCCTTGTGAAAAACCAACATTTTTTACCACATGATCTTGAAGTTTGACCTAATTTTAAAAAAACTTTGACAAAACTTAAACCTTGTCTCTAACTTTTGAATAGTTGGTGCTAGGGTTTTCATATTTTAAATCTTTGTTCCTTTTGACAAGACTTTTTTTTGTGGTACCGTCTTTTTTTGACTTAATTCTTGTTCCTGAAATTTGATCTACTTTTGAAAATCGTAAATTTTGGTCATAACTTGGTTGGTGCTATTTCACATGTGTATTCTTTATGACGAGATTTTTCTTTAGTTACCAGCATTTTTGACCTCTTGACCTTTACCTTGGAATTTGATCCACATTTGAAAAACTTAAACCTTAGCCATGAGCTGCCATTTATGGTCATCAGTGATCCACAAACATATCTTGTTTTTTATTTGCTCAATTAACTCCTTTAATTTTGCGTAATAGAATCCGTAACATTTAAAGTGTAAAAAAAAAAAAGGCAAATTAATATTCAAATATGATTAAAAATTAATTTTAATTATTTTTTTTTTCACACTGCATAAAATTTATGTTCAAAATCTCAAACAAGTGACACTTTCATGTTGGGATAATATTTTAGGCTGGCTGAACACCTTTGACTTCTATTTTGCCTCCAATGCCAACAGGACCCTTAGCATAATAATAGATCAGCTCACAAGAAACAATGAATGGCGATTTGTTTGGTCAGAAGTGTGCTGGTTGGAAAGATGGTGGGAAAGTGCAACTCAAAAACAGAAAGATGACATAAAAAGGTTTTGTAATATACATGTATTTATATTTCTGCAGACAGTTTCCTTAGTAGCTTTTTAAAAACTTCAGCCTTTGGAAGTTGACATATAAACTATGAACTATGTAACAATGTTTTCCTTGTTCCCCACAGGCTGATAATGAACGGTCAGTTTGAGATCCTCTCTGGTGGCTGGGTCATGTCAGATGAAGCGGTGGTCCATTACAGTGCCATGTTAAATCAACTGACTGAAGGTCATCAGTGGCTTCTTACAAACATTGGTAAGACCTCCACTTTACTGTTAAGGCCAAGAGTACTGGATTAGATTACAGAAAAGGATGTTAACTGTAATTTGAAGAGAAACATTATAAAATAATTGTTCACTTTAATCATATTTGTTAAATTTCAATGTTTATAAATGTATCATAAAACATGGTACTAGATATCCTGATCCAGACCTTCTGAGAATGGTTACAATGTACTTTAATATTATAGTATAAAATATAGGACACATGCAATAGTACATTGAGGACATAATCAAAGGTGTTTTGAATCCCATCATAATTGTATGGGGACAGATAAAAATGTAATGAACTTTGATTGGGCATCTGTAAGACATACATGCATCCTTCAAGGGTCAATGCTACATTTTTATGTCCCCCTTTGAAGAAGGGAGGGCATATTGCTTTGCTGCTACCTGTCGGTCAGTCTATCTGTTGGTCCACCAACAGTTTCCATTCATTTTCTTTGCAGAGGTTGCACATACTGAAATGAAATTTGGTATACAGATTTAGCATAAAAATATCTAGGTAAAGTTTTGTTTTGGGTACAATCGAGCAATTTTTGACAGCGTTATGCCCTTTGGACTTAGAAAACTTATTTGCAGTTTCTGTTCATTTTCTTCACAGAGGTTACACATACTGAAATGAAATTTGGTTTACAGATTTATCATAAGAATATCTAGGTCAAGTTCTGTTTTGGGTACGATCGAGCAATTTTTGACAGAGTTATGGCCCTTGGACTTGGAAAAATTCCAATTATTCAGGCAGGTGGTATAAGTGTTTCACAAATATCTCTTGTTTAAATTATTTTTACAAGATTACATATTTCTTATTTATCTTTGTTAGGAACTCTACCAAATATCAGCTGGTCTGTTGATCCATTTGGACATTCTCCAACCATGGCTTATTTACACAGAAGAAGTGGAATCAAAGCAATGGTGATCCAAAGAATTCATTTTGGAATCAAAAGATATTTGGCCAAAAATCAGATGTTAGAATTCCAGTGGACGCAATTATGGGGTAGAGTATTTCATGTAAATAAGGATTCCTTCAGAGCTTCTGAGGCAATAGCAACAGCTTACTATTTAAGAGCCATTCTCTGTAATGACTTGAACTTTTATATAGGAGCTATGGCACGCATAGTCTTAGAATTTCTCTAAACTCTCTATGATAAAAGTCTTTGATACTGTAAACTCAAATCAGGCAAAAACTGGTTGCTACGTGTCATGGTTACCATAGCAACATGTCCTAAAGTTTGAAAAATGGCATTTTTCAACATGTTCAGAGTCCCCCAGTTAACGCTTGCAGCAAAGCACACAACTGACAATGACTGTTTCTAAAAGTTGAAGGCCTGATGTCTTAATTGCATGATAAATATGTTTGGTAAATCAACTATTACATTGGTTACTATGGAAACAAAGTATTCAAAATTAATAATCATTTAATTTTAAAAAGTCATAGACTTAAGAATAAAAACAATTATAGGTTGAAATGCAAGCAAATAATAGACAAAAGATCCTTGTAACATATACCAAGGACGAAATATGATATTTCTTATTGGTTGGCAAGGGTTGCCATGGTTTTAATACCACGAAGGGATTTTAAATTTACTCTCTTAGTGTTTTAATCTTATCTTATATATTTAAAAAGCATATCTCTATATAACTGATTATCAATTTTTAAAGCGTTGGTGTGACCCTAATTTTCACATTTCAAAAAATTCAAATTCAATTCTTTAAGTAGAGCGTTGCTATGGAAATTAGCCAAAAAAATATGCATAAAAATCTGAAAAATATTCTGTTTCCTTGGATACATACCCTTGTATGTAGATTCCCAAAACTTTTATGATTGATATTTATGAACAACTAACCTGACTTTCAATTTTGACTGCCACCCATTCTCTAACTGGATGAAAAAAGCTGGCACATAGGTTTAATATTGATATAAAATTAACAAAATCGAACATTTTCACCTCTTGGTAACCATAGCAACATTGTTGTATTTTTCAACAAACTTTATCAAAATATGATATTCAACTTTAGTTCTACCAGATAAGTACTATTCAAGTTGAGTCAAATAATATGTTTCTTGATTAAAAGGTAAGTAAATTCCTAAGGCAGCAAAAAAATATCACTTTAAAAAACTGGTACGTTGTTTCCATGGTAACACTGCAAAGTAACAATTAATCCCAATTTTTCTTATGTTGTCGGTGTTGCAAGGTCCTAAGAATGTATACTTGCCAGTCACAAATTTTATTGTTTCTCCTCAAGATAGTAGCATTAACCCAATCTTAGCAACAGATTTTGCATGGTTACACTGTGTTACCATGACAACCATGTGAGTTATTTTTAGAATAATATTGCCAGTACCTAATTACTTAAGGTTAAATATTTTTATTGTTTTTCTTACGTTGTTGATTGAGTTTGCTCATGTAACATCTATCATTAGTGAATATTGAGCGTTTTTCAGCATTTTTCATCTAAAATGTATTCCAAATGTACCCATGGTTACCACTTACTTAGAGATAAATTCTAAATAGTTTCTTTATAGCATAAGGGGCAACAAAGTGTCATGGTTTTTTGTTTCTCTAAGTCTTTATTAAGGCTTAATAAAGATTCAAATTAGCTGAAAATCTCAATTGTTCCAACTTTTCTGGCTGTTACCATGGTAACCAAGACACATAGCATTAGCTGAAAATCTCAATTGTTCCAACTTTTCTGGCTGTTACCATGGTAACCAAGACACATAGCAATGGAATTTTAATTGATTTATGTTTCTCGTGTCAAGTTGTAATAATGGGCAAAGTTTCATTAAAAGCAGTGACCATGCGTGGCAAAGAAGTTTAAGTGGTTACAGAGAATCGCTATTAAGATGGGAATGTTATATAAATTTGAAACTGTGGTAGTGTTTTATTTTCCCCTGGTTTGTTAGAAAGTTATGATGGTAACTTAACAAGGTACAAACTTTTATTATTTTCTGCAGATAGAGATTCTTCTACAGATATAATGACCCACGTTTTGCCTTTTCTTTCCTATGCCATTTCTCATTCCTGTGGTCCAGATTCACATGTTTGCTGCAAGTTTGACTTTGGTCAGAAAAAGTGCTTTCAAGGCAGACAGAAAATATCAAGTCTTGAAATTGATGATAGTAATGTTAAGGAAATGTAAGTTTGTTTCTCCTTTGTTGCAAGTTTTTTTCCCTCATTTGATTTGCACTTAATTAATAAAGGAAAAAAAGGTAAAGAAATTGAAAAAGAAGAAAAAATAATGACTGCTCAGAAAAACAACAATTGTATTGAATTAATTTTTTTCTTTCATGTACATGTATATGATGTCTCTATTTTTATGTAAGGGCATGGTTACTATGGGAACAGTTTCAGAAGAAGGCTGAATTATTTCGTGAGAATGTTCTCTTGGTGCCACATGGAGATGATTTTAGATACAGCAACCTGGAAGAATGGGAACAACAGTTTGGAAACCTTCAGAAACTGATGGCGTACATAAATGGCAATTCTGAAATGAATACTCAGGTTGTTCTATAGTACATGTAGTTATATAGAGAGAGTCAAGGTATATAATTGTGAATTATTTTGCATTGCATATTTTCTCCTCATTTTTTCAGATGTTCTCTTTATCTTAAACAAGAATTTGTTATATCAATTCGTCTTTGATGTGATAATATATGTAAATAAATAAAGGTATTCAATAGAAAAAAAGAAATGGTTGAAAATTATAAATTTCAACTGGAGGTTTTATTAAAATTTATTCAATGCTTATTTTATTTTGCACACAAAAGGAATCTTTTTTGATGGGAAATCATCTATATCAAAACAAAGTGGGTTCTTTACTAATCTGTACAGATTTTTGATTATAAGTTTGACCTTATATGATTTCATTTTAGGTTAGATTTGGGACCCTGTCCAATTTTTTTGAGGAGCTTGGAAAGTCACAAACAAGACCCCCACCCTCCTTTATGGGAGATTTTTTCCCCTACTCTGACAGAAGAGATCAATACTGGACAGGCTTTTACACGACCCGGCCTTTTCTGAAATATGCGGCTCGAAGAATTCAAAGCCTTCTGAGGTATATTATCTCATGTCCTCTTATGCTTTGACACACATTTGGCATTTAGATTAACTTTTAAGATTACCATTAATGTAAAATACAGGGAAAAAATCAGATGGAATTCTATATAATTGTACATGTATTTCACAGCTTTATTTGACTTGCCTACTTCATTTTAATCCTGATGGTACATGTATTTATTCTATTAGCAATCACACGATAATGCACTTTTTAATTCAATAATGATACAAGTTTATGCTAAAAGAACTGAAGTCTTAATTTAACAGATCTGTGGAAATCTTGTATGCTGCATTATTGGCAAAGACTAGGAAGGTCTCTGAGCAGTATAAAACTGTGCTAAAACTGCTGCCAGATCTAAGAAGAGGGAGACAAGAGTTAGCTTTATTTCAGCATCATGATGCTATAACAGGAACTTCACGATCATCTGTGACCAGAAATTATAAAAACAGGTGTGTGGTTTACAAAAGAATTTAAAATCTGGAAATTCATTCTATGTGTATAGAATATACAAGTATAAAACATTTTAATTTATTTAAACCCATCTATTCAAAGATGCAATATATATAGATAAACTTCGGTGTCCCGACATCATATGTCCTCAACCTGGGATATGTCCAACATCCATCCGCAGTCCTGGCACTATTTACATGTACTATATAAATGATTTGTAAAATTTTGGATATGTCGATCTTGGTAATGTCAGCTACCCCACTTATCTCATTGTATAGTAGCAGTCACAAGAGCAAAACTTACCTTGTATATGTCCACATTGGGGCAATTTTCTGCTCAACTAAACCTAACTTTTTGGCAGGTGATAGCTCATCATGTATCTTGACATATTCATACCAGTCAAACCTAAGTTTTGACGACACACTGCTTAATTAATTCTGTAGACTTCTTTTTTAAATGAGTTCCAAGCACCTTCGGCCATAGATGAGAGATAAAGTAGGTAATATCATCATGAAATCCACATGACTCTGCGTAAATGTACAGCTTAGTTTTTTCCTTATCTTGGATGCCAATGGTTAGAACTTTATACTGCACATTTCATACCCTGTTCTGACAAAAATACCCGGTTCTGATGGAAAACACGTAGTAAATTTTAAAAAATTTTAATATGGAGAAAGAACGCATTTTATCAATAAAATTTTTTAGTAACTTCTTGGATTTTGTAATAAACAACAAATACACATGTAGAAGAAATGCTGAAAATAAGACAAATTACTAACTATTGGTTTCATGTACCGGGTACGTAATAAACTTGTCTTTGTTTTGCTATGCAGTGAAATTATGGACCCTGAGTCTCAACTCTCATATCTTGACACCCTATATATTTCGACATTTTTCGATAGTCCTGCCGATGTCAAGATACTGAAGTTTACCTGTATTTACATGTACTTATTATAATAATTTAAGGGCCATGATGTATATTTCTCCCAGAATCAAAATTAGAGGTAATACAGGTACATGTATAATGATGAATTAGAGTGCATACCTTTAAGCTCTTTATTTAAGAAAAAGTTTATATTTTTGTTTCGTATTTTATTGTGTATTTTGTTACAGATAAAGGTTGCAGTTTAACCATATAAAACAACAAAAGATAGCATGATGACTTTACTAATTGATTATACTGTAGTAAATATATGATAGTTGTAATGATTTATTTAAAATTTCAACTTTGAATAATCAAGCAAAGTCTTTAGAAAAAAAGATGCACAAAGTACTCAAAAGAAAGATACATGTAATTACATGTGCAAACTATCCCTGTTTCACTGTTGCATACTGTATACAGGGTTATTTTTGCCCTTTGACACTTGCAAATAATTTTGCCCCATTTTAAATTTGCCCAATCACAGTCCTGTTTAAGAAATTATACTGTGTTTTTCAAATTAGCCCTGTTTTAAATTTGCCTGCCTGTGAGTAGGGCAAAAGGGGCGAAAATTTCCCTGTATACAGTATTTCAACTTCCAAGACTTAATTTTGGATATAATGTTTGTTAAGAACTTTTGAGCACATTGAAATGAAATTACTAATTTGTTTTATAACAGGTTGCAGCATGCATTCAACAAATTGAAAACATTATTTGAGAAAGTTACAATATTTTACCTGGATAGCGGTTTTGAGCTGGCACAAAATTTTAATGTGTCAATGGTATACCTCTCTTGGTCACTGGTCTGAAGTGCGACACTCATCATATATACTCAACACTTTTTTTCTATTTTCCATTTTGCAATTTATCTCTTCAGAGCACAATAATATTTTATGTCAGGGTCCAGAAAGTGAGCTAAATTGCACTTTGTATATGTATTGATAACTGATTTAACAAATGAATTAATTTTCCATGAAGAACAATAATGATTATACTTTTTAGGTAGACAGCCCTTATGCTATGTTATAAGTAAAGGGATAACATCTGAAAGAGACATATGGATTCCTAGTATATAGATTTGACTTTAAAAGACCATTAATTTAGCTCACCTGGTCAAGTTTTGGATATCTAGAGGGCATGTCAAAGCTCTCCGTTCTGACTATATATAGATTTTTTTTCCATCTTCGGAAATCAAATTTATATTTTAACCAAACATGGTATAAATTATCTGTGAGTATTGGGAGTTTAAGTTTAACAAAATGAATTTAAGTACCATTCTATCTAAGTAGGATGATATAATTTGGTTATATTTGGAAAGAGCACAAATGAAATTTAATTCAAAAGTTTATAATTAGTATACAGTGTACCAGCAATAACAGAGCTGGCTTACATAATTACTGTTATTGGTAATAGATGTTCAAGGCTATTCATAACTATGTTAGTTTTATCCCAGTAAAAAAGCTGAGAGCACATCACAAATCTAAGCTAAAGAAGGATTAAATTACTGGTATGTTAAAAACATGTAATCTAAGAGATTGTGCTGAACTTTAACAATTGAAGTAAGGGGGGGGGGGGGGGGGTTAACAGTCAAAAAGAAAACTACATGTATAACACTTGTAGCTGAAAAGTTCCAGAAAGAAGCAAAAATCTAAAAATACACCATTTGGCAAACTATTACAGTATATGTGTAATATCACAGAAAAAAAAGTCTTGCTCAGGGTTAAAAGCAAATAACTGAGATTCCCAAGGAATCAGTACAAATGAAGAAAAAGAACTGCACTGTCATTAAAAAAATGACCTCTATACATCATTTAAGATATACATACATGTATGTACATGTACTTTGAAAAAATTTGGACAAGGAAAAAACTTTCCAATGTCCCTTATACTGCAGAGGTAAATTGCTACAAAATATTGTAATGTATATAATTTTTCAATTTTAAAATTCAATCCTTCATGTTTTTTTTCTAATTATGGCTTTTGTGAGGGGAATTTTTCACTATTATGAATGGGATTCTTCACTATTAACAATAATTATTTGCTTTTTTAAAAAATCTATTCTGATAAATTCAGAAAACGATATTTTTTTAAAAGTGAAGTGAGTGACTCAGTGGTGACTTATTGCTATGCTGTCACAGGCACTTGTTTCTGTAATAAATTTTTGAACCCATAGTATAATAATAACTCAAGGTATCTAATTCCGAATTACATGGAGTACCCCCTCCCTTGAATCACATTCATTCACACTTATGGAGAAAATGCACTGACAAACTATTGTGTTCAAATTACAGAAACAAGTGCCTGTGTATGCTGTGTATCTGCTGATATTTGAAAACTTTTGAACATTTGTAGGATCTCTGCAATTGCTGAACTAACTTCTGGTATGGAGCATTTGTGGATGAAGGGATAATACAGATTTTTAAATTCCATGGTCCAAGCCCCAATGAAAAAAATTGTTACACCTCTTAATCTTTTTTTTTTTCATGGATATCTTTGCATTGATTGCAATTTACATGCATTATGAACAGTTACTCTCAACCAAACTTGTGTTCATAATTCAGGTCCCAGATGGATGGAGCTACATTAATTAAATACATGTATTGGATATTTAGCAAGCTAATTGTTTGCATAATTTTAATAAAGCCTTTACTTTTACCAAAATCTTGAAATTTATGTCCCCTTTGTCAAGACCTCAAGCCCAAGGGTGGGGTAAGTTGGTCCTATTTTGAAAATACATCACACCATTGACAATTTTTTTTCTCATGGATGTGTATAGAAATTCAGGTCAAATGATCCAGGCATGTTAGTCTATGCAGGACTGAGTTGGTCATATTCTGAGATTCCCATGTGCCTGTCAAGGTCCATTGTCCTTGTTGTTTTTTAATTTATTCAGTTATTCATTTTTAGCTCTTCTGAGCCAAAGGCTCAAAGAGCTAATGCTATGGCCATTTGTGCGGTGTGCGGTGTGCGTAAACTTTTTAGAATATGGGCCATAACTCAAGAACCCCTTGGCCAATTATTGTCAAATTTGTCACAGGGTATCCTTGGCCCAAGGGCTCCCTTTTATACTAAAACTGGGGTTGTGACCCTTTAACAAGGGGAGATAATTAGGAAAATAGAAACAAAAGTACTGGTTGCTAAAAAATCTTCTTCTCAAGAACCACTGGGCAGATTATCACCAAACTTACACAAAAGGATGAGGATATGTTGTAGATTAAAATTTGCACGGGGATTTACCCTGGGGCAAAGGGCGTGGTCTCAAGGTCACTTCAAAGTTGACCAAAAATTACATTTTATTAAAATGTTGATATTTTGCTTACTATAAGGACTAGGACCATCAAATCTTGTCAGTTGGTGCATCTAAGGACCTCATATCATGTTGACTCAAAAGTAGGTCACGGTGACCTACTTTTTAAATTTTGCGGCCATTCTTTTTCAAAATGATTTAGAGGCATATTTTGAACAATTTAAGGCCTATGATCATCAAACTTTGTCAGTTGATGCATCTTGGGTCCTCAAAGTACGTCAACTAAAAAGTAGGTCACCTTGACCTACTTTTTGAATTTTTTGGCTAATCTTTTTTAAAACAATTAAGGTCATTAATTCGAATACGGGGAGGCTTAGAATCATTAAATCTTGTAAGATGATGCATCTTGGGGCCATAAAACATATTTATTAAAAAGTAGGTCACAGTGACCTACTTTTTGAACTTTGCAGGCATTCGATTTCAAAGCGTTTTAGAGGCATAATTTGGACATTTTAAGTCCTATGATCATAAAACTTTGTAAGTTGATGCATCTTGGGTCCTCAAAAAAGGTCAACTGAAAAGTAGGTCACCGTGACCTACTTTTCAATTTATATGACTATAATTAAATATTTCAGGTACTAATTGGCTTAGAATCATAAAACTTTGTCAGTTGATGCATCTTGGGTCTTCGGAGTAGGTCGACTAAAAAGTAGGTCACAGTGACCTACTTTTGAAAATTCATGGCGTTAATTAAATATTTCGGGTACTAATTGGCTTAGTATCATCAAACTTTGTCAGTTGATGCCTCTTGGGTCTTCAGAGTAGGTCGACTAAAAAGTAGATCACCGTGACCTACTTTTGAAAATTTATGGCTTTAATTAAAAATTTCGGGTACTAATTGGCTTAGAATCATCAAACTTTGTCAGTTGATGCCTCATGGGTTTTTGGAGTAGGTCGACTAAAAAGTAGGTCACCATGACATACTTTCGGAAAATTTATGGCTTTAATAAAATATTTTGGGTACTAATTGGCTTAGAATCATAAAACTTTGTCAGTTTAAGCGTCATGGGTCCTCGGAGTACAACAACTGAAAAGTAGGTCACGGTGACCTACTTATGAAAATTTATGGCTTTAGTCAAATATTTCGGGTACTAATTGGCTTAGAATCTTTAATCTTTGTCAGTTGATGCGTCTTGGGTCCTCGGAGTACAACAACTGAAAAGTAGGTCACCGTGACCTACTTTTGAAATTTTATGGCTGTATTTAATATTTTCAGGAATTATTTGGCTTAGAGTCGTCAAAATTTGTCAGTTGATGCATCTTTGGTCCTCGGAGTAGGTTGACTGAAAAGTAGGTCACCGTGACCTACTTTTGAAAATTTATGGCTGTAATTAAATATTTTGGGTACTTATTGGCTAGAATCATCAAACTTTGTCAGTCGATGTATCTTTGGTCCTCGGAGTACAGCAACTGAAAAGTAGGTCACGGTGACCTACTTTTGAAAATTTATGGCTTTAATTAAATATTACAGGTACTAATTGGCTTAGAATCATCAAACTTTTGCATCTTGGGTCCTTGGAGTAAAACAATTGAAAAGTAGGTCACTTTGACCTACTTATAAAATTTTATGGTTATAATTTTAAAAAATATTTTAGGTATTAATTGTCTTAGAATCATCAAACTTAGTTGATGGGTCTTCAGAGAATGACAAGTGATAAGTAGGTCACCATGACCAACTCTCAGGTACTAATTGGCTTAGAATCATTTTGGGTTCTCAGAGTGTGAATTGGAATTTCAAGGGTTTATCTAAATATACAGGATACTTCGAGGCTTCAAATAGAAGTGATAGGTTGTACAGTTTATCAGAAGAGCGATTCAAGGCCCAAGGGCCTCTTGTTTTTTTCTTTGAAGATATTGGTTCAAAAACTTTAATAAGAAAAATAGAGCACTAACGGAATTATTCACAATATTTGGTAAACCCAGCATGTTGCTCTTATTCTATTATAAATGAATACTGTACTTCACAAATCAAATCCTAAGGTAGATATAGATTACCACACAGCTAGGATAATGGTATGAATTAAGGTACACAGGTATTGACACCTTCATTACAGATATCTAGCACATTGGCACTAGCTTGCATTTTTTTGTTTTTATTTTTTTGTTCAATATTCCAATATCTCCATAAAAATTGTGATTGTCATATGATTCAATATCAGGACAAATCCCAACTTACGTCTTAATTAACTTGTGGTTTTATCAGTGGTCAATTTTAGTTCTTCAAAATCTTTGATTCTTAGGTTTGTTGGATTGGTGACTTGGCATTCATTGGTATTTTGTGTGAAATGTATTAACCATGCTATTAGATTTAATAAATATTGTCTGTTTCTAAAATTCTAACAGTGTATATACAGGAAACACAATAACTGGCATATGTTAACAGATTAAACCTAGTAGACTTAAAGACAACCAGTATACAGTTTAAAGAGAAAATTAAATACCCTAGGTCCAACAATTATATATGCATGTAAACAAGATTTGTTTAAAATACATGAAAATGCCTGAGCAGAAGAGTTTTTATGCATTCATTTGGTTCTGTAAATAATTTTTCCCAAAATGGTTATGTATCTCAACTCATCAAAACCAGCTGGTAAATACATAGATCGATCACCGAAAAATATTAAGAACAGAAAAGTAATTGCAAAAAAAAAAGAAATCTTTTAAAAGTTCAAAATTATTGTTAAAAGAATTTTGCCTTAGACAAAGACAAATGATTCATAAATTTTATTTGATATTTTTGAATTAAAATTTGTATTGTAGATTGATGATTGGGACTCCATTATGACAAGCAAATCACGACAAAAAATCATCTGCTTGTCAGAAAAAAGGTAATTATTTTTAATAATGTTTCTTGGACATGATTTTTTCTTTTTTATCAAACAGTAAATCTCATAAGTTTAATTAGTATATGATAATATAAATCAGACAACAGAATATCTTTTAGAATACAATTAGGACCAATTAACCAGGTAAAAATTGGTAAACCTCTATTTTTTTTAATTTTATTTGACAAAAACCACATGTGGCCCAAGTCATACATACAGTTAACAAATAAATATATAGTCACACATTAATGTGCAGATTATTCAATTTGTGTCTCACTTCACTTGAGATGAAAAAATGCCGATATAGATTTACCCTATATTATATTCTGTGTAATTTTCTTATGAAATCCATTGGAAATCTTCAACATTCAATTCCCTATAACACACACAAAACCTTGTCACAGCGAATACACAATAGGTAATACATGTAAATACACTAGGATAACACCATATTGTACATTGTTTTGGCCCAATTTAATTAAAAACAACAACCTTTAATTATTAAATTGTTTTAAAAATATAACAATTGTAGTTTAAAGTCAATTTGTCATTTTTTCCCTCACAATATTCATTTAAATGCATTATTTAACTTTCCATGTCAAAATGGCTCTTACATCAATTGACCACACCTGTTCTGAAGGCGCTAAATTTATAATCAAGATGAATGAAATTAACTTTTTTGAAGAGAAAAAATTAAAGACTGTAATTATTAGCATTGAATTCTTATTTTGGCTAATGCACGGTATTCAATTTGTCAGCAGGGCCAGGTGCTGTCATACAGACAGTGTTGTCCAAAAATAACAATTATTCAATGTTTAATAATTTAAAATGAACATCTTTTTAAAGTAATATTCAAATATCTAAAATTAAAACCTCACTACAACTTTAAAATTAAACATTAGGTTAGACTTATATTTTAAAAATCATGATTATAATAAGTTTAACATTAATGGAAAAATACTACTCACCAGATAAGAATTTAACCCCCCCCCCCTTTCCATGCAATCTCCAGACAAATTCTCTGTGAGCTGGGCTGTCTGGTGGTCAAAGCTAAACAACACACAAGTACATGTATCAATGATCAGAGAGTAAAGAGTATAAGTAGAGAATTAATAGACAAAAAGATGTCCTGTAGAAAAAAAATTTCCACAAAGAGCAAGGTTCATTTAGGGCATTTTTTGGCCCTGTGAATTTTTGAAAAAGTGAAACTGCTTAGCCTTAGTTGACAATGCATTAAAAGTCATTTAGACCCTTGGAGACTCCTGATCTATCAAAAATGACATAATTCTCTGGCTAATCAATGCATTGTTAGTTCATAAATTGTGTCATTTTCCCCATATCCTGAAAATCTGATGTATGAAATATGACAAAAAGTGTTTGTCAATTAATTGGTATACTAGTATCTACAGGGTCATTTTTATGCATAAAGTGAACATAGTTCTTTGTATAAGTTTTTAAAAGAGACCGTCAGAAGTTCATGAAGATTTGTCTTTTTTTACAGAGAAATAGTAATCTACAACCCTCTAGGACACAGAAGAAAGGAGCTCATATCACTGACTGTGGATAGAGGTCATGTCAAGGTCACCAATAGCTCAACATCCCTGGGGATTCCCCACCAGATCTCACCAGTCTGGGTGAATGGAAGCTTCACGACAGATTTTTATGAAGTGAGATGTTTTATTGTGTTCAGGCCTTAGTTCAGGGTAAAGATTCTAACTAAGGAAGAAATTATTTTAAAGGCCCCTGTTTACACACAGATATATGTATAACTAATGTATTTTAGTTTCAGTTATTATACAATGTTGATACAAAATTTCTGAACATTCCTAGTTGTCATTTGAAGTCATCCTGCCAGCACTATCCATTTCCTTTATAACTATACAACAAGGGGAGGAAAATCTGAATGATCAGACCAGACTAGTTCTTTTAAAAGAACCAAAAAACTTTTCCTTAGGTTCAAGGTATGATTTTACTAAGCACTGGCAGTAGTTTTGTAGGTTTGTATTCAATATATCACATTAATATCTTTTTCGATGTTTCATTGATTTGGCATTTCCACATTTAAAGGTTACCAGGAATTGCTGTAGAAGTGGACAAATCTCCATATATCACCATCAGCAATACTTATCTGACAGCCTACTTCTACACATGCAATGGGAGATTACAGGTTTTTCTTTTTTACTAAAAGGAACTTTTATTGAAGAACTTTTATTAAATAACACTGATCAATATTGAAAACATTAGAAAAGGCAGCTCTTAGCAGAGAATGTATAGCCTTGTCTTTATTTTAAAAAATACTGTTAGATTCATAAACATATTGTTAACTCTAAATTCCTGGACAAGTGGTTGTGTTGGATTCTGGATGTTTGTATTTTACATCAGATTGAAGAAAGAATGTTATTCAAAAGACTGTTGTCACAAATACAGTACAGAAAAACTCAGTTATAGCTAAGTTCTGGGGACCTGTGAATTTACTTCGCTATATCCGTAATTCATTATATCTATATAATGAATCCCTTAAGTATACACAGCAAATTTGCAATGTACATGTAGTTTTTTTATTCAAGTATGACTACCAAATGTATCTAGAGAAGTTTAAAACACAAAACTTACCTTGGAGTTCAAAAGTTTTCAGAGGAATTGAGTTTCAAATATAAATACTTACAAAATTAATGTCAGTTCAATATTTTAAATATTTAGATCTTTGAAAATTTGCTATAAAAGATATAAATTTCATTATTTTTAACTTCTAACAGACATAAAAGCAATTCGGTATGACTGTAAATTTTATTTTATCTGTAAAATGTTACAGGGAATTGTTAAGAATTTTGCTGGAGATTGAAAAATAGTTCACTATACCCATAAATTCATTATATCTTTGTTTCTACTAAACAAGTTTTAATTGCATTTGTTGTGAGAGCAAAGGTACACATATTACAGCTCCCAGCAAATAAACATTTAATCAGCAAAAATATTCTGATTTCAACCTATAAGTTGAGAATTTCCTAAGAATTATTCTCTAATAATTTCAGTATATAAAGCAGAATTCTACTGGATTTCTCTGGAGGTCAGAGGTCAAGTTTGTAACCTATACTTCAGGAAAGGCATGGTCTACACTGCTCAAGGACAAAGGAGGAGCATACACTTTTGTCCCTGATGGACCAGCAGAGGTAAGTTTACACTTTAATCCCTGAGGGACTTTACACTTTTATCCCTGATGGACATGCAGAGGAAAGATATCACCTTTTTTTCCTGATTGGAAAGCAGAAGTAAGTTTACACTTGTCCCTCCCTGATGGACCCACAGACATATGTTTACACTTTTGTCGCTGATGGACAAGCAGACATAAGTTTACACTTTTGTCCCTGATGGACCCACAGACATATGTTTACACTTTTGTCCCTGATGGACAAGCAGACATAAGTTTACACTTTTGTCCCTGGTGGACTAGCAGACATAAGTTTACATTTTTGTCCCTGATGGACAAGCAGATGTAAGTTTACACTTTTGTCCCTGATGGACTAGCAGACATAAGTTTAACTTTTGTCCCTGATGGACCAGGAGACATAAGCTTACACTTGTCCCTGATGGACCTGGAGACATAAGTTTACACTTGTCCCTGATGGACCAGCAGACACAAGTTTACACTTTTGTCCCTGATGGACCAGGAGACATAAGTTTACACTTTTGTCCCTGATGGACCAGGAGACATAAGTTTACACTTGTCCCTGATGGACCAGGAGACATAAGTTTACACTTTTGTCCCTGATGGACCAGCAGACATATGTTTATACTTTTGTCCCTGATGGACCAGGAGACATAAGTTTACACTTTTGTCCCTGATGGACCAGCAGACACATGTTTACACTTTTGTCCCTGATGGACCCTCAGACATATGTTTACAATTTTGTCCCTGATGGACCCACAAAAATATGTTTACACTTTTGTCCCTGATGGACCAGCAGACATAAGTGTACACTTTTGTCCCTAATGGACTAGCAGACATAAGTTTACACTTCTGTCCCTGATGGACCAGCAGGCATAAGTTTACACTTTTTCCCTGATGGACCAGCAGACATAAGTTTACACTTTTGTCCCTGAAGGACCAGGAGACATATGTTTACACTTTTGTCCCTGATGGACCAGCAGGAGTAAATATACTCTTTAGAAAATGCATTATTCTTTGAAAGTCTTCTTCTCTGCTCCTTGGCATCTAGGAGACAAGCAGAGTACAAAGTTGTACTAAGACAGGGTATTTTTACAGGATTTTTGAAATTGTGTACCTTTTGGTCAAGTTTTCTGGTGCTAGACAGGCCTCTGTTAATTTGTAGTCTACTAAGAGAAGTTATTTCCCTTTGCTATTCACCTATGATAATTAATCACCGTAACTAATGTAGTTGAAATGTCAAATTAATAAGATAATTATGCAAAAAATTTATATGATACAAAAAGTGCTTACATAGTTTTTATTGGTCAAGTAGAGTTGTAAATAATAGATTAAGAGTCAAAAATGCCCAATATGACCAATATTTGTACATTAGGCTATCTTTAAAATAATGTTTGTTTGCCCTATCCCGACTTAGGGTATATAGGGTTGGTAGGGTTGGAGTCAGAGTTGGTAGGTAGGTGAGCAAATTTTTTTTCCTAGGAAATTTCAACATACATATTGACAAGACAGTCTTCGCCAAATTTTTTTTTCAGTACATGCCCTTCAGGCAGGTTTAACCACTTACTATGCTAGCCTGAACATAATTATATATTTATATGCCTAGAATTTCATCAAGTAATTTTATTCTTATTTGCCTTTTTGTGCTAAGGAAATAATCCGAAATCCATTTGTATAGATCTATTTTCTCACCATTAATATTGTTTTCAACCTGTACACTTTTTGTGTCTCCTTTGCAAAAGAGTTCCATGGAAATCGCGGTAGAATAAACTATCGTTAAAATTTTATTTGGTGCTCCAATTTAGATGAAAAATCAGACTTTTAAGTACATTTAATGTGATTGGTATTATTTAATATGATAATACGGAGGCTTAGGCCTCAGACTTTACATGCCCTTCGGGCTTGTAAGTATGCAATTTCCACATGCCCACTTCAAATTTTACCAGGTCCCTGGCTTTGGACTCCCAGGATTTGTCGAAGACTGACAAGATGAGAAAATCAAGGAATAAAAGGGAAAAAAAATTATCGTTTCCTGGTTAAAAAAAAAGTTTTGAGTTGGGCCATTTTTTGACAGTCAGTCGGGAGAGGGCAAACAAACAATTTTTTAAAGATGGCCTTAAATGACATTTAAAGAACAAGAGAGGCCATTGCGAGAGGGAATGAGGTTTATTTTCTAATAGTGCTCAAGCACTATTGTTTTGTTTAGTCAGAATGGTGATAGTGACAGATAGTGACAAATGGGGCAAGTACAGGCAAGTGAGAAAATCAATTTTTTAAAGATTTGTTATTGAGTACTAGACCATTTATTTTGTTGATCTCTGATCATTATATTTCTCTCGCTTTTGGGCAATGTAGCTTCATTTATCAGGTTTTTTTTTGTTTTATTTTAATATACATGTACATGTACTTCTATGAATCCATTATACTCATTTGATCATTAAGACCCCAAGGCCTCTTGTTTATCTCTTATAGACCAACAATTACAAGGTCAATATCAAGGCTTAATATGACTGTATTTAATATTGTAAACAGAATCTTTCACAGAATCAAGTATTTTCAGTTTACTATGTATTTGTAGACATTCTCTGAACCATTAGAGGCTTTATTTCTCATTGATGGACCATTGTTTTCAAGAGTTGTTACTGTTCAGGCCAGTGTGATCCAAAGTTTTACGGTCCATAAAACTTCTGGTAATAAACAATCAAGGATTTTATAATGTTTATCAATCATTCCACTACTTCATCCTGTTATAATTGTAATATTATAAAATCTATTTCTATATGTAATTATTTGTTTTTTAGTTATTTTTCATATCGTTTTGAGAAATATAATCTTAAAATTTGATTAACCAAACGTTTATTAATAATTACACTTCATCCTGTCAATATTTAAGAACAACATTTTTCTTGCATACCCGTATTTTCAATTTTTTAAAATCAAATAAAAGGATGGTGTTCAATTTTCATTTTTTTTTTTGAGATAAAACAGTTTTTTTTATATGGCAAGTTTTCACAAAACTGCCTCTTTGGACTTTTTAAATAGGATTGATGAAAAGAGGGGTTTACATAGAGAACTATGCAAACATTCAAAGCCTTGACAACACAGAGCTGATGATGCGAGTAGAATCCGATATAGAAGGATCGAAAAGTGAACTGTGCGTGGACCTAAATGGTTTCCAGGTAAAACAATTGTGTATATTTAAAAAAATCAGTTTTTCTCTGTTCAGGATCTTCTTCTCACAGATTTTACAGATTGACATTTATATTTGTCTTTACAGATGCACAGAAAGGAGACATTAACAAAGAGAGGTATACAGGGGAACTTTTACCCCATGACAACCATGGCTTCTGTTGAAAATGAAAGCAGCAAATTAACTCTACTTACGACATCCTCTAGAGGAGTGGCAAGTCTTTCACCAGGTTTGTTTAAAAACAATTGAAATACCATGATTCTTATGTTACATGGAATGTTCTGTCCGTAGTTGCTATTAGCTTGGTTCTGGAGCTCATCCACGCCAAGGCAGTAGAGCCAGGTAGAGTTCAATCCCATGCTGTCATATGATTGATCAGCAATATTCATGCAAAATCATAGATTATTTTAGGTAGATACTACTTCATTATGAACATAGATTCAGGGCAAAATCACCCAGAGTCGATTGTAGTCTATCTGGTCCTAGTGCCACGGAGAAAGTGAAGCAGAACAGGGACAGGGAACCAGGCTATAGTTGCTATCTTAGTTAAATGTACATGTACAATGTTTACTAAAAATCATTATCTCTTTATTATTTTTGGATTTCACTTATAATTTTTTCAGAAGCTGAAAGGCTTAGAATCCAATAGTCTGTACATGTACAGGTATATTGGCTCTCTTACCCTGTCAGCTTCATAGGCACTGGGCATAGTACAGCCAACAGGGGTTAAGTGCAGATTCAAAATTATTATTAGTCCGAAATATCTGATGTTTTTCAGGCATTTTTCATGATTTTGATATTTGACGTGTCAGGAAAACATAAGAACCGGTGCCATTATGAAAAGAGGAAATTTCACCACTCCCAACTGAACTCGATTTTCAATCCTTGCAAATCAAATTTAATTTCAAATTCATAACTTATCAGTAGTACAATGCTTCTAGTTCTCACCAATATCACTTAAAAGAAGATATCACTCCATATTTCTATGCAGATCTCACAAGATTTCAAAATGCATGAAATCAAAACAAAGTTAAACAGTTTGATAAAATGTTTTCACCTGACACTTTATACTGAAAAGAAACAATAAAAGGAGCAATAAAAGCAACAATAAAAGGAGCAATAAAAGCAATATAGGTAAGTACTAGAAGCATTGTACTGTTGATTAGATGTGAGCTGGAATTTAATTCGGTTTGCATTTGTCGAAAATTGACCCGAGATTGGAGGTGGCGAATTTCCACTTTTCACAATGGCGCCAGTTCTGATGTTTTCCTGGCACATCAAAATTTCAAAATCATGAAAAACACCTGAAAAATTTCAGATATTTCAGACTGAATTATTTTGTGTTAGATCTTGTTTTGTGACATGTTCCAAAGTTGGTTATCTGGTAATCAATTTGCCTGTTTTCAAATGTATTTAATATTTAGATTAGAGGAAAAGTAAAATACTTGAATGTAAGCAATTTTGAAGACATTTCACAAGCAGAACAATTAAAATTGGACAACTGCACATGAATTAAAACAAGCTAATTCAGAGAATTTGTGTCCCCCGCTTAGGGAAAAAAGAACATGCACAGTTGGAGGGGGGGTTCCACACTGCCCCCTGTATTTGTAGAATTATTAAATGTATACATGTATATTGAAGCAAATTAAAAAAAAAAGCCAATATGGATTTAAAGATTTGATTGCTTATTCTTTAATATGTGTATAGAAGATTCTTTTCATATAAAATATTTATCACACTGTAATAATGATTTTTTATGAGTTTGTACAAGCCAGACATCATAACTTTTTCTTTATATCCATATTTTCTTTATATCCATATTGGCATTTTTTATTTGCTTCAATATACATGTATACATTTAATAATTCTACAAATCCAGGGAAGGGGGGGGGGGAGTCCCCCCCCCCCCCAACTGTGCATGCTCTTCTTTTTTACCTAAGTGGGGGACACAAATTCTCTGAATTAGCTTGTTTTCTGTTATAATTATTCTTTCCAGGAATATTGAATTTTTTACTGGCCCATTCATAATGTAATACAGTTTTTAATAACAATACATATAATTTGTCCACCATGCAGTATTACTTATTAATAAGTCATTATGAACAAATTTGACCACCAGTCATCTTTCTAAATGTTACAGGCTGGCTAGAGGTGGGATTAGATCGTAGAATGCTACAGGACGACTGGCGAGGACTTGGCGAGGGAGTTACAGACAATGTTCTCACCAGGAGCTCATTTATGCTGATATTTGAAAGAAAGTCATCAAACAAGGTGAAGTCATGTGCATGTCATATACACAGTGTTTGCATAGAACCATACATGATACAAGTAGGGATAATTATCTTTGATAGAAAATTACTATAGTATGATTTTATTCTAGCATTTTGGAAGAGAACTTTCAATACAAGCCAATTATAAGTGTAAAATGTACTTGATAAAGAGGTTAAAAGATTGTAGATTGTGCAACAATAATTTCCTATTTTTTTTTTATTGATTGTAGATATCTACAGCTTGTTTTCCATCATCTGTGGTCAGCCAGCTTTCTGATGAACTAGAGAACCCCAGTATTGTAGCACAAACAAATTCTGTCTTCCATGTCCATCCACAACCACGCGTCTCATTGATCAAACAACCACACGTCTCATTGATCAAACAACCACATGTCTCATTGATCAAACAGAGTCTTCCTTGTAACGTTCATCTGATCAACTTCAGATACACAACCTCAAATACAGATGATGAGAAAGAAATAACCCATTCCACAAAAGCTTCGTACTTGCTAGTGGTGCATAAAAGGCAGTTTGATTGCAACACAGCATCAGATAGCAATATTTGTACAAATCCTGAGGTTTTTAGTTCATGGGATATATTTCTGGATTGCTCAATCAAAAAAGCATGGGAGACAACTCTCACAGGAACTGTGATATTACAAGAAATAATGGAATACCAGGAAGTCTCTTTTAATCCAATGGAAATTAAAACTTTTAAGGTGCTCTGTCATTAATGTTTGATTTCATTTGCTTTTTATACATGTTTAAATGCACATGTGTAGTTACCATTGATTTTTTAAGTCACTTTTATACAAATTATGCTAAAATGGGGGAAAGGTGAACTTCATTTTTGGATTTTGATCAAATTGAAAATTATGACTAAATGTCATGTGTATTGCTGTGCAAAGTAAAACTATACATAAAGGCCCTTTAAAACACTTATCATATATTGTTCTATGTGATCACTGTGTTAAGAGTTCATGGAGGGAAAAAGTGTTTTTAATCATTATGAGCAGTTAAACCCCTCAAAAATATGAGACTGGTCCAAGCCTGTTGGTCATATGAAACAGAGGAAAAACTGAGAGATATTTGAGAATTAGCAATATCAAGGCTAAAATAGATAAGGAAAAGGTGATTGGAACTGCCTTTTATCTTCACTGTTTCCATGGTATTCAAGATATCAAAGTTTGAGAGACAAGTTCAACTGTAATTTGGTATTTTTTTTTACTTATGGATATTTACCATTAGCAGGGAGACTGTTTGCAAGATTATAACAAGCAGTAAGCCCTCTAGCAAGATTTTTAAATTCATGTTCCCTGGGTCCAGAATTAAGGCACTAGGATGGGCCTCAGTTTGTCATACATGTGTACTGAAAATTTACTATACAGTATACCTTTGAAAATCTTATTTATTCTTGGACATTTAGCAAGCAAACTTTATGCAGGGTAGCAATAAATGATTTGCCTTTTACCAAATCTGGAAGAACTAAAGCCCCAGAGTAGGGCTTTAATAGTTGATCATATTTTTTATATTTTTTTAAAAAAAAAAAACTTTCCTACTTTCAGCTAGAAACAAACTTAACAAAAATTGGTAGTGAATCCTCACCAAATTCTTTAAATTATATCATACAAGTCCAGCATTCCAGTTCAAGGTGGGGTATCCTATAGTAGATGGTCATGTTAAGAGAACTCTTGATACCTATGTGACCTTCAAGGCTCCAGGGCCTCTTGTATTCTATGAATCCTCAAATTAAAAGATCATTCAACTTCTTAAAGATTTTAGCTATGTAACTGTCTCTAAGCAACACAATTTTATACCAATTTGTTTATCAAATCATTTCATAAATGAAGATCAAGAGACAGCTGGTGTAAATGAAATGAATAAAAAAAAGGAAGGTACATCAAGGGTCCTATTTGGATCAGTGAAATTCTAAAACATTGATACTAGTAAATTTCGTAGACTATACATTAAAAATCAATTGGACAAATGGGTACAACATGCATGTATCTTAAATAAATATGATGTAATTTTCTAGTTAGCTGGTGTATTATAACATATAAATTACATCTGCGACAGATCAGGTTTATTTGTGTTTTCTAAATTATTTTAATCTGGATTTAAATTAATCATCTTATATATGGAACACCCACTTATATCTTTTGCCAATGAATTCTATGACAGTTCTTTTTGTCCTTATTTCTAAGTTATGCAATATTAAGTTTACAAACTGAAGAGGGAGACAGCTGGCTTTGCTTGTTACACTCTCTCCATACTAGAATATCCCCTTTGTCTGTTTTGTCCTTCAGTTACTTAAACTATATGTGTGGGGGTAATTAGGTTTCATGTATTATTAATATAATACTGGTAATAAATTTGTAAAGTCTTGATAATTTTATTTTCATATCTAAATTTATAAAGATTTACAGGTATAATTTAATGTTATAGAGGTCTTATTCAGAAAGTTGTCTCAAAACAAAAATAAACACTATGCCAGTCTAGGAAGTACTGGCCCCAGGATCATGAAACAGACTTAAGACTTAAGTCAAATTTTCAATGGCCTGTAAAATGTTTATTAATTATTAAATTAATCTCTAAATTTGAAGATAAAAACACTTTTGTAAAGCAATATTGAAAAATATTTGAATTTTGGTCTGCTAAACTTCTACAACATTTTAGTACAACATGAAGATTTTGACTTAAGCTTAAGATGCTTCATGATCCCGGGGGCTGGACCTACTATGCATCAGTATTCTCATTTATGAATGTTCTTTCTAAAATGACCAATATTTCAAGCAGTACAACCTCCAACCAAATAACAAGTATATATTGATAGAACTGTACCTAAATTGTGTTTTAAATGTTTTATTTTATTTATTTATTATCAACAGCTATGCTGATTTTTCATTCTTAAAGTTTGTTGAATGTACTCAAATTTTCTGTAAAATTCAAGAACTTTGCATTTTTACAAAGACTCTTCTCCAATATGTAGACTACATAGGATTTTTAGCTCACCTCAATGAAGTTAGGGGAGCTAATGTAATACCCTCGGTGTCGGCGTTTTTGGAGCAGTTTTCTTTTCAAGTACTTCTGTGCTCTATATTAATCAGAGATGCATGAGGGATGCTTCTAGTATGTTTCATTGTACCAGTCAAGGTTTCAGATGCTGCAATTTCAGCTAAAAGATAACCAGGTTAATGTTTTTTGAGCAGGTTAAAGTTCTAAGAGCAGGTTAAAGTTTTTGGAGCAGGTCTCATTTCAAAGTAACTATAGGCCCTATATTGACCAAACTTACATGGATGATACATCTAAGGATGCACACTACCATGCTTGCTTTTGATGCTGGATCTGACCTACATTTTCCAGATGAGTGACCAGGTTAAAGTTTTGGGAGCAGGTCTCATAAGCCCTATATTGACCAAACTTGCATGGATGATACATCTAAGAATGCACACTACTGGACTTGCTTCAGATGCTGGATCTGACCTACTTTTTCCGGATGAGTGACCAGGTTAAAGTTTTTGGAGCAGGTCTCATTTCCAATTAACTATAAGTCCTATTTTGACCAAACTTGCATTGATGATACATCTAAGGATGCACACAACTGGACTTGCTTCAGATGCTGGATCTGACCTACATTTTCTGGATGAATGACCAGGTTAAAGGTTTTGGAGCAGGTCTCATTTCCAAGTAACTATAAGTCTTATGTTGACCAAACTTGCATGGATGATATATCTAAGGATGCACACAACTGGACTTGCTTCAGATGCTGGATCTGACCTACATTTTCCAGATGAGTGACCAGGTTAAAGTTTTTGGAGCTGGTCTCACTTTTAAGTACAATGTAATTATAAGTCCTATGTTGACCAAACTTGCATGGATGATACATCTAAGGATGTACACTACTGGACTTGCTTCAGATGCTGGATCTGACCTACATTTTCCAGATGAGTGACCAGGTTAAAGTTTTTGGAGCAGGCCTCATTTCCAAGTAACTAAAAGCCCTATATTGACTAAGCTTGCATGGATGATGCATCTAAGGATGCACATGACCATGCTTGCTTCAATGCTGGATCTGACCAACATTTTCCAGATGAGTGACCAGGTTAAAGTAAACTATAAGGGCTATCTGATCCAAGCTTTCATGGATGATGCATCACAGGGTGAACACTCTCAAACTTGCTTCAGATGCTGGATATGACTAACGTTTTCTGGATGAGTGACTAGTTTAAAGCTTTTAGGTAAGTCCATTCCCAAGTAACTACAAGCCCTATTGAACCAAAATTGCATAAATGTTACATCTAGGGATGCACACTACTAGATTTTTAGTTTGGGACTTTGCCTCAAAGACAACATTCATAGACAAAGGGTGACAGAGGATTAACTGGTCAAAAGACAGGGCCATTTTATAAATATAGTGAACTTTGCACTTTTTAATAAAATTAAATATTTTTGTTAATACAATTATTAGAGAGAGAGAGGAGAAAGAGAGATTTTTTGAGATTTTAAAGTCATGCTTTGTTCCCTGAAAAAGAAATCTTTTCTGTTTTTAGATGACAAATAGGGGATACAGTGTATTTGGCTTCCTTCCTGGAATATCTGTATATTTTTTTTATTTAGGTGTAAAATGAAATATTCTTCCTCCTTCTAGTTATGTCATACTATAAATATCTTGTACTGTGTGTTATATAATGAAGTCTGGTAAGGCAACCTCATCTTACATGCTCAATTTTATAGTGTTCCTCAGAATCATTTCTTATGCATAGGAACTTGACAATTGTAGTTTTTCATGTTTTGATCTTTTATATACTATTGTTTATTGATAATAATCTGAATCAAATTGAATGATTACATTAAAAAAAAGACACTAAAAAATTTAGATTTTAAAGTTTTATCTTGTTGACTTACATGTACTATTTATGACAATTTTATACCTCTTTCTCTATCATTAGCACTTATATGTTTAATTTTCATGACACACACACACACACCCTCACCCTCACACACACACACACACCCTCACACACACACACACACACCCTCACACACACACACACACACACACACATATATATATATATATATATATATATATATATATATATATATATATATATATATATATATATATATAATTTTATTATGTTGTGGATCAGTATTCACAATTCTCAACTTAAAAAAATGTTGACTTAGAATTAAAAGAAATTAATTGTAAAATATTTAATAAAAGTTAAAACTATAGAACAAAAAATTAGAGATATTGAAAATCGACCTTCTCATGAAATAAATAACAAAGAAAAACAGAAGCTTGAAAAAGAATTAAATGAAATTTATGAGAAAAAAATCAAAAGGTGCATATATAAGATCTAAAGCTAACTGGATTAAATATGGAGAAAAATGCACATCGTACTTCTTGAATTTAGAACGAAAACGCCAGCAAAATAATGTTATAGAAAAAATAACTGAAAGTGAAAACTCTGTATATAGTAGTAATGAAATTTTATTAACGTTATGTAATTTTTATGAAAATTTGTATACGTCTAAAAGCCCACATGATGAAGAAATTAAAAGCTATATTTCAGAAACTGAAGTTTCTTCAAAATTAACAGATTATGAAAAAAATTATTGTGATAATATACCCACAATGAAGGAATGTGAAGAAGCTATCAAAAATATGAAAAATAATAAATCACCGGGTTTAGATGGGATACCTGTGGAGTTTTATAAACTCTTCTGGAACGACATAAAAACGTACTTTTATGATGCGTTACTAAAGTCATTTGAAGCTGAAGAGCTAACAGGGACACAAAAGTTGTCAATAATTAGTCTTATACACAAAAAAGGCGATAAATCTAATGTTAAAAACCAGAGACCTATTAGTCTTACTAACTGCGACTACAAAATTTTAGCATTTGTTTTAGCCAAACGACTACAAAAAAATATTTCA